TGCAAAATATCTGAAGACGTTTCTGAAGACATTAAGGAATGATAAAACTCGTTTGATGCTCTAAAATGAGCTAGGAAGCTTCAATCGAACTTTTGAAACGGTCAAAATTTATTAAAATTTGACAAGGAATTCAAAAAAAATATTTTCAAATTTTTTCACCGGAACCATCGGGTTCTAGGAACCATTTTTTGTTAAAAATAGCATTTTTCGGCCCTAGAAGCTATCGCCTTCAATTAAAAAATCTGAAAAAATTTGAGATTACGTATTTTGATGAAAAAAACAAGAAAAAATTTTTTTCAGATTTTTCGAGGCTCCGTACTGTCCTAAAAAAATTATTTTCGTCAAAAAAATCGGTTTTTGGCTTCAAAAGGTGCGTTAGGTAATCTGAAAAAATCTGAAAAAAATTGAGGTTATGTTTTTTAATGCGAAAAATAACTGAAAAAATTTCCGAGTACTACATCGGCTCATACCGCCGTATCTCGATTTTTGAAATTTTCAATAATTTTTTCTGAAGGCCTGAAGCACTCAAAAAATCTGAAAAAATTCAAGGTTGTTTGGATTGTGGAAAAGTATTTTTATGAATTTTTTCAGATTTTTTACTTGCTTCATGTCCTCAGAAAAAATATAGATCGAAAATGGACGTTTATACCGGAAGTGGGGGGTAGGAGGGGGGAGGGGGTCTAAAAATTTTTTTTTGGGACCTTTTTACCATGTACTATAACATACCAAAAGCGCGTCAAGATCGGTGACATACGTGCGCACGGTTTTGTAAAAAAGTATTATTTTGACCCATATATAATACGTGGAGAGCTCTAGTCTCGAGAGCAGCGAATAAACTCTCGGGGCTCTCTCTCTCTCTCTCTCTCTCTGACGCAGTTTACATAGCCGTATTATATATATATAACAACGTTCGCTGACGGTGGAGAGCGAGAGAGAGAGAGAGACGAGCTGCGAGCGCAACGCACCAACGTCGACGCACATCGCAGAGAGCTCCCTGCTACAGAGCGAGAGAGCGAGAAGAAAATCGATGAAAAGCACACACACGCGTATATAGAAGCCGCCGCTTGCCATCGTTGCAGCGCGTATATAATAGAACTTGCAGTACGCGCGATCCAAAAGAGATGAGAGAGCTCCGTCGTACTGCTGCGGGCTTGAAAAACGCGCGCGTATGGCATTTAAGCTGGCAGCTATTTGGAGCTGCTGCAATTGTGTATCTATGCAGCACGAGAGAGCCATTGGCCCTTGCTTATAAAGCCACTGCTGATGCTGCGGGTCGCGTATAGTAAGCAGCTGTAATAAACACGGAGCTTAACGACAATAGAAAAAAAAAAAAAGAACAAGTAAAGAGGTTTCCCTTCGAGAACGAAATAAAAGGACTTGAGAAAAAAAAAGGACATTCTCGTCGTAGTAGTAGCGTTGGGTCCGTCGGTGCTGCAGTTACGATCCCCCACGGCACGCGGACACACGCGCGACTCGAGCCGGGAATCTCGAGAAAGCACACGAGATGTTTGCAAGAGCCATATGAGTGCGTGTGTATTTTTGCTCCCCGTATACGCGCGTACTTATACGCACAGGATCGCAGAGGACTCGCGGATATTGCACGCACATACGCGATATACGAGAGCTACTATATGCACTGTATGCGAAATAGGGAATCAGCTGAACGTTATAAGCAGTGTGCGTCAAAGCACAGCGCACGCGATTCGCAAGGGGTCACCAATATGGTATAAATATCACGTATAGGAGAATGGTTGAGAAAAATAGAGAAAGATGAAAAAAAAAACTTACCCTGTTGCGCGAGAGCTGCTACTCTGAGATACTTCTACTCGCTCGACGCGCGCACAATATAATATCCTTTTGCCCCTGAGCTTATTATTAAAATACGACAGCGACGACGCGCGTGCTTTTATTTATATTTATCCGTCAAACGACTCGTGTACAATACTCGTCGCAATTTTTGGAGTCGGCGCGAGTTCTGGACCACGCAACGGATTTTACAGTACGGAGAGCTACACAATGCACATGTATAGTACTTGATGCGACGCGTACGTACTCCTGACTGACGAGAGTCCAATGTGTGCGATGTGCGATGGCTACTACTGTACGCGAGAAGAGCGAGAGCGTATGACGCCAATTCTCCTTTTCTCTCTTTCTCTCTCTCTCTCACTCACTCACATGTACATAAAAGAGACGACTTGTTCGTTCTTCGGTATTATTATATTCTGCAGTGGTGGATATAAACATACACACATACGCGATTCAGAGCGGCGGCCAAGTATATAGAGAAGCGAGAAAGATAGAGACAGAGAGAAAGAAAGAAGTGCGTTATATATTATGCTGTGCTGTGTTGCTGTGTTGTGCTCTCTGGACGAGAACTAGCTATATATATACGAGCGAGTATAGCGAGGGAGAGTGCGAGCGAGAGAGAGGAAGACGAATATTATTATTAGTAAGAGAGGGAGACACGGTGGTCTCGCTTCACGCGCTCTTCACGGACTGATCGCATCGGGCTGCTGCTACGCTCGCAGGCTGTGTAAGGCTGGCTGGCTGCTGCTGCTTTTGCAGACTGCGCGCGATCCAGCCATACACATGCACAGCACACCATCGACACAAACGTATATCCCATGTGTGTGTGTGTGTGTGTATGTGTGTAGAGTACCTATATAGGTATATCAAGTAGCAGAGAGAGAGCTGCGCGGGCGGCGGGTTGAAGCGCGGGGGGCTGTACTCTCGGATGCTGCGTTTCGCGCACACTATAACACATCTCCCTCTCTGCCTGTATATACATATATATACAGTCGTACATTTCCACGCTTGCATCCGGCGAGATGTGCTTACATACGATGCTAGGTAATTCCGTCGAAAAAAAGTCGCAAGAGTTGACCGATACAACGCGGCTAATGTCGACCGCAAAAAAAAAAACATTAAATAGCCCGAGCTGCAGGAAGATGAAGAAGAAAGAAGAGATTGAAAGAATGGAAAAAGGAGCTTTTTGACGCGAAGGTGTGGAAATGTTTCGTGTGAAGCGTAGCTTTTAATTTGAACGACGATCGAGCTTTCTTATCGAACGAAAATTAAGACGCAAAATAAGTTTGAGTGTATTCAAAACACGAAATATTCTTCTTTTTTATTTTCAAGCAAAGCTCGTAGCTGAAAATAAGTACGCTATTAAGATGTAGAAAAAAGCTCTTGAAATCGGTGGATTTTCTGCAAGCTCTCACGCTCTCTCGTGGGAAGAATTTCTCCTGCTCTTCCTCCTATGTATCTCCGTATCTTTTGTCGGGCCCGCGTTTGTATGTGTGTGTGTGTGCTTGCAGCCGCCGCCGCCGCCACAGCAGCAGCAGTTTTCGCCACTTTAAGTGCGCACGAGAGCGGCATATATCATGGATAATAGCTGCGTAAGTCACTGCAGTAAATAGGCATATGAGAGATGGAGAATACAAAGCTCCGCTGCACTGCGCCGCGCTCCGTTATTTCGAGGAACTGCTGCGCTGTCGCTGCTGCACCAACGGATAAAAGAGATGCGATGTATAATTTTACCGACGCGTTTTCGAGCTTTACGTACCGCAGGCAGTGCGCCTCTGTCATTATTTTATGGGAGCCTAGATGCAAGGCTCCAACTTTCGACGCCCGTAGCAGCAGCTCTAATTCTCCGTTTCCCCCGTGACGTACGCCGAAGTATAGTAGTAAGACCCAAAAACTCGCGGAAGTTGTAACCAGTCTCCGTAAGCCGGCTGAGCTTGCATTTACAAATAGCAGCTTATGATTTCAGCACCCGCAGAGCATGGCCATTTTAACAACAACAATAACAACAACTGAGCTTGCGCTGCAAGCTCCTATGCAGTGTTTCAAGAACGTGCAAATAATGCATCGAGTTATGCTTTCAAAATTTTGTTTTTTTTTATACCTTTCCAAGTGAATACCGTAACTCAATAATATTGAAAGTTTTTGCATTGGATTATCGTGGAAAATTGCTCGGCGCGAGCTGGTGAGCTGAAATCGGCCAACTCCAGCGAAATTCTCAAAAATAAACTGAAATACCGATGGTAATTTCTGCACGTACGCGCGCACACGCGTATATATACAGAATTCACTCAAATAGCCGCAAAACGTTCATCCTCGTTAGACATACTAAAATGTTACATAGCTGACCGCATTTTGTCAAAATTTTTCCCGATACCGAAATACCAACGATGCTTTCGTGCATCGTACGAATGATGCTCACTTGGCACGTGTCTAGTTCAACGAAATTACCTTGAATATTTAGATTATTTCAATACGGTACCGATGTACGTTAATATCGCGTGAAAAGCTCTCTATATTATCAATCAATTTAATTTCCTATGTGTGGACGAAAAAAAAAATACAATACAAGTTTTATTATTAGCAAAATATGCTTTAATGCTAAAAGGACAACATAAAAAAAAATCATCATTTACATAAATTTTCGAAATAAATATAATAAATATATATACAAATCAATATAGCCATTAAATAGTTGAAAATACAATAGTACGCAACTAAATGAACTAATTTTAGAAAAATAATTTTGTATCTTCATTGGATTTTTTAATACTTGAAGGTTATCATTTCGTAAACTAACAAATTAATAAAAACTAAATACTTATACTTTTCTCGCAGCGATATTTCATTTTTTGTTTAAAAATTCAAAATAAGAATAATAATGATTTCATGCAATAAATATAGCCTCGAAAATCAGAAGAAATTATCATATCAAAAACTATTTTTAAGATATATGCCACCTACAGTTGTTAGCTAGGCCACAAGTATGGTACTCATGTTCTCGAATTATAATCAAATATAATCCAATTAAGTACTAACACTTGTTCGCGTCTCCCGTTTTGTGTCTTTCATTTTTAACATAAAGAGTCGTCAAACAGATTTGATCCTTTGCACACAAGCTCGCAGCCAATAAAATCGAACGTACACCAATGATTCACCATTCATGAGTAGAAATATGTAAATATTGAAAATACCAGTTTTTTAAGATTGCATTCAAAAATAAATATTTATTTCAAAATTAATGCTTACGAGCCATACCTAAAACCTAACACAATTACTACTCTATACACTGCTTGTTGTATTTAGATTTTCAACATCTTTTCATTACATATATGTATTTCATGGTACTGTATTCTTTATTTTGTGTACAAAATCATTCATAATGTTCATAATTTTATAACGAATTTAATTTTTTCACATTTAGTACATTCCATCCGATGGCCTGTTAAATTTACATTTCCAAACGAAGTTTTATTTGCACTTACGTTAATATTTTTACAATACTTTTATTAGCTTTAACTCTTCACTGTAAAACAAAAAGAAATCCAAACGCACACATTTATATACACGCATGTATTTGTCATATGCATTTACATTGACATATACATAAACATGCATACATATGTACAACATACTTATGAGTATGATAGTTGTGTGCGCGCAAGTTAAGAATCCAACAATTTTCGCGTATTATGGATCGATCGCATAACTCATACATTCTCAGTTCGCTTTTTGATATTTTCCCAAAAACTGGGAAATCAAATTTTTCTTTTTCCAATTCTCGTTAATGAAAAAATTATTTGTACATTTATTTATAATTATATGTATAGTAATAGCAATTCTCGTTTGTTTTAATATCCTATAACATATTTATACACCAACATTTGTTTTTCGCTTCAGTTAAGAAATTTTTTTTTCAGTGCCTTAGTTGTTAATATCACATTCACACTGTCATAAAATGTTTGAGTTTTCAACTACTTTATACTATAACTTTATTTTTTCAGAAACTTATTCTTTAGCAGATTCTAGAAGAAGTCCCTCAAATGCATTGTCCATGCATTGTTTGAGTTCCGCATATGTTACAATCAATACAGTTTTTTCGTCTCGAGACATAAGACAGATCTGCAGATTAAAAAATGTTCAATTGTCACGCATATTTTTTCAAATTGTTAAAATAGTCAAAAAGAAGTGTTATGAAATTACGGTTGAATATTTTTTAAAGTCTTACCTGTTCTGTAGAGCCAGCATCAAGCTTATTCAAGCATGATACAATATGGGCAAGATCCAACCACGGCCGACCATTAGGATCAACCTGATGAAAAACGTAGTCTCTGAAAAGTTTAATCATATATCGATCACCAGTTTCGGACCACTGGGGATCCATACCAAATTGAGGCCTTTCATTGATGCTAGCAATTTTCGATATCAGTTTGAATAAACGCCCATTATCTAATTCTTTGGATAATTCATTTTCAATTACATCAGACTGTAGTTGGATAGCATCCAATTGAGTATAAAATCTTGCTCCAATCATGGGCATTAAATCTGTCACTGATTTGGCTGCTGAGTTTGATAATAAATACCTAAAACAAGTAATAAATTAATTAATTTATTGAAAAACTAAATTTAATCTAAGGAAAATTTTGACGTACACTATAAGATTTCGCAAATCTTTAGAATAAGTACTCGAAATTAACTCGAGAGATCCTTGCATGTCGGTACGATGTACAGCAAGTAAACTGCGAGAAGCTAGAGCAAGAACAAGCTTTCCAAGAGTTACTAAATCTTCTCCTTGAAATTGACATGTATCATCTTTATAATCCACTACATCTGGAACTCCGACGCAACTCAAGCGTATTCTTGAATTAGATGTCAATAAAACTTTAGATGGATCAAGACACCGGTAAGACAAACCTTCAATCAAATCATAAAAATGAGTGAAAAAATAGAAAATATTTTATAAAATTTTTATAACATTTAGATAACATTTTCATTAATTAAATTGAAGTATTTTGCAAAAATATGTACCAGCAGCATGAATAACGCGAATCGCCGCTGTGAGTTGTATAACATAGTTCCAAATCAGACTTTCAGGCAACATATTATTGTGTTGATGTCGCAACATAGTATTTTTTGTATGACTGTACGGTCTAGGTGCAGTTGGATCTGCTGAAAATGGATCAACATATCCATTCACATCTTTAGGAGCAAAATGTTTTGATAACATAGTTTCACTTCCTGGGAAGTAGTCATAAACAAAAACCGTAGCTGCAAAATAAGTCACAGTGAATTATTTATCATTGGACACAATAATATTAGAATTTTATAAAAAAGTTCAAATTTTTACATTCATCTCCAAATGCTTTGGTAAAAAATACTTCTTTGAGTCCCACAATGTTGGAATGCAATAATTTTTTCCATGTTTCGATGACGGCAAGGCTTTTTTTATTTAATAATTTGCAGCCTATTTGATTTTTAATTTAATAAAAATATTCATTTGGTGTTAGTCATGTTCATGTTATTGTATAAACTAATTAAGTAAAGGAAAATTACGTACCATGAACTCTACGAAGACAATAATTGTTACCATTTTTGATATTAGTTGCTCTGAATGTTGATGTTACAGGTCCAGGTCCAGTTTGTGGTTCTTCAAGCAGCATTAGTTCTTGATAATTTTGTACTTCTGCAGGTATATTAGGATCATCTGGTCTATTATGTTCAGCTAAAGCTATGGCATTTTTGTCCAAAACGTCTTGTCGTATATCACTGCCCATGAAATATAATGGATGAGAGTTGTTTATCTGTAGCTAAATCAAAATTATGATTATATTGGTAAAGATAAATAAATATTATTCAAATTAATCAAACATGATTTACAGTGAAATTTTTCAAAATTATTAATACTTACAGGTACTTCCTCTATCAATGGTTCTACGACTGGAGTATAGAAGTAGGTTGTACCATTAACGTTTCCTTTTGGTGTATATTCAGGGCTGAAGACATTTAGCTGAGAATTTTTGCTTGGACTTACAGCTCCTTGTAAAGTGTCTACATATTCCTGAGGTGCATTCATCTTCTGACCAACATTGATTGTCATATTGGACATATTTTCCATTATATTATCTACTGAAGAAGGCATCATAGTTGATGAAATAGTAGGTGGCATACCCGGTTTGTTGTGAGTCTGAAAAAATCATATTTATCAGAAAAAAATATCATCAGTTTCAAGTACAGTGATAATTACTTAAAATTGTTATTTCTATTACATATTGAATTACAAAGAAAGCTTCTAAAAGCTACTAAAAGTCCATAAAAATAAATATTTATAAATTGATATATATCTCAAAATAAAATTAAAAAAACATTATTTATCAAACTGATAATTTCAAAGCATCCCTAGTCTTATCTTACATTTTGTTTTTCATAACATCTGTTGATGTTCATATTATAAACATAATTTTTAAAAACTGTTTTTTATTGTATTCTATATATTTTAACATTATTAAGCCAAAAAGTTACTGCATGAAAAAATTATTACTCGCCACAGATAATATTCAGATTTGTCTTTCTTTATAGTAATGACAGTTTAATAAGGTAGTTTATTAAAATTAATAAGAGTAATAAATGATCAACAAACCATGTAAGTAACAAGCTTAGACTCTAGAGGTAACCCTTGAAACCGGGGTATGTGAGTCAAAATAAGCGATGGATCCATAATGGAGATTCTAAATAAACAAAAAACATTCATGTTATTTTGGAGTAATTCACAGAGCTATAAAGGAAACTAGAGTAAGAATATGATTATTTACATTTCTCGATCCAGATAACGTGTTCAATTATCCTCAATTTATTTATGTAGCAGTCCACCAAATCTTTATCCTCAAAAGCTTATCAGAACTTTATAGTTGTAAATATGATCAGTAGTCGATACTATATTTTAAATACAGTGTTTGACAGAAGCATTAACATTGATAAACAGATGCTCATCATCATCTTTTCCTAGAAATCATTAATTAATTATTACTTTATAGTTTTTCTCCTAATACATATAGCCAAAGAAAATATATTTCTTACCTCATGTTTAAAAACGAGTTTCATTCGATTAAAACCAGTAAAAGTGCTCTTTCTTCAACCTCTCCATAAGTAATGGCATTGCCTATTAAAAAAAAAAAAAAAAATAATCATTACACCTTTACTTACTAATGCACCAAACTTTTCGATTAGATTAAATTCAATACAATAAAAAAATCGACTAATAAAAGTAAGAATAATGAAAAGTTCGAAGCCTAAATTTTTGCACGACTCGCACAATGCTCATTAACTATGTAAATGTGACGTCGATTACCTGCGTGTCTGTCTGTCTGTGTATATGTTGTGTGTAGAAAGGTAGCGATCGAGCGGCGATGGATTTTCTTCGGCGTCTCTCTCTCACTCACCGTATATACTCGCTCGCGCAAAGTCGTAACCCTTATCTAATACGGCAATTGTTGTGGTGGTGCAGCACACTACAACACCACAATGGCCATAAGAGAGAGAGAGAGAGAGAGAGAGAGTGCGAGAGAGACGAGACTGACTGCTGCTGCTGCTTGGCTATTGTGCGTAACGCTTCGGCTCGTTGTGTTGTTGATGTATATGTATCTATCTATAACTTATTCCGTCGACGACGACGAGATCCGGAGCTTAGGGAATATAAGTACTGACCGCTGCTCCAAAGCGAGTCGAAAATATCCTCTGTACACAAGGCCTGCGGTAGACACAAAAATCGTACATAGGGTGAAAATTCATTACGCGGGCAAAGAAAACGAACAAATATATCTATCTATATATGGTATATATATATTACGATGGCTAAGTGCGTTTGTGTATTATTACGCGCGATCAGGCATGCAGTATTATCGTGGCTATGTAACGTATGATCGCCGAACTCCCACATCCTCGATAGGAGCAAAGAGAGCCTCTGATACACTAACACAACAACGAGAGATTGTAAACATAATCGAAACTATAGTAGACGCGCACAACAGCGACACTCGAGCAGTCATTTTATATTTATCATTATTATTTTGTATTTAAAAGCCCGAGAGATCGGAAATGAGACGAGCAAAACCTGATGAGACTCTCGTCGCTCGCGGGGATGCTGCTGCTACTGCTGCTGCTAACTCTACACTCAGCCGTACCTGTTAACCTTGGTCTTTGTTTCGAGACGTTGGTGTTTTTTTGTCAGTTCTTATGTACGTGTATGTTGTGTGTGTGTGTTATGTGTGTGCTGCACGCACCAAGTCCACTACACAGAGTCCTTTTTTTTTTATAATACAAAATATAACGACGGCGTCACTTCACTAGCACACAGTATCTATATCAACGCACAGACCCGAGAGCGAGAGAAAGAGCAAATACTTCCTGTTTGCTAATATTTAGGCTTGTAAGCAGCAACGCACTGAGAGAAGCGAGGCATACAGAGCAGCAGCGCACAGCAGAGGCACAGAGCAGAGCTCAGTCACACACAGAGGCAGTCCTTTAACGATATACCCCCACTCTAGGGGGGGTCAGGTATATATTATATTATTGTGTGTATATGTCTATATGTAGCAGGGGGCAGTTGAGGCTTCCTCTGCGTCAAAACGTCGAGTCTCCGCGATCATCACAGAGCGCGACAGAGAGAGAGAGAGAGAGAGAGAGAGAGAAACAACACCGACTTTGAGAGTTCAAAACAAACCGAACGCACCGCTGCTGCTGCTGCTCCTGTCGTTGATGCTGCTACTGCTGCTGCCGCTGCATCGAAGCCTCTTCAGCGAGTCTAAGAAAATCGACATGACCAAGGGCGAAAGATCGCCATTTTCCAGCTAGTCGTACGACGACGACGACGAATATATAGGCATGCAAAAACACTAGATATATATATATATATGCGCGATATACTTGCCGTTGCCTCTGCTGTGTGCATCTGTCTGTTTCGCATTGTGTTGACTCTCGAGCGCGGCGCATAGATGGCACTGCACTCCGGCGACTGCTGCTCAGCAGCTGCTGCGCGCATTTATTATTAAAATATATGCGTGCGTATGTAACAGTGCAAAAGTCTGCGCGATTACCGACTTGATATTTTTACCGTAATTTTCCCCCCGCGCGATACGTAGGTATAGGTGCAATTGCACATTCGATCGCGCAGACAAGCTGCTGCGCTAAGGAGATTGTTGCCCGATATTTCGGTTTCGATCGGGTTTTCCCGTGGATCGTCGCTTTTTTTTCATCTTTCCTTTTGCCTGTGGCCCACGCGCGAAAACCGGTAAAACTCAACCTCGTGCGTGGGTAATTGATGAAATTCGAGTAAAAGTACTTTGAAAGTAAACTGCATACTTTGTGCATGAATACATTATGCGAAATACTCTCCGTGGAACTTGATATGGCAATTAGAACTTTAACAACAATTGGACGTCTTTAAAAACAAGAGCTGCGTCAAAAATAACGTAAAAACTATTCCGATCTTCTAAAATTGATTCTCAAAAATATTTCTGATTGAATGACAAGCTGTAATTTAATGTTTATTATTATTTTGATTTTTAAAAATAACTACTGTTGTATAGAACGTTTGTAAAATAAAAAAAAAACAACAATTCAGTTAGTACTAAAAAAATCAACGTGTTCTATAACCTCATCCACAGAACAAAAAAACGAAGAATGTCTATTTTACCCGGGAAATAATTATTAACAATTTTGATGGTGATATTTTCCCTTTATTACTTTTCAAAGATAATTAATTTCTCGTTCGAGTGCAAGAGAGGGCGCGAGTAGTTCCTTCGGCCGTCGACGCTGCGGCGGTCAGCTCGGCGCTGCTGGTGCTCAACTCAAGTCTGCCAGTTAGTAGCAATTCACGTGTTGCGTTCGTACACAGTTCAGTCGTTGTTCCGAACATAAACAACTTGATTTTTACACCTTAAGCGAGTGTTAATTTATTTAAAAACAAAGTCAAAATGATCATTCCGATTCGTTGCTTTACCTGCGGCAAAGTCATTGGAAACAAGTGGGAGGCCTACATCGGTTTGCTGCAAGCCGAGTACACCGAAGGGTAAGCTAACCTGAACTCTTTCAATTTACACTGTGTAAACTGTATTTTTGTCTCACGTGCATTTAAAGGGATTTGCTTTTCTGCTACTGTTTTACATCGTTGCATTATTACGTTTGGTAGTTTTGATTGTTGGAAAACTTGTTTTAATGATTACTTATCTATTTCAATAATGAGTTGGTTTAATTACCTTGTACATCTATTCAAAACATGTAGCAGTATCAATTGACGCTTAATATTATAGTTTTCATTATGAAGGTCATGAAGAATTTGTTTAATGTGTATGAGTATAACTATTTCAAGACAATAATTTCAAACATCATTATCTTAAACTGTTTTATCTGTAGAAAATGAAGGATTGTTCAAGTATACAGTATACTGAGACAATACTTTGTATTGAAGTTATCTTTATTTTGGTTTTTCTTATTTTGCATTGAATATTATATTTATCTTTATTTCATTTCAGTGACGCACTTGATTCTTTGGGGCTCAAAAGATATTGCTGCAGAAGAATGCTTCTTGGACACGTCGACTTGATCGAAAAACTTTTGAATTATGCTCCACTAGAGAAGTAAATCGATGTGATGTGTATTAAAAGTATTTGAATTGCTGATTATAATGCTGATGCTGTTCAATATCTCATGTACGATGCTATTGATATGAAATATGAATAATTAGCGATTCAAATTATAGGACAATATATAATTTTAATTATAAAATGTGTATTTGATGAAGAATATCTTTATTATTGTTTTCAACGCCATCAAACAATATGAATTGTTGCATCAGCATTAATAATGAAAATATTTGAATCAAATTTGTGAGAATTAAATAATGTAGAAATAAATTGATAAGTTTGTACAAAAATTTTATTTTTCCAACTATGTTTTTCTAAAATGTATTTACAAAATGTAGTACTTCAATAAATAAACAAATATATGTAAAAAAATTGTTTTATGCAGTAGTAGTAGCATTTGCTGCACTTGGACCAAAGTCTTTCGCAATGTCCAGAAGTGCACTTCTCGAGCCGAATACTAAAGCCAACAGGCCTATAATGCATATGACGATGTTTTTCAAAGCTACCCAGTGGAATCTACCGAACCCAATATCCCAGAATGTGACGGTTTCGATGAACACCGGGAAGAGCAGGCCCAGAATTGAAAAACAAAATGCACCGATGAGCCCAATGAAGGGACCTATCTTTGGCACCGCTATTGCGAGTAGAACTGAAATAGATGATTGATTTTTAGTAAATTTGTTGAATTGTCTATTAACGATATTTCGTTGAAAATAATCATATTGTTTACCTGCACCAATGACCAACAAAGTTCTCATAACGTAATTGGCAAGAAGTGGCTTCTTTTGGAACTTATCTTTAATGCCATCCCAGGCAATGTCGAGGCACACGTAGAACTGCAAACCGAAAGTGCAGTAAACTGCCAGTCCAATGACAACTAGCACTATTTGCGCAGGTCTGAAATTAAGAAATAACGGTTCAGTGTAAATTTTTGGTCGATAATTACCATGCGATCCGTATGTCTCGAAATGGAAAAGCAAACTCACAATTCCCGAGGATTCAAACTCAAGGTAATAGATTCCTCAGTATTGCTCCCATAACTAAGGTATCCCAAGAATCCAAGGATAATGTAAACGAAAGTGACACCGAACATGCCCTTATTGAGCACACCGAAGATCCCGATGAAGTTCTTGGGCGTCTTCATGCTGTTCTCCAGGGGCATCACGACGCCGATGGCCTCCATGGCGAAGATCGTGATGCTGAAGAAATTCGGGAACTCCGAGAGCGGACCCACCAGGTCGACACTGCTGATCGGCTTGATGTCCCTGATGAGATAGTAGAAGGTGATGCCGAGGCCGGTGCCCATGAAGACGTTGGCCACCATCGAGACGGGCGCGAGGTACTTGAGATCGGGCAGCCAACTCAGCAGAATCATCGGTATCATGAGGGTGGCGATGATGACGCGCACGTCCACTTCAGTGCCGAAGCGATGCAGCAACACCGGCTGAAAGTTCCGGGCGACGATGACCGCGTAGACGCTGCAGGTGCCGAAGTACGTGACGAACAGACTGCTCTGTATGAGGTAGCGCGACCAGGTGGCGAAGGGCCGCGCCCACTTGGGGCCTTGCGTGAAGGCCGCCTCGGCGACCTCGGCGAAGCCCATCTGCGTCTTGCGGGTCTTGTAGTAGAGCACGTGGGCGCATTTTACCTTTATAATATATGTAGAAAAAATCGGTAAGAGATTGAGTTTTGATGTATAAGTAAGCGTTGATAAAAAAAAAATGTATACTCACGAGAATATAGGCACAGTGGGTGCAGACAAAGGCCACGAGTATCGTGGCGAAGATTCCTACGATGAGACCCGAGCTCTTGAAGGCGTAGGGCATGGCCAGAATGCCGGTACCCAGCGAGGCTTTCAGCAAATGCGTCAGTGTATCGCAATCTCTGCAGAGAGAGAGAGAGAAAAATAAATAACGGCGATTGACTATTTTTTGGTCCGATCGCGATCGGTAATTTGAAATGTGAATACTTACGTCGTTGGATTGGCCACTTGGCGCTCCGTGAACGGGTCGAAGGATTTTCCATCGTCCTTCGCCGACTCCACGTCGTTCGGTGTTACTTTGTACCTATCGACAAAATGGAGTTTTTACAATCAAAAAACAATATTTACTTCATTCACATATATGCTTAATCGGATAAAATTTAATTGATTTTATCTATGTACGAAACTGTCCGAGATCCTTTTTAACGATTTATTGATTTTTTTATTCACTCAGTTCAAAAGTCCCACTGCACGATGATCAAAATTATTTATGTTTTTGCTTTCGTTCAATTGGTCGATGAATAATGCCGCGCGCAGCGTTTCACTTTTTTTTTTCACGAACTCATTAACGCTCGCGTAGGCACAACATTTTTCACGCGCGTATTATTTTTCGTACGTTGGTTTATTAAAAAAAAAAAAATGAAAAATACGCATGTATCACGATGAACCCCGGTGGTGTCTCGCAATGCACACATTTTTCTACCGCGCGCGCGCTCTTCAACTGACTCGACTTGTTTTTGTTTTGTCTACATACTACAGAAAAATTACTCACAGTTTACTCATTTCGATGATTCGAATAAGCAAAAAGACTTCGATGTTATTAACTTTGATGTTAAAATTTGTTAAAAACAATTTTAAAACGATTTAAAAAAAAAAAAAAATCCTATTGGTAATTGTCGGTGGGTCGGCTCAGTCCGAACAGCGCTTGGGCGATGGAACGCCGCAGCACGTTCCTACGACTAGCTGAGGCACGATGTCACTGCCCCGCAGCCGCGAGCCGCGATTATTTTTATATCGTAATAGAGAGGCGGCGATCGGAGAGCGCCACGAAAGAAGAAGTAGAAAAAAGAAAAAAAAAAGAGATCGCACACGTCGTTCAATAACTTGTGCGATGAATATAATAAAAAATGCGCGGCGGTGGTGGTGTGGCGATGGCGTGGCTCGCGCGCGCGCCCGCGCGTGCCTGCAATTACGCAGGTACCGAAGCCATTATAATAATACGCGTCTGGCGATAGTTTTCGTAACGCCTCTCTCTCTTTCTCTCTCGATGTCATATGACTTTGTGATAAGCACCAGTCTCTAATCGCTTCGAATCAATTTTCGTTAATTACCATTGACCGCGCGACGCTGCCGCCGCTGCTGCTTTAATTCGTATACGAGCTTTGAGCTTTTTTTACGTCACCCTCGCGCATCGTAAGTGTCAATGCGATTGATATATATATATATATATATACGCACGCGTCGCCTTTTTTTTCATTGCGATGATTCATGTATACCGATTTTTATGTGTCGGGCTACTCGTGACTCGATCAAATAAATTGAATAAATTAGGTACGATTTTACTGTATGTGTGTGTGTAATTCTTTTTTTATGTACGCTACACCATTAGGACGTTAAACTTTTATCTCTTAATTATAATTGTTTTATTTACTTTACGGTACTCTTAACAACCGTGATGCAATATTTGTATCTGATTTTTGTTTTATTCAAATATGTGGCGATGTATATGAAGCTCTGGCACGCGTAGATTATCGACGATTTCTCGTTCAACTTTATAATATCAATAAAACCCATTGTTTTGACGACGATGAATCTCATTTTCGGGTTCACTGGTGCATACTGCTTATTTAATCATCAAAATTTGACTAAGTACCTCGGATTAGGACCTCGTTAATTCGTGATACATTTCATTACCGTATCTTTCACTCTTTGTTTCTATCTTTATCTCATTTTCTTGAAATCTCGCGTACCTATACCCAATTTTCTTCTTTTTTTCATCATCCTTTAGGCATATCACATTAAGATCTTTATTTTACATTATATTCGCATAAAACATGCAATTTATTCCACGACACAGTTGATAATAAACATATTTTCACTTTATTCAACAAAGCAACAAATGTTAATTCGAAACGTCAAGAAGGACATCATTAAAAGAGCATAATTAAACGAACGATACGAGGAGCAGTTTGTACATAGCTGGATACATAAACAATGATCAACTAATTGATCATTGACACGCCGACTCACTTGCTTGGTAAAATACCGGGACTCTGATTGGACCCGTCTCGCGGGAGAAAAGTATCCAATTCAGTGGTGTCTTTATGACTGATTTCAACCTGAAATTGAATGAAATTTTGATTGAAGACAACTCATGAAAAGTAATTGTTTTTTTTTTTTTTAACAACTCGATGTAATACGACTTACCATTTTGCTATTTTTTGTTACTTTTTAGAAGCCTTTGAATTGTCTGAAACAAAAATGACACGAATGAAAATAGTTGTTTCATGAAAAAATAGGCTTATTATTTTTTTTTTCTATCAACTATTAAAGCGATCACGCCGACGAGAATCCTGATAAGGTTTATTACAGTAGCAAAACATCGAGTAAATATTTGCCATATCTACTAATATTATTTTCAATGCGTAGTTCGTTTTTTCTCAAGGCGCAAAAAGTAACGCAACGTCTCTAATACGTAAATGTTTAGAACCAAAGTATCAGCAAGCCAGTATCAGTGTATACAAACTAAATAGATACACGAGGAATCTAAATATTATGATAACGGCATTATAGTCACGCCTGAATGACAAGAGAAACGTGTAATCATTTTTTTTTTATTTTTATTTTGGGTTTGATAAAAATAAAAAAAAATTATCAATCACTACGCGTCGCTTCCGATAAAGCGCGTGGATTACCGTAAACTTTGACAACAACTTTACAAGTTCTCTTGTAGTAACGGTCTCAATTAACACGTTTTACGTCCCGAATTACGCGGTGCTTGTCGTCAGCCGAGCCGACGCGTGGCCTCTTTTTAACTAAATAAACATAATTAGCGTACTATTTTTAAATATTTTCAATATCCCGATATCATAATATCAATAAGCTGCAAGTGTAGTTTTCTTTTTTTTTTTTTCATTCTATTTTATAAATCAAAAGAGAAGCGAGAAGCGATCGAACTCGAGCGACCTTGGACTAGAGCTCGTGTAATCGTTTTTACCGTTGAGATAAATGCTAATCACGCATCATCGTTCGAATGCGTAATTAATGTGAATTATATCGCGTATTTGCTCAGAAAAGCACGTGTGTTTGTTTTACGGAGATTCGTGATTTTTTAAAGACAATTTTCGCGCAAGTCAAAGAAGTTCTTAAATCGAATTCAAATATCCATCCATACGTAGTTCGGCTACTTTATATTCAATTCGGGAATTTGCATGTTAGTATATTTAGAGAGGAATGCTTAAATATTGTAATAAATTTCGAGGCACGATAAACGTTAAAGATTAACTTGTCGCTTTGCATTCGAAACCAGTTGACCATTGTGTGCGTGTGTCGACGACAGAGTCGTTGTCGGTCGACTGTACGCGATAAAGCCACATCTATCTTCGGGTTCCTTTCAAGTATCCTCAGGCGCGCGGCGAAATCTATGCGCGCGAATACTCATTATCGTCTACTCTAAAAGCAACGATATACGCGCGTCGTATTTTGGCGTTTCGAAATAGAGACCGCACATAAAGCTTCGTTATTGTAAAGATTTTACATAACTTCGGATAGAAAATTTACGTCCGATTATTCAATTGATAATGTAAATTTGTCAAAATTTGGTTATTAATTACTTCTCGATTTTCACTTATACACACCGAACAGCGAACTGTTAGGTAATTAGTCGAGATCGTTGCAGAAATTTCCGAACGAATGTCGCAATACTTTCTTTCAAAATTGCACACGCCAACCGAGCGTGATAAAATGCGCGAATGACATTACAAACCTATATACGTATAGATTTACTTTTACTGGTAAAAAAAAAAAGCTCTCGGCACCCGCACGACCCGCTGATCAGTCGTGGAATTCGATCAACGAGCAAATTTATGCGAAAGTCCGCTTTTGTTCGACACATCCACTACTTCATCTTCTTTCTTTCTTTTTTTCCTTATTTACTTTTGTCAAATGAAAACTGAAATACGACACTCTCTCTCTACTGCTGCTGGCGTCGGCGGCGCGCCACTGAATGTGGGGGTAAACAATGCGCGAGACTGCAGAAGTGTCGCGAGCTCGCGCGAATATATAAATATAGCCGTCGTGCAAAAACGTGTCGTCGTCGTCGGTAAGCAGCGAGAGAGTCAATGTCCATTAACGGCGCGCGCTGCTGACGACGAGACATTAAAAATTCTTATTTATATGAATCACGACGCAGCCAAGAAGCTCGCGAAATGCAGCGATTTTTCGTGCATACGCCATTTAATAATATTGACTTATGTCAATACTAAGGTGAACCGGCAAAAAAAGACTCGTAAAAAATGTATCAGCTCTGTTGTACGAGTGCACCCGCCGATCGATACGTAATTTTTTTTTTTTTTCATTTTCTACTATGTATATGCAATACCGCTCGGACCGCGAGCTTTTTGACACATTTGCCAAAATATAAAGCTCGCGCGCATACGAGGAGCTGACTCACGAGCACGTGTACGCGCGACTGAAACGAAAATTAAATGAATCTTCGAGCATGGGTGTTCTAGCTCGCGTATCGCATCGGTCTGTTGTCCGATTTCTCGCGAAAAAATCCTGTACCGGTCTTAATTCGATTCGAATGCTATGCATGCATGTGATACGCGATATTACGTGCGTCGATGGTAGTCGTTTTTAGTATTTTTTTCGGATAAAGGATTCATGCTCGTTATTGGCACAATAATAGGATACGATACACAAAAATAGGAGAATGATCTTTGCCAATGAGCCGGCAGAGGTTTTTACTTTTTACAACATTAAATTCATTTTTAGAAAAATTGATAAATAGCTAAGAAATAATGTGATCCTTTATTATATTCAAGTAACTCGTTAGAACGATGAACAATCGAATATTTAAACTCTGTTTAAATTAATCGAATCGTTTTCACGAAAAAACGTTTTTGTACATGTTTTTGTTGCGCATTCAGCTCGTGCTATAATCCCTCGTTTTGCTAAGAAAACCATGACTTTGCACCCATTGAGAAATATACTACTTGGACTCATTTAAAATAAAATATTTTTTACCTAGGATATTTTGGGGTTTTATAAATATTGTAAAAACATTTATGAAGTCATTTCGAAATTCCTTCAATATTTAAAATGAGATATATTGCAAATATTTTTAGAATGTGCTTTTGTTCTTAGAGACTTGAGGTGGATGTAGCAAGGAAATTAATAATTTCATTTTTTTTAAATATATTTATTTGAATAATTTGAAAATTATGTGACACTAGATAGCACCAGACATTATAGAAAGCTGTAATTGTGCCTCATTTTCATCACGAGTTTTGGCCTGCAGCCGCCAAGCAAATATTATATAAATCTTCGTTCATAAATGATCTATCGATGATCATTTCACAGCACTCGATTGGCAATCGATAGCCAATCAGCTCCCAAAAAGAATCCAGTGCCCATTTCCGAAAAAATCTTCTCGACACTATCTCCAACAGATGTACTATACAAGGCTGCCTGAGTCTATCGGGGAAGAAAATAAATTCGTCCGAGTTCGAGAACTCGAAGACGTTCGCACACGTTATTTGTTTTTCTGCCTCTTCGGGTCGTAACCGAATCAGATCGTGGAGCGACAGGCTCGGTTTTATCATAATTTCTTTCTCTCCGTCGGTGAACTCTTCGTTTTCATACCAACACTCGTCAGAAATTACGGTTTTCTTGAAAAATTCATACTCGGCAAATAATGTCATGGTCTTTAGAGCATCACTTTGGTCCAGCTCGTATCCTCTTTTCTTAAGACTTTCGATGATGGCTAGAGCACTGGACACTTGTGTGAATTTTGAATCAACGCAATAATAATCGTTAATTTCAGTGGGAATAACGAAATCGGATGGATCAGCGCCACGATCCAAGAGCATATCGACTATATTCGGTAAATAATTTTCCGCAGCTTCTTGCATCGGTGTCCGTCCCCCATTGTCCTTCGCATCGATCAGCCCCGGCTGATTTTTTTCGTCGTTGATCGCGAAGTACATCTTCGCCAACGCATCGGCATCGCTCTGGCTTTTCTCACAAATGAAGTGCAGAGGCGTCGATCCTTGCCCGTCGGCCAGATTTGGATCACGCCTCTTCGGAGCAGTACGTATATTCGTAGCAGTCTCTCGCATCGACAAATTGATTAACTTATCCATAAATTTATTTCTCCTATACTGGACGAGCAACGCAGTCCGTACCTTCTAAGCTCGCATCGCATCGAGCCATCAATGAATCGTTCGTAAATCTTAGCTACGAATCCAGCAAAAAAAAGCTCTGAAGAATCCAGCTGGATCTGGCTGTGTTTGGTTTGCGAAGTTTGCAAAATATCTTAGCTGTCTACACCTTTGCTGGATTTATCCGTGACGTTTTTGTTCAGTGCGTGTCAATTAAAAAGCTCCCCGCACTTTCAATGGATAAATTTAAAAATGTTCGCAACGCTTTTCAGTGTAGGGTTTACGAATTACTCTTTTGAATCCTATTAAGCACGGCATCAAAAAGAATTTTTGGCAAACATTTCTCGGGAATAACTTTTTAAAGGTACCGATGTTAACTCTTTCGGGTTTAAAGCGTGTTCAGTTTTAAAATGTCTTCATTGAATGCGCTCTTTTTTTTCATTAAATGGATGGTCTAAGTAGGATTTTGCTGAATCGAGTTCTATCCTTCTTAACCCACAGTAGCATCATTTTACTAGGAGACATAGATATATTATATTTATGAATGATTTTACCAACGGCCCGCAAGAAACTATTTTCCTTCGCCTGCGCAGAGAGGGAAATGCTATTGTAGGACCACTGAATATGAAATATCGTATGTAGTCTAAGCCGCCAAAAAAGAAATCCCTTATGCACTTTTTTTCTGGGGTTATGTGCTATTTAATTTTTATTCTGACTGATCAGGTTGACGAATTATTTATTAACAACTTTTAATCTGCTCTGTTCCGATTATACATTTCGATTTTGATTCGATATCGATACTTCAATTCATAGAGACATTCAGCGCGCTTCGCGCGACTCATCATTCGATATTCGATAACTCCATGATTCGATAATCGCATCCTCAAATTTATTATTAGATTATTAGATTTGCTTGGCGGCTACAGGTCAAAGCTCGTCATGAAAATAAGGCATAATTACAGCTTTCTGTAATTATCCAAAATTCGAATGTAGCGTGCATTACAATATATATTTATTTTATTTTATTTTACATTTAACATTTGAAAAAAATCATATTAATCAAAAGTTGTTTGATTAAAAAGAGGATTGGAAAAAATGGATATGAAAGAAGAGAAGGAGGATATATTGGAAGATTCTAACCTAGAAAATTGCCACGCCAAAATCGCGGATCTCATTAAAGAAATCAAAATTGCATCAGAAGATATAACTACATTATTAAATCAAAAAATAAAAAAAGAAGCTGAGCTGGCACGAGAATTTGTGAAATTGACGCATATTATAAATGCTACAAAAGCGGTCGATGACGAGGAAAAGTTGAAAAGTACGTCAGAGGAAAAGAATTTGAATTACCCTTCCCAAGACCATCGTGACATTCAAATGGATTTCAGCGATGAAAAATATATTTTATTACCAATAGAACCGGTATTCATTGAAGTTCCAAACAATCCTGTGGAACTTCCAATGGAAAAAAAAGACGATGGGGAGCATGCCGTGGATACTTTAGCTTTAAACTCGCAGGAGATGGGAACCACGTTTCGATATATTGTATGAGAAAAATTGCAAGAATAATTCGACTTATCTTAGAACGAGTCCCCTTCTTAAGCCCTTAGCGCGACATGTCACTTGTGGAGAGTGACTATTGCGGTCGAGGCCACCTAGCGGCCGAAGCGGTAGGTAGAAGAGAAACGAAGGGAAAATGAGAAGAAGTGGTTCAAAAAAGTATCGAAAATTTGTCCGTCCCGGACTTAATGGGTTAACTTAAATACACACACGATGTTTAGCATGCAAGTATTTTTCAACGATCGAGGCTGCTGCTGCTCCTCACTTTATGTTTGGCAAATAAAACGAGTCAAAGTCACTCGCTCGCTGTACACATTATTATTTACATACATCATATATTTTTAGCGAACTTTTTGCCGACTCGACGAGAGGTCGCGAGACTTTTTCTCGCGAGTATACAGGAACCTTGCCGCGATCTTGTTCGGCGATAATCGATCTTATAACGTGTACTCACTGCGCCGCTGTTGCAGCCAAACTTTATCGCATTCGTAAAATATTTTCGCGCGCGAGATTCAACACTTTGTCGCGCGACGCGGAGGATATAATATTTTGCAATTACGAGCTAGTGAACGAGTTTTTTCATGCCGACGCCGCCGACGACGATGAGACACGATCGATGTTTTGAAAACAATAGCCAGGCTATATTGCGAGACGATACAGATATACGTATATCTTTTCTCTGTTTCAAAGGCCGATCGCGCGCGATGCACCTCGCCCCCCGAGAAATTACCGTCAATTAAGTCTACTCGGGGGCGCTCTAATTGTGCCAAGCTCGCGGCTCGCTTTCTGGTTCATGTCTGTGTATGAATATATAGCATGTGTGTTGCTGCTGCTGCTGCTGCTTGCGTGCGCGCACAACGACGATACGCAGCCGGTGCCCGATGGTCTCTGCGCTATCGTGTATTTACCGCGCGATTTTACTCGTTGCGTAATGTAATTATTAAAAGGATTTTTCCTGCATCGAAACTATACGAATTCGATTGACTAAGAAATCGTTAAAAATGAAATCCGATTATTTTCTTAGGCTCGTGGATCGTTTCATTGAACTTTTTCAAAATTCACCGATGCAGTCTGGTGTCGATAATTTTCAATAATAATGGTAACATTGACAGAAGAGATGCGGCTGAAACCTCAATGTTTAATCTTGTGTCTTGTACAATAGCTAAACTAACTTGCAGTCGCATACAGACTCGATCCCATTTTCTTTATCAATTTGCACCGAGTGTGTATACACCATACCGTTATCGTTTCGAACGAAAATAAACAAGATATAAATTTCGAGACGCGAATTATTAGCCATATAGAATTTTGTAAAGATTCGCAAATAGATCTTTCATTAATCCGCCTCGACGACTTAAATCGTCGTATGCGAAGGGTGGAGACATTTATATACGAATTTTTCTTTCGTTACCTATATGATAGCGTTGACAAGGGATGACTAAAAAAGGAAAGAATTACGATTTCATTTGCAAATCGTATACTTGGCTCGACGAGTCGAGCTACATACGCTCGTCACGCAGCTATGTCGCCGGAAACATCTGCTTTGGAAGAGCTGCTGTGTTTCTATTTCGAAGCGTTATTATACGCGAAAATATGTATATAATTAATATAGCCCGCCGCTCGCGCGTTAGTATGACTCATCCCGCGATGTCAACAATATTACGATCGAGTTGCAGCCAAAAGAGTCGATACTAATATAATTTCGCATCTTCTCTGTTGCAGCTCGATGTGAAAATAATAATATATAAACGCGCAATTATTCGAGTACTTTGGACGCTCGCGAGAACGTATACAATATGTGCGCAGAGAGAGCCACAGCGGCGCCGTTATCGACCTTTTCATACACATAGTTTATCGGCGAGGGACGCGAAAAAATCGCGTTTGCGCGAGATCGGCGATAAAAGAGCGAGAGAGACGATCGTACATATACATACGAAGTTGTGCGAGGGAGAGAAATCGGCGCGGCGTCGATTGCATTGAGAGACGACGACGACGACGCGATCGTTACACATCATTGTGTACGAACGTATCGCGATTATTAACAAAAAAAAAAACGTAACGAGGATACTTGATAATAACGAGACACGTAACTCGTTTGCGCGCGCACGTGTGCATCTAGTACATTTTATCATGTATGTATACTGGACTAGGAGGTGTGTCAGTAACCCGAGGAAATGATATAGATTTCTGAAAATCACTCGAAGCTTATTTGCTCCTTTTTTTTTAATTAATCCGCTATTTACGAAGGTGTAGCATTCGTAGCGAGGCATTGCATCAAGCTAATTTTTAAATGTTGTACTAGAAACAATAAAATACGTTTCTAATGATTTCATGATAAATGCGAGTTATACAAGATTAAATGACCGAAAATTAGCGCGAATTAAGAGAAGTAGGGGCTAAATCGTCTTCCTACCACTACTCTGAGTTTCCGATATCTGCTCTACCTCTGTGTCTCTTAGACAGATCGCGATACACGTATACGGTCGGTACAAGTTAGAAGATCGCGTCGATCGCTGCCAGTGATCTTCGTGAAAAACTCCAAAAATATCTGGAATCGCAAGAGATCGCGCGTCGTTCGATCATCGACGAATCCGCCGCTGGCCTGCTGGAGAACATCACAAAGCTTAGCCCAGAGGGAGAAGAATGCATCCTCGAACGAAGAGACGCCAATGACGATCGTGTCGCTGTTCGCCAGGTATCGATGGTTCGAGACCAGGGTGGATCGCGAGAGTCGTTGGTACGACGTGGAAACGTTTCGGCAAGAATTGAGGAGGCTAAGCGAGATAGGATTGTTATCGAGGATCTTTATCAATGACGAGACGAGTCTGTAGCTCTACGACCTGATTCTGGGCCCTTCTTAAGCCCTGACAGCGACATGTCACTTGTGGAGAGTGACTATTGCGGTCGAGGCCACCTAGCGGCCGAAGCGGGAGGTAGGAGAGAAGCGAAGGGAAAATGAGAAGAAGTTGTTTAGTGGAGAAACAAAGTTAATTTTTTATCGAAGTACTTTGTCCCTATCCAGCCAACAACCTTGAAAACTCGTCGAGTTGTAGAATCTCTATAGAAGTCCGAGAGATTTGTGCACTCTCCGGTGATCCGGGAGAGAGCACGTCGCTTGGGTCTCGGTGACTCTGGTATAACGAGAGTGTCATACTGCTCCGGAGGTCCGGGAGCAGTATGATCGCAATAGAGGAGCTTTGAGGTCTAAATTAGAAAAGCTCCGAAATGTTTAGAAATCGTATTCCTAAGATTGTAGACGAGGATTTTGTTTAATTTGGTTATAAAATTTATAACAAGAACCGAGAAAGATGATGATGATTTGTGGCTACATTAGCTTGTATTATATTCTTGTAATATATTTTTGTAATATATATTTTTGCATAATTTCCACATCATTTTTATGAATAAAATTTAACAAATGACTTTCGATCTTTCCATCTCGATAATCACACTCGTGTACTCGATTTTTCGAATCTGTTTTTAAGCGGCGTTGGCTCAGTACGTCAGCCTAGCTAATTCATTGGGCCAACAAAGGAGGATGCCGAGTCGGGCGCGAAAAGTTCAATGGCGTCTTCGTTGCATTATACATGTAACATGCGAGCGAGTATCGGTCGGCCGTGAAACGAATTATATATGTGTCACGGTAAACGTATATATACGAGAATGTCTTTTGGACATCTGGAATTGTGCTATGTATATGTACGATCAAAAGCACGACAAGTCCCGTAGCAAGCCTCGGAGATAGATCGGAACGAGGGAGAAAGAGAGAGAGAGAGAGAGTGAAACACATCGGGGGCGTCCATCGATCGTTTCGCAGAGAAAGAAAGAAAGAAAGAAAAAGAGGCAATGCGCGTCGAGGTTACATCATCGCGGCGTCGGTGGCAACGCTCGCTAATAATCTCGAGATGCCAATTCTTGCAATTTATTAACATACATAATACACAGCGAAAAATCCAGCAAAATGATTCAGTCGCGCAATCGGTATCGCGTACAATACAGCACGTGTACCGCGCCAGCAGATGCTCCTTTTCTTTTTCATTTTTTTTTTTTTTTTTCTGCAATAGTCTTACACACATCTTTATCGCTCTTTATTATAACATATGATGATTTTGTCTCTCGTGCCTCGTCGGACGTCGGACAAGAAATACGATACAGCGTCGAGCGAATGCCGACGAGCTTCTTCTATCTGTTCCATGGCATAAGAAAGTGATACTCGACTCGAGTGGCGAGGAGAAGCACGTGGAGCAGTACGTTATAACCCTAATCGCTCGGTGCGAATTGAAAGGTACAATGGGACTGACTGCTCGATATTACAATCGAAAGTATATAAAACTCGAGTACGGAGCGAAATAATTACATGCGCAACAACGGTGGCCGCAACACTGCTAAATAAGATACGATTCTTGTGGGCCGCGGCTATCGCGGCTAGTCTTGCTTTTTATTTTAGCCGGCCGCAAAATAGGAAGTGGATATATACCAATATCAATGCGCGGCGTTGGTGAGACGATATAATCCAACGCAATAACGAGCGACTCTTGCGTGTGTATCTCTCTCGCTTGTTTATGAAAATTGCGTTATGGTATTTTTTGTATCATGGGCGCGGAGCAACGAACAAACAAACAATTAGCTATCGCATTCGTGCCATCGCCATCGCCGCCACTGCTTCCGAGCGATATCTAGGTCGATCTACGCATCGCGATGGGGCTTCGTTTTTGCGCGTCTCTCTGGTTAATTTAGACGTATTTTTTGTTTTATCATTGGGACCGAAGTGATAATTTATAGCGATAAAGAGCAATAATTACGGACAACCTTGACTATTCACATCGCATACATTCGAGATGTCGACCAACAGTCGCAGTCTCTCGTCATCGTCGAGGCAATATTTATAGTTTATACGTCTTATATATATGGGGGAAGGGATGATGATGGCGCAGAACATGTGTGTGCTGCTGCTGCTGCTCGACGACGACGACGACGACGACGAGCTATATATACGTCAGCGCGCACTACGACGTCGACGACGACGACGATCCGTGGCTTACTTCCGACTTTCGTCGCGAGGCTTCCACGGCACGACGAATAAATTCTCATCCATATACGCATACGCACACGCATGCACGCGATGTAGGACTGACACAATAACTGTATATATAGTCGAGCGCAGGTCAGTCGTTTATATTGTTCGCGACTGCATCGTGTGTATATCGGTATAATGTAATTTGGTCATTTCCGCAAACGTCGACGGACTCATCAACGGCACGCGTGCCTATATACTTTATTATATACACACGAGGAGCTTATGGAGTAGACGACGACGACGACGATGGTAAAAATACACGCACGCGGCCGATATTTAAATTTAGCCAAAGACGGCCCGAGACGAAGATGTTCGCAAACGGAGGCAGAAGAAGAAGAAGGAGGTAAAAGAGGAGAGGAGGAGGAGGAGAGTCGTGTCGCAAGTTAGGCTGCACACGCACACGCGAATTCCGTATTATAATAATATAATACACGAAGAAAGCACGACAACGCGCACACCGGAAATGAGCTTATGTCATTTGTTGCCCTGTATACCCACATTATATACATATATACACGTTATCTCTCGTATATAGGCATGTATGTATATATCTCGGTTACGTTATGTCTATCGCGAATATCCGTATATATGTATACTCGGCAGCTAAGCAAAAGTAAAGCTTCGTCGTCCGGTGCGTGTGTATTAGATAATATATATATACGAGGCGTTATCGATCGAATTCTATACCGGCCGGACTGAGAGACCGAGACTGAGACGACACCAACGAGCCGCGCGTTCAACGCTGCGGATATTTTTACGCTTATTTAGACTACGACGAGAGCACCACTTCCAACCGTATAATCGTTATGTACTATTATGATACAACACGAGGCACAAGCCGATATTATAAAATGCTACGCACGTATAATTGGGCGCGCGCGCGCGAATGGATCGGTAGTATATTATTTCGGGCTCTCGCATGCCGCACATTATATAGGAAGCGGGAAGAAAAGGGATATCTGCGCGAACGAAGATGATGCAAAAACTGCCGCCGACTTCGTGTCGTTCGTAGATGCCAAAATGGCTCTATACGCAGCCCGCAGCCTAAATTATCTTCTCTTTCACGGTGTTGGTGCTGGTGCACCAGTGTGCGTCACGCACATATTTCGTCAGACCGTGCGGTATATATATAATATTCAACCAGTGTACGCGTCCCCGACCTTTTCGTCGCTACTCGTTCGCCCGTTAATCATCGTATACATGAAAATATAATAAAATAATTATTACATGCGCGTATAAGAGGCGTAGGAGGAAAAAAAAAAAGAAATCGACGGCCGCGCGGAGTCCTCGACTGCAGCTCTACAGCTCTTATCGACTCGAGCGCACACATGTACGTCTCTATATCGCACAATCCGCGCCTATTCATAATTCACGTACGAGAAGGTGGTGGGCCGCGTGTCTAAACTGCAGCTGTGCACTTATATTATAACGTACAAACGAGCAGCGGTATAAAGTAAGCACCGACGACATCGACGACGAATCAGTCGTAAAAGCGAAATGTTAATGCGTATGCTGCACTACCGCACACGTGTGCGCGCCTCTCTGTGTACACAGCAATAGCCAAGTATATCGCTCATAAATAAGAAATAAAGTAGCGTACATAGAAGAAGAAGAAAAATTGGCGCCGTGTTTTATATACATACATACTGCATGCACCGCTGCTACTGCCGCATGGCACACACGCTCGAGCATGTGGCATTTTCCTTCGCCGCGCTCGCGATTCGCGAATCTAATGTCATGATAATTTCATGCGGCAACAGCATCGACGCGTACGTAAACAAAATCCAAGTCGACTTTTCGTTGATACATATATATCGTGTAAATGCACGGTTCAATGAAAGAAGGAAAGAAAGAGAGGTAGAGTGCGGCGCTCCGAGCGAGAGAGCACGCGGTTGCATCATCCAAAGCCCAACCACGCGAGCCGAGACTGTGTACCTTCGGAGGGACAGAGGTAGAAAGAACGAAGGGTACGGTGAGAGATCGACGAATAAACAATTGTAACAATCAATGTGAACACTAACCTTTTATCGCAATTCGGCGACGATATCTAGTCGAAAGCTCTCTTCTCTATCAGTAGTAGTAGATTCCAACAAAAAAAAAAATTTAACAAAAAAGAACAGAAAAAAACCCCAAAAAAAAAAGAGAAAAAAGCACACGGATCGGGGGGGCTGCTAATCTTTTATCTCATGGCCCCGGAACTTGCTGCTGCTGCTGCTGCTGCGCCGATCGCGTATATCGCTATACAGCGCGTCACACTCGTGTCACCGAAACAACAACAACTGCCGAACCACCCCGTGCCGCTGCCGATCGCCAACTGAACTCTCGATTGTATGCTCCTCCGGCGGGCCGAAACCGCCGCACCACCACGGATAAATTTGCCGTATTGTAGTAGTATGTGTGTGTGTGTGTGTGTGTGTGTGCGTCGCGCCGGCGACGAGTGGCGAGCGAGCGAGCGAGCGAAATTCTGCACACACGCAGACACCGGCGCAGCGCACTGCCTCTGCTCCAACGCAGAAAAAGAGAGACTATCCCCGCCAACTATAATACCGACTCTCCTACGCGTTCTTCCCTTCCCTATACGCGCGCGAAACTCGCGTCTTCTTTCGGTCGGCTATATTTATATATGTGTGTGTATATAATACACAGGCGTCGTCGTCTCGTGCAACACACTCGACCGGTTGCCTCGATGCTTTTTTGCACGCCTCTATGATATTAGCTCTAGCTAATGGATTTCGCTCGGGGCTATAACGATACGAGGTGCGAATTCGTTACATCTTGGAGACCATTGACTAAAAAAGCTCTCTCGTGTACACGCGTGCTTGCACACATCTTTACCGATCTTCGACTCGACGATTGGCATTCCTAATATCGATCTATATTAACTTCCTCTTCCTACGATCTGAATTCAAATCGATGCAAGCTCGATGAAAACAAGACTGAATAAAGAAAAGAGCAGCAGCAGCAGCAGCAAAGCTCGTTTCTCTGCCACTTTGACGTTTTCGGAATATAATCGCTCGTAGCTGCTGCTGCTGCTGTTACGTGCTTTTCGCGCTTTGCATAACAACAACCGGGGGTCAAGAGCGATATCTCCTCCGCGCGCGCGTAGCAGACAAGCGCCGTCGTTGTTTTCTTTATTCAACGCCGATTTTTCTTTAAACATTCCGATCGTTCCCGAGTAGACGATTTCCGCGTCTATGAATGCGCATCCACGTGCACGTTCACGTGTCGTGCAGCACCCGTCTGCCTTTTTCGAATTTTACCGACCGAGTACCAAAAAAAGCGAAAAAATCATAAGCGGATTAGTAAAGAGAACCGGATCGACCGGTCTCGCAGCGAGAAGTGCACACAGGCACAAAAAGCAAAAAAAGCTCGGATTTGTAATTGTGACTCGCGTGACGCACAATAATGTAATAACGCCTCGGAGCCGTTGCATGGAAAACGAAGATAATTCGCGCTGATTTTTCCATCAATAACGAGAGCGATATTACATTATTGAGCAAGATCGGCGAAGCGAGGAACTTCCCGCGCTCCTTCGATGTATAATAATAATAATAATAAATTTGCTCAATCTCGCGATTCTCTCTCTCCCTCCCCTCGACAATATACGAGATAAGGTTCACACAGCCTCGTACGAGTCGAGATGCAGTTCTAATACTTGTATTTGACTCTCGATTTTGTTTGCTCTTGTGCGTAAAATGGCCTTGAGATAGAGAGACAGCCGCGTGTTCAAACACACAAGTTGAGAATAAAAATCAATAAAATGCCCCGCGTTGGCAGTTTTTGACGATAAGCGGGGACTCGCGAAGCTCGGCAGCTGCGAAATTTTTCGAGACGTTTAAACGAGCCATAAGATTGATCAATTTGTAATTGACCGAGGCGTCGTCGAAAGAAAGGGAATTCAGAAGCGTCTGGCCGAAATTCTAAAGCTTCGATATCAATTGAGCTGGATTAGAGATCGCGTGAGAAAGATCTTAGTAGACAATTTCGTTCAATTTAGGTCCTCTCGCGCGACGACGAAAATTCCCCCCGCGCGTATAAAATACTCCGTCGAATCGCGCGTCGCGTTCGACGTTCTCGAGACTCTTCAGCCGCGCGGAGAGCGCAGAAGAAAAACGAGGCCGTCGTCGCGCGTCCGGAAATTGCGACTTTGTTACAATTAGTGTCAATACACATATACGACACGTTATTTCATATCGTTCGTCTCATATGCACGCGAGCCGTCCGATCGTTACCTTTTTCCTTCTTCTTGCCTTTGCCCTTCTTGTCGTCGTCCGTCTGTATCTCTCTGGTCTCGAGTCTGACCGGTGGCCGCCTCTCCGGACCCTTGGGCGTGCGCATCTCCAGCTGTATGTCGGACTTCTCGCCGCAGCCCACCAGGCCCTTCTTGCCGATTCGCAGTATGAAGACGTCGTGCTCGGGATCGGCCTCGAGGTCGGCCTTGGTCGCGGCGTCCTTCTCGCTGGCGACCGTCACCCTGGGCTCGATCCTCGGCTGCGGATTACCATTGTCATCGTTGTTGACGGCAAGCAGACCCGACACCTGGGGGAAAAATTCGATTCGTCAAATTATTATTTCAGCCAGATCGAACCGTCCCGCGTACTTTGAGCACCACGGCCTTGCCGCAAGATTCCTTGGGGCCGCGGCTGGTCTGTATGGGGGCGTTGTCCGGGGCCGAGCAGCGCGTCGCGGGCGCCGGCTCACCTTTGCCTCCTTTGTTGTTGTTGTTGCACTTGCTCGTACGGGCGCTGGCGTGCTCCCTGCACGGGGCGCACGGCATCCTCTCCTCCTCCTGGCCTTTGTTACATTTTCCATCATCTTCCCCACCGTTGACGAGAATCTCCGAGATATCGCAGCCCCGCGGGTCGAGCTTCTTGCACTTGTAGCTGAGCGCGCCGCAGTCGTCGCAGGTCAGCGTCTCGGCGGCCTTGAACACGAAGCTGGAGATGCTCGCCGCGTCCTGAGACTCGGCCGACTCGGCGACGACGCCGGGGGTGGCGATCTCCGTGACGATGACCTGGCCGTGGGCCGAGATCCGCGCGTACACGTTCATCGTGCCCACGGGACAGCGCTCGTCCGGATAGTAGATCTCCACGTCGTCGTCGAACACCTTGGACGGGTTCTGAGAAAAAAATATAATCAAGATTTAATAATCTATATATGGGCTACCCAAAAGAGGAAATATATTTTATACCGTACCGGCAAGTCGGTGTTGCCGTACTTGGTCGCGTCGATCAACTCCTTGCACAGCGCCAAAAAGTGCTTGCTCATGTCGATCACGGCCTTGCCCACTACCACCGAGTCCGGCCTTATGTCCGGCGGCATGAGCTTCTTCACGGCCACCTTGATCTTGAAGCTCTGGCACTTGTCGCTCACCGCGTCCTGGTCCAGGGCGAACAGCACCGATTTGCCGTCGTAGAACGTCTCGACCTTGTCGACGCCACCCGGCGCCAGTGGCTCGAACAGAGTATCCACGGGCGTGAATTGCAGGTCGTCGTCCTGCGCGCGGATGAGACAATTTTTTTTTTTTTTGTAATTCGACGCAGGTCGAGAGCGTAATAGACACGAGTGTGTACGTACGGCTTTGAAGTCGAGAAATCGAAAGGCGATGGTGGTGGGCACGCAGAAGACCTGATTGAGCTTGATGAGGCGGCAGCAGTCGACGTGGCGCACGTAGAACTCGAGGAGAAAGAGATACTGCTCGCGGCAGGGATTCGGGCAGCCGAGGTTGCTCGGATCAGCGGTGCCGACTCCCTTTACCGATGTCATGTTTTGGGCCTTTGTGTTTATTTTTTTTTTACTTTACTTTACTTTAAACGAATGTACGAAATAATGAAGGAATTTTATAGTGCAATGGGATTATATTGGAAAATTTTGGAAAATGAATTGTTAAAGCACTCGGAATTTTGAAAGGGGTGTGTGTTGATTTTGCGTTAACCTCGCCGCGACAGATGGAATTCACCGACGTCGAATCATCGTTCAATAAATAAACAAAAAGCGACGGCTGACGTTTGCCGGCTCAAAGCCGACTTTACGGCTGTTTGATTTTGTTCTCTCTCTCCATCTCTCGGATTTCGAAAATTTTTAGTGGTTAAAATTGCAACAACGTGCAAAATTACATAAACTCTCGGCCTCCCTCCCCAAATTGAAAATTCAATACTGTTTCGGTCGAATCGTTTCGACTTTTATAATAATAGAGAAAAAAAAAATGGAAAAAAACGCCCAAGAGCTGTTCCTCGCGGAATTCATGGTGGACCGCGTGAAAATCCCGTCGGTCCAGGCGCAGGTGGGCAACGACGAGACGAGCACCCAGCCCAAGACCTGCATCGAGTTCAAGGTAAACTCGGCTCTTTTTTTTTTTTTTTGTAAATCCGTGTAAAATAACGTACGTACGTATAGATCCTCAGTCTACCGCCGATCTTCATCTGCCAAGAGCCGACCTCAGGTAGCAACTGCACCTGCCTCGGCGACGAGCCGCTCGTCTTTCGCAAGGGCAAGTCCTGCCTGTTCGCCCTGCCCAGCCACCTGCTCGCCAAGCCCGTCTGCAGTTTCCCGGTGCTCATGACGGCCTACAAGATATTTCCGCCCGACACGCTGCCGGACGTGATGACGTTAGGCCAGTGTCAGATCGACGTGCGCGACATCGTCAACGACCTGATGCAGGAGTCGGCCTGCAAGGCCGAGCGCACCAGCCCCTGCAAGGCCATGAAGAACAACTTCAGGATACAGACGCCGACGGGTCAGTGCGTCGGCGAGGTGTGCGCCTTCGTGCGCATGTCGAGACTGGGCAAGAAGGTGGTGACGCAGTTCCAGACGCCGCACAACAAGAAGCCCTACCTGTTCAAGGGTAGGGACAGGAGCTCGGTGTTTCAGTGCAGGAAGGTGGAGGAGAACGCGGACGACTGCTGTCCCAAGCCCAAGTGTCCCATGGAGAAACCGTCCAAGTCTTGCGGAGGAGGAGGTGGACAGAAGAGTCAGAAGTCCTGCGGAAAGAAGAAGAGCTCGTGTGGACAGTCGGCCGAAACGGATCGTAAGGGATCGTTATTTTTACTTTAATGATTCGTCGTATTTTTCATGTATTTTTTTTGTTCGTTACAGATTGCGGGAGCAATTTCAATGCCGAGGAAAAAACGAGAAAGTGCGGATGTAAAATAAAAGATGGCAAAGGCTGCGGCGGATGCTAGTTAAAACGAGAAAAATATCAAATTATTCAAGCCAGCTCGAGCAAGTTTTGTCGCATCATCCATGAGGTAATTGTAAAAAAAAAATTCCATCGTCGCCGAGCTGTACAACAACCCTCGACAATACGCTCATCTTTTGTTTTCAGTTTTCGGTTATCATCGATCCATCATAACCCCCCCAATAAGCCAGTCGCGATACTCGCAACACGCAGTTTAGGCCCACACACACGACTTCAAAATTTTCAGTGTCGACAAATATTTCCCGATCGTATAATACTTCGCTACCCACACACAACACACACGCAAACAAACTTTTAACAAGAGAATAAAAAAAAAACAAACCTGTCAATAATAAACAAGACTATTTCAACAAACAAAAAAAAAATAAATCATGAATCAAGAAAAATCCAGTGACCAACGGACGGACGCTTGCGAACGAGGCAAGACTCGCGAACGAGGAGGAGACGAGCAGCAGCGGGATCAGGAGGCGGATTGCGACAATAGTACCGAGGCCGCCGCCGCCGCCGCCTCCGATCCGTGCGATTCCGATCCGAAATTTCAAACCAACGTCTGGGTGAACGTACAGTTCGAGAGGAATACCCAGCAAGTCCAGCTGTCTTTCAAGTAAATATACATTTTTATACGCGCTTGATAGTATGATTTTGTAGTTATTTAATTTTTGAATTTTTTTTTTTTTTTTCGCGCTTAAAGGAATCTGCCGATTACCAAACCGTAACTGACGCCCCACGGCCGATCGTCGTCGGGAAAGAAAGCACAGAGAGAGAGAGGACGAAGCACGAGCCCCGCGACAAAGTCGTCGACCCAAAAATACCACATAACATATTTTAGTTTATGTAATAGCTAATTTATATACTGCAAGCTCAAGCGAACCAAGTTAATTTTTCATAAGTTTTATACACCGAAGTATTTTATATAATATATTATTTATATATTCTGTATATAAAAAATTAGAATAGTCAAATAGCGAGTAATTATAACCATTTCGTTGATGAAAAAAAAAGCAGGAAAAAAATGGGAAAATTGACCCCTTCACCTACGAAATTGAAAAAAAAATACAATTGTCATGGCTAAATAATCATTTGGTTTTATATTGAAAAAATAAAGCATCATGATTAAAACGGAAAAAAATCGATTTTTAATCGTCAAAGTCATGGGGCTGAAAAAAAAAACAAAGCTCGATGTAAGCCGCGCGCAGTCGCCCCAACGGCAGCAGCGGAACACGCCTGCGCTCGAGCTTTCCGATGTCAATGCTGCTGAACGCTGTATACATATAATATACACAGCAGCCACTGGTGTATTACAGCAGCAGCAGCAGAGAAAGAGTCTCAGTCAGCAGTCCAACTCAAAGCCCAGAGCCACGAGGGATGAGGCAGTATCAACCCCCCACGGTTTGACGCTAGCGGGTTAGCTCAGTCGTCGTCGTCGTCGTCGTCATGAACGACTCGCCGAAGCAACAACAACAAAAGCAGCAACGCCAGTCGTCGACGAGTCAGGATGAGTCAGTTCAGCAGCAGCAGGCGAGCAGCAACGCCGAAGCCTCGACGAGTGGCTGCCAGCAGCAGAGTAACAGCGGCAACGTCCGCAACAGCGGCGGAATCGAGCTGAGCGACGACGAGGAGTGGAATAACCTCGTCGAAAGGGTGCGTGGCGTTAATACGACGAAGCTCTTCTTCTTTCCCATTATTATATACGCGTGTATAAGCGGATCTATGCGCGTAAAACTTGCAGCAGCAGCAACGCGCCGAGACACATATAGGGGAGCTTTACGTGCATAGATGTAAGCGGCCGGTGGTGGTGAGCGCGGCGCGCTACGCGTGCATTCGTTACAGTGAGTCATATGCCAGGCTGCAGTGTGTTGCGTGTTAGCGGTGCCTCGCACCACTGTGTTATACATACACATACACGCTCGGCCGAATCGATAGTTTTATCTTCGCGCGGCGTGTGCGGGCTTTTCCCTTCTGCTCCGTGCCGTGTGCTGTGCTGTGTCGCGCGTTAATGTACTCCATGATGCACTCGAAAGTACTCGATATATAGTCCGTAAGCCATGAGGGGGTAAGAATATTTATGCAATTATTTATTTATTTTTTTTAATTTTTAACTCGAATCGCGAACGTTTCCTCGTTTTCGATTTAAAAGCTCAATGCCGACAAAAGCGTAATCGATGACTCTCCGTACGAAAAAGGCCTCAATTGTTATTTCATAGATAACGTTCGTTCATTCTATTCAATCGAGCAAGAGATCTATACATATTTGATTTTCAAATTCTTATCTATATTTCTTTGCAGATTCTGTATAATTATTAAACGAAATTTCGAAAAACAAAAAAAAAAACACACAACACATGTATACCAGACGACGATACTCCGAAGGACAGGTATACGCATTTTTGAGAACGAGTTTTGTAATACACTCCGCAGAGTTGTGTTTCGTACAATTGTGTGTTGTTGTTGTTCCTTGTGTGTGATGTCTCGTCTATTAATTTGCAATAATAACAAGTACGACTACTACCTGCACCCCCCGGTTCGTTCACCAGTTTTTTTTTTTATACCTCTCGATGCGTCACGAAAAAGTACTACTTTTTTTTCTTCAAATAATCGTCGTACCAACTCTTCAGCCAGATCCAATGTAACACTCTACTCGCACCATGTAACGCACGCTTGAAATTTTATAACAAACACACCACGTAATAACCCGTATATCCGAAAAATCGTTAGGTGATTTTATTTTCATTTTTTGGTCGAGATCGAATTTTTCAATAAAGGCGAAAATACACGCGAGTTTCAAGGACCGATAAATTAATCGGAATTCGAGTCAACGTGTGCGCGCGTGCTACATAGATGCCACATTATCAATCCCCGATGATTTGCTCGACTTAATCGGTTGGATCCGTAAGCGATGCACGTCCGAATCGTGTATATCCTACTACCCTGCTGTACCTCATGTTAACACGACACGTTGTTACGTGTTGCTTTTTCACTTGTAACGCCACTTGGTAAATTGAAATTTCCCATATTTGACGTACATATCATCAGCTGTTATTTTGGTATTTTGTAGTTTGACTTTTATACCAGAGAAGCGATGCTTTCTTCACTATAAAATTATGTGTACACATCTAATTCACACACTGAAAGTAAAATGTTTGCGTTTACTCACACACGCACACGATGTAACAATAGTTCGAGGCTCACTACTTTTTCACAGTAATAATGTATACCTTTGAACCGACACTAAGAAACCTTATTTGCAAAAGGCATAAATAAAAAAAAAGAAAATAAATAATTTTTTCTAACGAATCGCTAACGTTATTAACAATTTATCATCGTCGTCAGGCCGTGCTCGAGCGCTCGAAATCGGACCGTTCGGTGCGCAGCGGCGACGACGAGCACCGACGCAGGACCATCATCGTCGAGAAGAAGAATGGCTCCTACGGTTTCACCTTACAAGTAAGCTTACATAACTCGAATAAAATTTAAACCTTTTCTTACGTGAATAAAAAAATGTTCCCCCCTCTCTCTCTATAGAGCTACGGCATCCACTACAAGCGCGAGCAGGAGATCGAGATGGTCACCTACGTGGACTACGTCGAGTCGGACGGGCCGGCCTATCGGGCGGGTATGCGCGAGGGCGACGTCATCCTGTCGATCAACGGCCAGGACGTCGACAAGGCCGACCACAAGAGCCTCGTGAATCTCATCAAGAACTGCGACGGCCGCATGCGCATGGTCGTCAGCTTCGAGAACTGCGTGCGCAAAGTGGAGCTGCACATGCGCTACATCGAGCTCCAGCGGGGTCTGCAGTCGAGGCTGGCCGAGCTCGAGCGACTGTGCGAGAGGGAGAGGGCCATACTGGTGGGCAGGTGGAAGACGCACTCGTTGCCGGCGCGCAAGAGGGCCCAGGCGAGCCTGACACCGGCCATCGTCAACGTGAACAGTCATCACGCCTGCGGCGACGTGGGATTGCCGGCCGATGCTCACCAGCAGCAGCAGCAGCAGCAGATGACTTGTCTGGAGGCGTCGAATTCCGTTTCTAGTCTGACTGCGGCTGCGGCCCAGTCCTGCTGTCGATCGGCCTCCTCGACCGAGCACCTGCTGCTCTACAACGTCGTCGGTTTCATTCTAATTTACTTACAAGGAGACCATTTCAGCTTCGGGTCATGGATTTGCTCCAAAAATTTTTTTGGAGTCTCCTGGTACCCAATACTGAAGCTCCCTGGGATTAGTTTGATCCAATGGGCCTTAGAGCCCATTTTTTACATGATTTTTCATATTATGAAAAAATCTTTGTTATTTTCTATATCGATTTAGAAGTACTAAAACGAAAAAATACAACGATCAAAAGTTTTTTAATTTTTCAAAGAATCTGCTTGAATTTTTTCAGAATTTTTGGGATTATCTACCACTCTCTTTACGAAGTCCTAAAATATACTAAAAAAAGCGTCAAATTTGGGCCTCTTGACTTAAGTGATAGATGGTCCCAAAAATTCTAAAAAAATTCAAGCAGATTCTTTTAAAAGTTTTAAAACTTTTGATCTTTGCATTTTTTCGTTCAAGTACTTCTATTTCGATATAGAAAATAACAAAGATTATAATGTGGAAAATCCCCTAAGCACAGGGAGCTTCAGTATTGGGTACCAGGAGACTCCAAAAAAATTTTGAAGCAAATCCATGACCTCGAAGCTGGAATGGTCTCCATGTTAGCTTTATTTTTTAATCGAACCCTCGACTTATCTAAAAAATTTTCGCAGTACTCGGACGGCCAGAACTTCCTGATCCCGCGCAACGCGGCCTGCCTCGTCGCTGTGGCTCCACCGGGCATCCGGGGTGGTGGCGGCGGCGGCCCCCGCACCGATCACCATCATCACTTCCTGTCGAGCGTCTCGGTCGCCTCCTCGGCCGGCGGAACGTCCAACGCTTCGTCCACTCTGCGCCACAGCTATCATCAGGCCGGCGGCGGCGGCGGCAGCAGCAGCAACGGCAGCCTCTCGCTCGTCGGGGGCGGCGGCACCCCGTCGCCCAAGCAGCAGCAGCAGCTACAGAGCAAGGACAGGGCGTCCCAGTGCAGCGTCGGCAGCGCCAAGTCCAACCAGTCGACCCAGGTCCAGGACGGCCAGACGCAGACGACTAATTCGCAACCGGCAACGACTAGCGCTGCCTCGAAGCAGCTGCAGAGCGCCCGCAATCTCTGCGTCGCGTGCATATCGAGCGCCAGGAGGCAGCGCGAGCGACGTCAGCACAGAGCCGATCAGGCGGCGGCGGCGGCAATCTCGTGCAGTGCCAATAACGACTCGGGCAGCCTGGACGCCTACGACCTGGCCGGCAGCCCGTGCTGCGAGCCCAACTGCGTGCCGGGCCGCAGGCGCAGCGCCAAGGACAAGCACCACGGCCGTAGCAGCGGCGGCGGCAAAGCTCAGCGACACGAGCAGGGCTCCCAGACGCATCAGCACCAGGTCTGGCATCATCATCTCGAGCAGGTGGCGGCTCAGCAGCAGCAGCAGCAGCAGCAGCAGCAGCAGCAGAGTCAGCAGGTGCAGACTCAGCGAGAGCAGCGAGACGCCCAGCAGCAGACCACGGGATCGAGACAGCCCCGGAGTCTGGAGGCCAGTCAGGCCGAGCTGTCGAACGGTCTGGAGTCGGCTCCATCGTGCAGCACCTCCCTCAGCACCGACACCCTCTACTGGGAGGGAGGAGGCGGTCGCGGGGGTCTGCAGCACGCCAAGCCCAAGTCCTGGGACAATCTGGCCTGCACCAAGGCCTTCGGTGGCTACGGCTTCGGTGGCTACGGCTACATCGACGCCGGCTCCAAACACCAACAGCAGCATCAGCAGCATCAGCAGTGCATCCAAAGCAAGAACAACAACGGCGGTGGCAGCGTTCAGTACGCCCGCCTCAAAAGCAGCGCCAGCGTGTGCAGCTCCACCTCGACCAAGCGACGCAGCTACTTCCAGCCGACCAAGTCGACCGAGAGTCTGCTGCAGCCCACCGGTACTTGTCCGGCCGACGTCAACAGTCTCAGCTGCGAGTGCCTCGACGGTGGTGGCGGTGGATCGCAACAGAGCCAACAACAACACCACAATCCGCGCTTCATCGCCGTCCAGCTGGAGAAGCACGTGGTGAAGCGGCAGGGCTCGGCCAGGCATCGACGCTCCAGCCACTCGGACAAGCAGCGGGCCAGTTGTAACGGAGGCACGGGAGAGGTCACCAGAGTTTAGCGAGCGGGACTCTACGGGACGATTGGATATTATTATGTATTGTAATACGTGTAAACACACACACACACACACTTGTCGGGCTCTCGATTTGTATATCGGGAGAGGGACGCGATTCGCCGATTCGTAAACGTGATATGACATTTACATATGCCTAGAGAATATTTAATTATAAATACTGTACATTGAATATATTATACGAGCATTTTAATTAAATTTGCTTTGATATAATTATCATTCTTGTTTCGTTATTTATTTCACTGTCAAGACTATAGAATTCTTATCTAGTTACCAGATGCAACAACTGCAACGAAATATTTCAAATATTTCAACAACGTGACTAGACACTTTTTCGCGTGCCGAAATATTATTAACGGCAAGACGATAATATGTTATGCCCTATTGTTTACTTTAGTTAGCCTGAACTTTCACGACTCGATTTGTCAATATTATTAAATTTTAGTTAGACGTGTCGAGAAAGATCAATCGTTGTCGAATTTCCAAGCGAGAAACATGGAATCGAGTGAAATATTTAACTGTGATATGAGGTAATTTTTATTTTATTAAGTCAAAGTACTTTTATAACGTAATACTCAATCGTATTTTAAATACATCAGAGTGAAACAAGAGCCAATCGACGTGTTGCTCGGTGAAAATGATTACATCGTAATCAACCAGACAGCCGATGTCAACAATTTTCAATTCCTCAGGCATCCACGAGAAAATCGAGTAAGTAATGATAATTGCATGCTAGATCATTTATTTAGAAACAACTTCACATAAATTATACTTGAGTCAGATTCGCGTGCTTCGAAAATCTGACGATAATCACGAAAGTGAACTTGACGACTTGGCAATCGAGTTGGAATGTAAAGACATGAAGCCGAGCTTGGATTTATTAGCGGTTATGAAAATTGAAAATTGTTCTGAAGATCACTTGTCGGTTGGTGAAAATAGTAATGAATATCAACTTCAAAAAATAATTAAAAAAGAAAACGTCACGAATGTGAAAAAAGAATTTTTCGACGACGTTCCGAAAGAATTTGATATGAATTCCAACCGCGGAGTCAGTGAGCCAAATAAAAGAAAAGCAGTTGTAAAAAAGTTGAACTATAATCATAAACTGAAAAGACGCTCTGGTACGGGACGTGGTAATATTACCCTTTCTTGTGAAACATGTGGAAAGGCATTCAGATATAAGAGCACTCTTAAAAATCACATCGACGCGGTGCATCATAAAATCACTCATGACTGTGCAGTATGTGGAAAGTCATTCCAACTTAAAGATTCTCTCAAAAAACATATTGAAGCGATACATAATGGTAAAACTCCGACATGCGATATCTGCGGAAAGACGTTCTCGCAAAAGGGCCATCTCCAAATCCACATCAACTCGGTACATAATGGTACAATCACCCATTCTTGTGATACATGTGGAAAGTCATTTAGACGTAAGAGCAATCTTAAAATGCACATCGAATCGGTGCACCATAAAATCACTTATGCCTGTGATATATGTGAAAAGTCATTCTCATTTAAAGATTCTCTCAAAAAACATATTGAAGCGTTACATAATGGTAAAACTCCCACATGCGATATCTGCAAAAAGACGTTCTTTCAAATGAGTAATCTTCGCATCCACATCAACTCAGTACATAATAAGATCACTCGTGCCTGTGCTATATGTGGAAAGGCATTCAGATATAAGAGCACTCTTAAAATACACATCGAATCGGTGCACCATAAAATTACTCATGCCTGTGATACATGTGGAAAGTCATTCTCATGTAAAATTTATCTGAAAAAACACATTGAAGCAATACATAATGGTAAAGCTCCCACATGTCATATCTGCAAAAAGACGTTCTCTCAAATGAGTAATCTTCGCACCCACATCGATTCGGTTCATAATAAAACAAAAAGTTACGAATGTGACGTGTGTGGCAAGAAGTTCTCGCAAAAGGATCGTTTGAAACATCATACCGATTCGATGCATAAAAGCATCATCAAAAAGTCATTTTCTCAAAAAAGTAATTTGAAAACTCATATCGATTCGGCTCATAACAGTATCAAACATAAATGTGATACTTGTGAAAAGTCATTCTCATTCAAAAGTTATCTAAAAAATCATATTGAAACGATACATAATGGTAAAACTTCCACATGTGATATCTGTGGAAAGACGTTCTCTCAAAAGGGTAACCTCCAAAACCACATTGATTCGATACATAATGGTAAAACCTATGCATGCGATATCTGCGCAAAGACATTTACTCAAAAGAGTAGTCTCCGAACCCACATCAACTCGGTTCATTATGGTGAAAAAAGTTACGAATGTGACGTATGTGGCAAGAAGTTTTCGCGAAAGGATAATCTGAAAGTTCATATCCATTCAAGGCATAATGGTATCATATACCCGTGCGATTTTTGCAGAAAGACGTTTTCCTATAAAATAAATTTAAAAACTCACATCAATTCGGTACATAATAGTGAAAAAAGTTACGAATGTGACGTGTGTGGAAAGAAGTTCTCGCGAAAGGATGTTCTGAAAAGTCATATCGATTCGGTGCATCTTAAAGTCACCCATAGTTGTGACAAATGTGGAAAGGCATTCGCACATAAGAGAAATCTCAAAGTTCACATCGAATCGGTGCACCATAAAATCACTCATGCCTGTGATACATGTGGAAAGTCATTCTCATGTAAAATTTATCTGAAAAAACACATTGAAGCAATACATAATGGTAAAGCTCCCACATGTCATATCTGCAAAAAGACGTTCTCGCAAAAGGGTAATCTCCAAATCCACATCAACTCGGTTCATAATAGTCAAAAAAGTAACGAATGTGACGTATGTGGCAAGAAGTTTTCGCGAAAGGATAATCTGAAAGTTCATATCCATTCAAGGCATAATGGTATCACATACCCGTGCGATTTTTGCAGAAAGACGTTTTCCTATAAAATGAATTTAAAAACTCACATCAATTCGGTACATAATAGTGAAAAAAGTTACGAATGTGACGTGTGTGGCAAGAAGTTCTCGCGAAAGGATGTTCTGAAAAGTCATATCGATTCGGTGCATAATAACATCACTTATCCATGCGATGTATGCGGAAAGGCATTCATACGCAAACCCTCTCTGAGAGCTCACATTGATGAGGTGCATAATGGTAAAAAACCTTACAAATGTGACACGTGTGGCAGGAAATTCTCACGGAAGTATGTCCTCAAAACTCATACGGAAATAATGCATAATGGCATCACCTACTCACGTGATTATGTGGAAAGAAATTAACACAAAATTGACATCTCAAAACCCATATTGTTATTTTTACAAAAGAATAATCTTAAAATGCACATCGATGTGCCGCACCGTTGATGTATTATACTCTAATAATGAATGTAACGAACTTATTATAATGTATCCAAAAACGACGACGTATGAGTTAGTATATTTGTTCATTAGATTAATTGAGACACTTTTTTATTTATTATACTTTGAAAAAAATTTAGTTAATATTGTTCGAGAGAATTTACTGTCAGAGGCATTATTTACGAGTTTGAATGCGATGAGCTTTCGTACTTATGTCGCAGGCAGCCGCCACAGTGTCACTAGTGTTCGTGTTTACGTGCTTTAGCTTCGTAGGTAAAACAGCTCAGTGTTTACGTTTTTGTATTAAACTTGTGCCGTGCTACAAAAGCAGTCTGTGAAGCTCTTAGGTTACCTCTTCTGCTGAAGGCAGTTCATCGTTTCGTTTAATTTTGTAAAGTTCACTTTCAAAACACGTCACGATGAATTCAAGAAAGAAGCACAATGTCAACTTCACCAAACCAGCAGAACCTGCCTTCATAACGCGAATGAAAAAAGAGGCTGGCTATGTGGAAGGACCCAGTGTTGAAACCAAAGTAATCATTTCATTTATTATATTTTAAAAGGTACATGAAAAATTAGCATTGAACCTTTATGTTTACACTTTGTGAATTTTTTCTAGAAAGAACAACTACCTGAATTCAACGAAGATGATTTCCAAGTGAAAGATGACGAAAAGCCAGTTGTTGTTGTTATGAACGAAGGTGATTTAACAGCTGAAGAAGCAGAGTCAATTGAAAAAGTTCAAAAACAAAGTATGCTGCACTTGTACAAGATATTATTCCAACTGAAAACCATATATTTATTAACGTTTTAATTCATAAATTTATGTTAGTTGCAGCAAAGGAAGAAAAAGCAGACTTGTCACAGAAAATTGTGTTTAAAAGAAAAAAAGAGAGCAGTGATAAAAACAAGGAGGAACAATCTAAATCTGCAGAAGAATCAAAGGAATCAAAAAGAAAAAAACAGAAAACTAAAGTAACAAAAAGTGTTTTATCGTTCAATGAAGAGGATGAAGAAGTGTAACATAACTCGCCAAAACAAAATATGAAATTATGTAAATTTATCTATTTCAAAATGAAATGTGATATACGATGATTTTGAATGCTCCAATTTTAGTGGAGCAATTGTAAAAATTGATGACTGTATAATAGTGTAATTTTTAGTTAACTTTATTAAGCTTTTAATAATTGTTTAAATATGGATTGAATTATTAAGAAGAAGCCTTGACTGTACAATATAACATTGTCATTTACTGCTTACTACTAAAATCATGTTTTTAAATCTGAAAAAATTTCTATTGTTCTATCAAATCTATTCATATAACTGTAAAATTTTGTTTGAAAAAATTTAAAATAGTAATAGAATTTGTAATAGAGTATTTTGATAACTTTTTGTAAACTAATTATTTTTTAAGCCTTATTAAACATTAACCAGCAATGATTTAATCAGTGTAGCGTCTTAAAAGGCAAGAAGTATAATTTCATTGAAGACAGAGATTTCCACGCATAAATAAATAAAATTTCCAAGTAAGGTATCTTCATGACATAAAACTTTGAGATCAAATTTCGAAATACATTGAAATGTCGAGTTACTCGGTTGAATTTTTTTTAATGTCGTGAATAAATTCGGCTCGGGTATATTTTGAAACGTTATTTTTTTTTCAATGCTAAAACAAGAAAGTTGCAAGGTAGGGGTCAATGCTTTTGACGGATCAGATAAATGCCGCAATTAAAATATTGCATACTTCTGCGTTTTCGCATGCAAATTATTATACCGCGAGGTAAAAATGCGCCAGAGAAACATCGAGGAGACGGCGAAGGATCACCGACTGCGATCCACTATGTCGTACACACGTATACGGTAGGATATACGCGTATGATATAATTCGCTGATCGGTGAGCATGCAGGTATAATACATACATATAATCCTTATACCTATATATATGATATATGCTCGCGCGGCAGACTTGACACAGTTTCGGTGCTGCCGCCGCTCGGCCGTACTTGCAAGTTGCAGGCAGGCAGCATTGCACGCGTTGCGCTTGCAGCAGCGTCCGCGTGACGCATCCATCGCGCAGCAGCAGCAGCACATCGTTGCCTCGCTTCGCGCTCGCAACTCGCATGCATTTTAGCCGTTATCGTTCGGTTCGTTTTGCGCGGACTGCTGCCTACATAATAATATACATATGTATATACGCTTATGTGTGTGTGTGTGTGTGTGCAGCTGCGCGCGCACTCATGACCAGCTGTGAGCAGTTGCTCTGGCCTGCAGCAGCAGCGCGCGCGCCCCTCGAAGCGCGAGAAAGAGAGACCGTATATACTGCAGTCTTAGCCTATGCGAATTCTATATATATGTTTCTGCCGAGCGAGAGATTAACACTACTACCACTACACGCCACGGCACACGGTGCAGCGATCTCGGTTTTGCTCTCCGCCTTGGGTCGGCGCTTTCGACGTCGAGCGATCTCTCTCTATATACATCCGATCATACGGCACATCGGAGTCTCGTTGTCATAATAATCTTTGGCGTATACTACGCGTACCGACACGTTCGAAATTCAAAATAGTCGGTCGCCCCCGCAGTGCAGAACACACCTATTAAAAAGCCGGGCAACGAACGACAACGTGTTGTGTTATTGTACGGTATATATAGCGATCTACACAAATCCGTGCCGAAGCGGCTTTAATAACGCATATATACAAGACAGTGCTCCAGAGCGCAGACGGTCTTATATACGCTGCACACACAACGCAGTGACGTGTGTGCGCGTCTTAGATACCGTACTATATAGTGCTGCACAGTGTTAGGAGTTTAGGACTCTCCTTGTGCGGGTAAGACTCGGTGCTGCTGCTGCTCTCCGTCGTGACGACGACGAACGACCGTAGAGAGTCTCGTATACACGTATATGTATCGGTGTGCGCGTGCGTCACTGTCTGTGTTAGTGAGTGCTGCGCGCCTATAATATAGTGTGTGTCCGTGTGTGTGTGTGTGCCTGTATAATTGTAACTCACACGAGACTCAGAGGTTGTGAGTCGCGCAGCGTGGCTCTCTCGTTGTCAGTGTTGTATATGTGTGCGTGCGTGCGTTAATATTACCTGGTGTGTGAACCTCTCTCGCGTCGCGTTGACTCTCTGCGTATATGATCGAGCTGTGTTGTGCCGTCTATAGTAGTGGTGAGTCGTGATTTGTGCACCTTTTTTTTTCTCTCAAAAAAAGCACACGAACCACCGCTTCTGCTGCCGTACTCGTAGTGTCGTAGTAGAATCAAGTGTCAATATTACACACGATATATATATATAGCCCGAGCATTCGCCGAGACGAGAGAGAGATTGACCCCGAGAAGATTGTGTCGGCCGTTTAAAACTCCGTATCGTTTTTAAAGTGCGCTGTGTGCTGTGCTGCTGCTGCTGCTGCTGCTGCTGCTGCTGCTGGTTGCATGCCTCGAGCGCGCACGAGGCAAACAAACTCTTCCTCCAGTTATTGTACATAATAATATACAAGTGAGAGAGAGAGAGAGAGAGCAACGACAACGATCATCGTGTCATCCGCGTCCACAGCTGTAAGTTTTTCATTTTTTGGATTTTGTCATTCTACTACTGCTCTGTCTAACTACTGTTTATTTTTTTATAACCGCCGACGCTTCGCGTTTGAATGGTAAACGCGACGTTCGAGTCGGCGCTCGTTCGTCTTAGCCGATGCTCGTTGTTTCCTTTTTCATTAAATCGTGTGCGGTGCACCTCGTGGAAACTTCGTACGCCACTCGTGCAACCTCGTCCTAATCCCACTCGGACGGACCCAGCTCGGTTATAGGTTATAAAATATTCTAACTTCCGTTTGCAATGCACGAGTATGTGTGTGTGCGTGTATGCGTGCGTGTGTGTGCATGTGTACGTGTGTACGCGTAAGCACCAACGGTCTATGTATTGGTGTGGCTCTCTCGTGCGTACATGTATGCGTGCGTGTGTGTGTGCCACTGTGCAAGTGTGTGAGATATGATTCGTTTAATACATCGTCGTCGTCGATACCACGAAATATGTTTATACATCGCCCCATCATGGGGCAGGTAGCATTCGACTACGCTCGTGTCCTTTTTTTTTGTCCATATAACAGAGACACGCTCGTGTAAACTTGCGAACGGATTCCCGCGCGTGCAAATCTCGCGTCGTTGTGTACAGGCCGCCGAGTGCATCTCTCGTTTTAGCAGCAGCACGTTGTGCGATGTGCGTTTCGGGAGATGCGTATAACATTATTATATGGGCACCCACCGCTGCACGCAACGCAACGTTTTACACGCATGGAGAGCAGCAGCAGCTTTTGGCTTTTAAGCATTAGAAGTTTCAATGGCAATGTGACCTCAAGCTTTTGTGCTGCTGCTGCTGCTGCTGCGGCGCGTCGTATTGCATATAGCTGCTCTGTTGCACGAGAGAGAGAGAGAGAGAGAGCAGAAACGGTACATAATTATTATTATAGATATAGGTATAGATGTATGTAGAGCGCACACCCGTAGATTTCTTCCATGTCGCCGATCGATTGGGGATTTTTGTTGAAATTTCGTAGGCGCGGATGGCAGGATGGACGAGCGCCATCTATACGTTGCCTCGATCTTTGGTTTTGCTACCGAAGATACTTGTAAAATCACGGTGTAAAATGTCACTCGTCTATTATCGCCCGATCCAAGAGGGTGCCGAGGCTTTAAAAGCTGTAAGGCATTAAAAAAAAATTCATTCATGTCCAAAGTCACTGAAAGCTGTACCAATGCACTCTACTCGTGGCAGCTTTTACGCTGCTCCTTTTGCTCCAGCTTTAACGATATCATCTCCGCACATACTTTGCATCGTGCAACGCGATTTTTCCATTCACTTGAAAATGCGTCGATCGCAAGTGACATAAAGCAGCAGTGCCCAAAGTGACACTTTTCCGCACGCGATGGGGAAAAACTGTGCGTTGCGCGTCGCGATTCCTGATTTTCTCCCCCATCCCGACGAGAAACGTACCATCGTACGACGATTCGCGATCGGGCAAAGTCCCGAGTACGGATATTTTTATCATAGATCGATCGAACGAGTATCCATTTTATGTTAATGATGAACTCACCACCACCACCAGCCGTGCATACGATCCCCGCTCGTGCTGCCCCCTCGTGCACTCCAAAATATTGCATGCGCTGTACTGTTCGTCGATTAACGCAAGACGACGCGCGATAAACAATAATCAGTATAGGCAATGAACAAATTGTCGCGTAATCGTAATGGCTTGGATTGGGCTTTTACAAGAAAAAAATAAAGAGAAAATAATAAGATGTTTGTGTAGCCGAATTGACGATTTGCCGTTTGTTGATGATAACCCATGCAAGATCTTACACGTTGGGGCGTGCTGCGTGAATGACGATGATATTCGAGCTAGTAACTTCATAATATCCTTTAGTTCATACTTAGGGCACGAAACAAAATCTCATGGTAGTCGTGCAGTTTAAAAAAAGACTGAAAGCTTTCGTAAAATCTTCATCTCTTTTGGAGAGCAATGTAAAACTCGTGCGCTCGATGAAATAAGCTCCAGGATTCGAGGAGTGTGCTTTGAATGGCACAAGGGTTGATTCTTTAACTTTGGAAGTTATTCGCACTTATTTTATGAAAGAACGTGCACTATAACTAGTCCCAGAAAAGATCTCGGCTTCGCGCAATGTTGCATTCCTATTTTGAAGTAAAGCTTAAAAAAAGTGCGCAACTCGAGCTTTTTCATTTAATCTTTCAAAACGAAGTGGTTTTCTACCACAAGACACTATGTACTATGTAATAATAGCTCGATATAAACTTAAATAATCCTCGTTTTCCATCGTCAATTTTGCAGTGGTATACGAGAGCGATACAAATTGACCGAGCGTTGGAAGCTCGCGCGCGCTGCATCGAGCATTCGATCATAATCGTTCGTATAATCCCGCACTTTTAATTAATATAAATCGAAAAAATAAAACCCGCGATCGACTCGGATAACGAATTCATCGCACCTTTCCACGAATCGGCACTTACACACGCGTTTCTCACGCTTCGACATGTATATAAGGCTCGTTGGTCGGCCTCGAATCTCTCTTGCACGCACACGAGGCGAGACACACATGCAAATTGAGAAAGGCGCGCTTTTGCTCCGGCGCGCGAAATTCAAACTTCTCGTATACTCGTTTCGACGCACTGCTCGTGCGGACGCTTGCAAATTTTTCGCTCGAATGTATCTCTCTTTCGGCTGCGGCTTTCCGCGTTTCTTTCCTTTCTTTTTTTCTTTTGGTCGAGCGCGGATTTAAGGGGGGCTCGTGCATCTCGTATACGTTACCGCGAGAAATCGATTCAACTCGATCGAAAGCTCAGGATCGAATAACTTGAAAGCTCTGCGATTTCATGGTCGATTCGAATGTTTCCGATCTACAGTTCGTTGAGAATCTCCTAACGGTACCGGTCGTAGCTCCATCCGTTAAGATGTAGTTCCACGGACGCTGCTCCTCGCGATCTCAACGGAGAATAGACTACCCGGCGAACTCTATATCTTTTTCTTTTGCCTCCTCTCGCCTCTGCGGCCCCGAACAAAAAAAAAGGAAAGAAGAAAGGCCGCGACTCGATAACTATCGACTCGGACTCACTCGAATCGTCAATGGTGTGACGCAAGAAGCAGCAGCAGCAGCGGCAGCGTCGAGGTTCGCGCGCAATGTCAAAAGACGCTAACGTAGGCACTTTTTTTTGCTTGGTTTTTGCCAAGCTCGGAGCCGCGCGAGGATATCGCGTAGCGCGCGCGATCGGCGGTCTCGACGACGACGACGAACATCGTGTGCCCCGAAAACTACCTCCGCGCCTCGCTCTGCAGCCATGATAATTCACGAGTGACCCTCTTTTTGTGCACTCACACCGCGACACGCATTAGCGTGTGTAGGTGCGTGCTTGCGCACACAGACACACGCACACTTCGATACAAAGTCTCTAACGCAGCCTCGGTTATACAAAACCACCCAACGCGTCGACGATGCAAGTCGCATTTTTCGAAAGAGTCGCGATCGCTTTTTTATACGGTTTGTGCTTGCTTCGTTCTCCTTTGGTCGTTGTAGCAAGCTTTTGCTCCGAACTGCAACAACGAGAGAGTCAAAGTGTATAAAAAATGTAAGAAATTCGAGAATAACGAGGACAACATTGCAACTCGTCGCGCGCGCGGTATATAGTTGGAAAATATAATATTTGGGTTGGTAGAGATATACACGCACGCGTGTGTGTGTGTGTGTGTGTGTGTGTGTGTGTGTGTGTGTGTGTGTGTGCAGTATTTCTTCGAGCTTGTGTGCGTGCGTGTAAGTGCACACATGCACACGTGTATGTGTGTGTGCGCGCGCTGTTGGATGATGCATGCGTGTTTATGATTTTATATACACAATACATGCATATAAATGTGTATGCGTGCGCGTGTGTGTGTGTGTGTGATCGTGCGCTGTGCGGGTGTGCGTCGATAAATTACACATATACGCAATAACACACACACACACATACACTTCTACAAGTGAGTATATACGTATATGGACAAGTCTTAGTGTTAGTTCTTACAGTTTACACTTACAGTTGAAGTAATAAAACCATACTTCTAAACCAGAGAGAGAGAAAGATAGTATACTTTATAAGAGGGGAGAGAGAGAGAGAGAGAAATTAGGGGCGGGAGAGATTCTCTGTATGTATTAGTGAAGAGAGAGAGAGAAAGAAGGAAGAGAGAGAGAGAGAGAGAGAGAGAAAAAGAGAAAGAGGATGTGTCCGTGTGTGCTTGTATCGGTGAGATTAAGCTTGTGAGCGCGTCGTTGTATGTATGTGTGTGTGTGTGTGTGTGTGCTAGCTCATGTTCGAGCATGTGTGCGTGAGCCATTGCGTCTGTGTGTGTGTGTATGCGAAATACGTGCGCGTGCACGACGAAGAGAGAGAGAGAGAGAGAGAGAGCGGGTAAAAAGGAACACACACACACACACACACACACATACAGCAGCAGCAGCACAGTGTAAAAGCGAGTTAGACGAAGAGAGCCGACAGTGCCGACTGTGCGCCGAGTGTATGTTGCCTGAGAGAGCGCGTTGAGCGATCAGTCAGCGCGTGCTCGTGTCCGTGTGCGGTACACGCGCGCGTTTCTCTCTCTCTCTCTCTCTCTAGCTCGTATTATATATACTTTTCTTGTGTGCTCTTGTGTGTGCTTCTGCTGCTGCTGCTGCTGCTACGTTAGTATCTGTGTGTGCGTGTCAGTGTGTGTGTATATGTGTTAATGTGTGTGTGTGCGCGCATACACATAGAGAGCAACTCGAGAGGGAAAACATCTCGCGCGTCCTCCGCGATCAACAACGTCATCCGCTGCGAGTCCATCAGGTGTGTAAGAAAACATGTCTCTCGTTATAATCCATAACGATTCGTACGTATATCTCTCGGAGACGATGTCGTTGTTGTTATTTTTTTCATGTAATAAAGACGCGCGCGCGTGTACGGTGTGATTGCATCGGCAGCGTGTGTATATATATATTTGCCGCGAGTGAACCGCGTGCTTGACAGCGTGCGTATACATTCGATATAAAATAGAGAGAGAGAATCAGGGTGGCCTCAGGGCGCAGCGCAGCGATATACGGATCGAGGGGCATCGATCGGGCTGACGACGACGACGCCTGTTCTATAATAACGGACTAGGCCATAGAGAGAGAGACACATGTGTCTCGTGTGCACTCGACTCTCCTGGGGCCGTCCGCCCGCGCCTCGAAGGATGTCTTCTCTCTCTCCTCTCTTCTCGACCCCCTGCACCCGCCCGCGCGTTCACCTTGCCCGCAGTCGCCAACACAGACAGTAGTATATATAAGTAGGCAGCCGTGCAGCAGTGACTCTCCAAAGCTCTATCTCTCGTCGTCGTCGTCGTCGTCGTCGTCGTCGTCGTCGTGTCCCCTCTCCCGCCGCTGCTGCTGCTTCTACTGCTGCTGCTGCTGCCGCGCGCGCGAGGACGCAACGTTTTGCTGCTGCTGCTGCTGTACCGGTTACGGACGCGCGCCTCTGATCGCTCGTCGTCGAGGTGCGACTGCTCCGATGCCTGCTGCTGCTGCTGTATAATATTATGCATGATGATGTATACGACGATGACCGAGTGTGCCGTTGTGGCTGTTGCTGTTGCAGCGGCTGCTGCTGCTGCTGCCTCATGCTCACTACTACCACTACCACTACTACTATAACTGCTACAACTACAACCGAGTGCTTAGAGCCATGCTAGTATATAACGCGCACCAGTGTGTGCGTGTATACGTACACTCCGCTCGGAGAGAGAGGCGCCATTTTGAAAAATTTCTAGGTCTCCCCCCGGAGATGATATTTCTTCACTAGGTGTACAAGCCATAACCCCTAGCGTCGATTCTTTTTCTCGCGGTTATACGGCACGCTCCGTATATACGTGCGTGTGCATAGTAGTTTCGCGGGCGAGCAACGTGTACACGCGCGTGCATCATTCATCGTTAATATACTACTTGTCGATCTGTTTCGCTGCTGGTGGTGATGATGTGGTGGGCCTTTTAATCGCGATTCTTCGTTTTCGCATCGAAAATGACATTCGAGACGAGTGGTAGTAGTACTACTGTGTGCTTACGATAACGCGATGTGACACTGCTGCTCTGTTGCAGCGATTCAAGCTCTCTCTCTCTCTCTCTCTCTGCTGCTGCTGCTGCTGCTACCTTAGCGGTATATTTTACTTTTTGCGACAAAAAAAGGATGCTGCTGCTGCTGCCTTTTTTTGTCAGTCACCTCGCGCCTGTACAGTAGTAGTAGTAGTAGTAGTAGTAGTTATAGTCTCAGAACCCTAGACCACGATGATTCCTTGTGGGTCACGAGTATAGTATACAGTCGCGCGCTCGCGGGACCCGACAATATGATTTTCCTCGGTACCGTTATCGGACTGTGTGTACGTGTATGTGTGTTGTTAAACTCTCCGCGACCATGCTTCGCCTCTCTCTATCTCGTCCTCGCGTACGAAACAGATTTTCTCCGCTTTTTCGCCACACTTTTCCGCGCGCCGATCTCGAGGGCGACTTGATTTTTCTCGCGATCGCAAGCTCTCTTTGAATCGCTTTTCATCATGATTCGAAAACAAAACGATCTGCTCGTTCTGATGATGTGTTTTCTTACTTTTTTTATTTTTGTCATTTTAGGTGGATAGACAACTGTGAGCGTGTAATTGTATATCAGTGAAACATATACTTAAACATCGGCTGTGATGGACTCTAGCGTTGAAGGGCACCAGACGCTAGTCAAAGAATCCGACCAGGATGTTGTTATGTCCGAAGGTAATTTCATCGAATTTTTTTTTTTCGATAGATTCAAAATTTAAAATAATCATTTTGTCAGACCAAAAAAAAAAAAACAATCAAATTCTACTCTACTGATGATTGTGTCATATTTTTTTTTATACGGGGTTCGAAAATGAATGTTCACATCATCTCATACAGACACCAAAAATTAAAACTAAAAATTAGCCACAGTCTCAAATAAATCGTAAATTATACTTTAATTATTGCTACAGAACCTATGATATCAAATGGGCTGAATGGTGACTGTGACTTGGAAGGCGATGCAGTCTCTCCAAGTGCTGATAAGCACCAGGACAAAAATGAGGGCTTAAAACAAATCAATGTTAGCAAAAGTGCGTCTGACAAAAAGTCATGTAGTGACGAGGGTGAATCCAATGTTGACTCTATGGAAGTTGATGAAATAGTGGACGATAGTGGTGTTCAAACTTCTGACAATAGTGCTAAAAAATTATCAAACAACAGTGACAATCAATCTAATATTGATAAAAAACAAGCTGCTGTAATTGAGTTATTGAGCAATAGTGCTTCTTCTATTGAATCTGTGGAGGAGCCAAAAAAAGCTGACCAGACAGATGCCAGCCTTCACATATCCGATGCTGTAATGCAGGAGGAAAATGGCAGTGGTAGCGGTTCGGATATTGAAGAAATATCTTCTGGGGGTAAGAGTAATGGTCATGATGATAAAAATGGTGCTGCTGTGCTGGAAGCAGATACTTCCCTAAAAAAGAAAAATAAGAAGCCCATCGTGGATCTGAGTATCACACCACGTAGGAGTTCGCGTAACGTCAATCGCAAGAGCTATTTGGAGCGCGACATGGGTAATTTACCCATTTTACTTGTGTTGTGACTCTCCTAGTATACAGCATTTACTGTCAAATACTCTTTATTTACTGCTATTTACTTGTATCGATAGTTTTTTTTACCTGTGATTATTTTGTCAATTAGTTGTTTTTACCCTCTGCTCATTAGTTTAGTTAAGTATAGACTTAATTTTTTTATGGTGACTGAAGTGGTGGAAAAATATCACTGAATCTTTGTATGTAAAATATTGACAGTAACATCAAGCCATCATTTGAAAATTAATAGCTATAAAAAATGTATAAACTGCTATGAATTCAAGGGTTTTGTAGTAATAATTAAATTTTATGCCATTAATATTAGTTTGATTGTAACAGTAACTGCTCAATCAATAGAATATACGAACTGCTTTATACTTCTTGATTAAATGGTAAAATTATTATCATTAACGAGTGCAATTTTTTGTTTCATGTTTGAATAGAAGAAGAAGGAGCATTGACTATTGACAATAATTCAGATGTTGAAGAAATTAAACCTGAAGATCCTTTGGCTGAAACAGATCGTAGTAAAGACAAAGAAAACTCCAAGTTTAAATCATCAACAACATCAATTATGAAAGGCTTAATACCAAACAGTAAAAACACAATTGTAGTTAACGATGCCAAACGTCTTGTTGAAATAGCAGCTGGGAGTAAAAATATGAAAGGAAACAAAAAAGAACCCACTCTGGTCATCATTGACACAAATTCTATATTATCGGGAAAAGGTGGTGTTCCTGTATCAAAATCCTATCACTCGTCACCTCTAAATTCATCAGGTAGCTCCTTGTCAGTTACGCCAATTGGTGTGCCACAACAAATTTATGGCAATTCAAGGACCACTATTACACCTGTGCCAATACCACATCAATTGGGCTCTAACAAATCTACCACTATTACCCCTGTCATCAATCCTATGATACAAGCACAGTTGCAGCAACAACATCAAGAGATGCAACGACAGTTGCAACAACAACAACAACGACAACAAGAAGAAGAAATGCAGAGACGGCATCGAGAGCAAGAGTTACGTCAGCAGCAAGAGTTGCAGCGACAGCAACAACTTATTTTACCCACTCTTACAGATGACATGTTTGTTGTTGAAGCACCGTCCTTCATTGTACCTTATGTATATGAAAAACCTCCAGTCAAGCCGCTCAAACAGTTTATCAGTAAACTTGGTGAGTAATATTGTTTAAATGAACTTGTTAAACTAGTTATAAAAAAACGAACTAATATCAATTGATAATCATTGATTGTGACATTTCAGATAAAAGTATTAAAGAATTTACAAAAGCAGAGAAAAAAGAAAGAAAAGAAGCACGTGAAAAAGCCAAAGCAGAGGGTAAAACTCTACCAGATGATTCGGATGATGATTCAGATGACGGTGATAAACCAGAAATAATAACTGAAGTACCTGCTGATGCTGACAAAAATAAATTGCAAACTTATTTTGACCTACCAATCGGAAAGTTCTTTACGACGATTGGTATGAATCTCGTACAGGAATATGTACAAACAGATTTACTGAGAACTCAGAAAAGAAAACAGAAAAGTGGCGGTACTACAGCTGAAACACAAATGGCAATTAATTCATTGATGAGGAACCTTGAGTACAGTAAAGAAAATAACGAACCGTTCCACTTAGAAATGAAAAAATGCGAGTTTTGTAACTTCAAAACCGAATCTGCTTTGGTCATGCAACATCATTTGGAAACTCCACACATGCGTAATTATGCATACAAATGTAATTATTGTTCTGTTGAGCAACGCAGTCCTCACGATATATTATATCACATGGAAGCAGAGCATAATATTCGCGGTAGATTAGAACGTGGACCAGCTTTCCATCAGTGCCCGAATTGTCCATTTGAAGATAATCAGAAGGGAAAACTTAGTCGTCACATAATCGCTTGTGCAAAGAAATTTAGGCCTGAAAGAAACTTGGAGCCAGCAATGGATTGGGAACCAGCAGCCAAAATACCTAGATCACACCGACCGAGAAATATGGGACCTCAAATGACTGCTACTAATCTAGCAGCTATGCAAAATGCAGCGAAAAATTCTCAATTACCGAAATTGTTGCCTGCACCAGTTACCGGAAGAGGTAGAGGAAGACCTCCCATGCAACCGAGATTCCCTGACATGAAAGCCATGTCTAGACCTTCTGTTGGCTCACCGGGTGGTTTAAGACCTGGTATGTTTAATTTTATTTAATAATTCCGAGTCTATCTGGATTTTCCAAAAGTGTTTTCATTTATTAATTGAATTTATTTTAGATCAATATGCCGCTGCTGCGAGTATGATGTATCGTCAGGGTACTTCTGGTATGATGGGACCAAACTCGTTCCCTATGAACAGTGGAAACCAGCTATTCCACCAGGTAACACTTGATTATAGTATATTATATTATACAGTAAATTTTCATCGCTGATCACTGAATCTACTAAACCAACCGCGTATTGTTCTTGAATATTATTTATTTTGTAGTGTAGGTTTTAATATTTTCTACTTTGTTTTATTTGATTCGTAAAATAATACAATATTTTGAATTTAAATTATTAAATTTTATGAATAAAAGAGTAATGTTTTTTATTTTATTTTTTTAATAGGTGACGGGTAGTTCGGGTGGCGTCATGTCTAACTTGAGTAGTGGCTCCGGCAGAAGCTCCGGACCAATGGTTCTGCCAATGCCTAATATTAATGATGCCCAGTCTAGGTTACTTTCATCTCAGGTAAAAGATGTTCTGAAGTCATTCATTTATTGCGAGACTAACGTGATTTTTATATTGCACTAACAAAATGTTTTTACTTTTAATCGTGAAATTGGTACATTACTATGAAATGAATGTTAATTGTACCATGAAGTAAATTGGTAACATTTTCTTCATAGTTGCTGTTGTCTGTTTTATAAAAATCAAAAAGTTCCAATTTATGTAATTGCATGAAAACTAAAATTTTAGATAAGAACTCATTTTAATCAAACTTTATTGAATTTCCAGAATACCTCGATTAATAATGCTAATCGCAATCCAGCGGCTAAGCTGATGAACCAGCCCAGTATATCGATAACTCCTTTACCACGGGCTGCTGCAACGTCGTCAGGCTCAGCGTCAGGTAGTAACCAATTCAAAGCAGGCGGAAAGAGCACTTTTGTTATCTGCGAAATTTGCGATGGCTATATCAAGGTAAAATTTTTGTTCTATTAAATGTTCCATCTAATGTTAATATTTGTAACTAAAATTCACGTTAAATATGTAAATATTTTTAGGATTTGGAACAACTCAGAAACCATATGCAATGGATTCATAAAGTGAAAATCCACCCCAAGATGATTTACAACCGACCACCTTTGAATTGTCAAAAGTGTCAATTCAGATTCTTCACAGACCAGGTAAATAATTTACGAAATCGAATCAGAGTGATTCTGAAGAAAGTTGTGGAAATTTTTTTGAACGCATTCTTTAAGTCTACTGAATACACTCTGCTTAGATAGCTCTTCAAATTACATAGTTTTATTTTTGTGAACATTTTATGAAATTAATTTCTATGAACAGGGTTTGGAGAGGCATCTACTAGGTTCTCATGGTTTAGTTACATCAAGTATGCAAGAAGCAGCTAACAAAGGCAAAGATGCTGGTCGTTGTCCATCATGTGGCAAAGTAAGTATCATTCAAGCAATTCTCACAGTAACTCGGAACAATACAATTTTATAGAACGGCGCTTATTAATATTACGTTTTTACTTTCTAAGGTTTATCAATGGAAATTGCTGAATCACGTTGCTCGCGACCACGGGTTGACATTGAAACCTGCTCATCTATCTTACAAATGTACAGTGTGCACAGCGACGTTTGGCATGTATAAACAATTTGAAACTCACGTGTATACGGCTCATAGTGCAGTGAACAAACGTGCTGCTGACAAAAAGAGTAGCACTCTGACATCGCCATCTACAAAGGCGAATGATTCACTATTGAAACCACTAAAAATTAACGACGAAATCACGATTATTGCTCAACCAGCTAAACCAGCAAACAGTAGATCGTCGATAGGCCCACAGCACTCAAGGCAAAAATAATGATAAAATAATGTATATTATGATCTCGATGAAAAGTGTTTGAGAATGAAATTTAATTCTTTAGCGCGATTTCAAGAGTGTCTCCGTGCGTTCAAAAACGTGCGGAAATCAGTAATGCTCCTTTAAATATAAATAGTTTATGGAGTCACGAGACGCCTTTATTAAAGCAGAATTGAAATTCATAGTTGTAGTTTAAAACATCAATATTCGTTTTTCAACATTATTTAAAAGAAATGTATGATAATTTTTCAAAGGGGCATATTATTGTAAAAATAAGGCTCACATAGACACTTGACGACGAAAGGAGTATTGGGATTTATTATGATTACGTAATGATACTACTAAGTTGGAATCAATATTATAAAACGTATATTTATTTAAGAATTTTTATTGTTGTTATCGAAGACACACGATAATAGACTGTGAAAAAAATTATAAAGTTGAAATGAACATTTACGGATAAAAAAAATCATTAAGTCACAAAAAAGAGGGTGGCCTTCAATACGATTTCTTGGTTGATTGATGATACATCGAGTTGCATCGTTTTTTGTTCTATTGTAACAATATCAGACTACGAATTCACATTATTCAAAATTTCAGTCGTAGATTAGGTAATGTTGAATCTATTATTGAATAAATATTAAAATTTATCTTTAACATGATTCGTTGTATATCACCTAACATATGAAGTGCTACAAGTCATTTAGATGTAAAAATGATCTTTTCATACCTACTTATGACAAAAAATAAATATATCTTGTGTCTTTCTATATATTTTCTTGGTTTGACGTATGTGTAATGAGATGTGAAAGACACTGTCACTGTGTATAATTGGTAAGCGATATAAATATAAATTGAAAAAAGTCTATAAGTATAAGTAAAATACTTGGACTGTTTTATTCCTTATTTACTCGCTTTCGCGACAATTTTACTATTCGTACTAACGATGATTGATTATGCTCATCGACACTTACCATGAGTATTTTATATGTTATAAATTTTGCTGCTTTTTTTTGTTTTTGCTTATTTGAACGTACGCATTAAAATTCAACACAATCATGTAAAAAAATTAAATAAATACTTTATTTTTATTTCGATTTCGAAATAAATCTAACTATTTATTGACCGTAGTTACATTATGAAACTCCCAATTGTTGTATAGAAGTTTTTTACGAAAAAATGATCGATCTTTACAGACCGGATTTGATATTAATAGTATATGATAATTTTAGGTAGGTAAAGTGAAGAATATTTAGAATCACATGTAAATTGTTAACAACAGATTCTAAACTATTCTTTATTGCTTCCTGAAGTTAATACAATTTTCCGTTATTTCTTCAGCAGAAAGTATCAATTGAAGCTGGCTACTTGCGATTAGAGTAACACGAAAAGAATATTTAATTGAAACATAAACCTGTAAGTTCTCTGATTTCTTTTACCTGACAGTTGAGAAATGTTTACGATGCTAATTAAGTACCTATGATGAAATCTCGTGAACAATTTTTGTACTTGTTAAATTTTCATTAATTGTTGTTAATATAATTTACTTCAATTTTTTTCAGAAAAATTTAATTTTGCCTTTTCAAAGCCTACTTTTCATTTGAGTAGCTCTTATAGTGAATCTGTAAATGGGAATAATTAAAATTATACGTGATTAAAAAGCATCATAAAAATTGTAAAGTGTACCTATTACTTCTATTGTAACTATAAGTCGGATCTAAAACCAAAAATGATCCATCGTTACGATAAAATATTCGATTTTATTTTTTGCTTATCTACAGTAAGAATATGAGAAAATGTACTATAATTTTAGAGTAAAATAAAGTGAAAACATATAAAAGAAAATAAGACAAAAATGGCATATTGCTTCATCATTTAATTATTTGTTTTTACGCGCAAGACAAATTTCAGATAAGTTATCTTCATTTACAATCCTAGTTGTTACTAATGTTTTTAATAACCTTCGTATATTTCACAAACATTACGAGCGACTGAGCAAAAATGAATTTTAATTGTTGGCGGCCGAACAAATCGGGATTTAGTTTCAAAATAAAAGTACTCAGTAGATAGGCTTCAAAAAATTTTAATTTTAAGAAGATCATTGCAAATGATATTTTTTACTAAGAAAAAAGAACATTAAGACTTTATAAAAGCATTTCTTCACCCAGACGTGCAATACAACATAACATGTTCTAATTGACATCAAAATATAGCTTACTAATATTACTACCTAGAAAATTTGTGGGGTGTAATAATTATTAGAAATCTTAATAAATTCATGACTAAAATTTTATACTTGATTAAACATTTTTCTTTAAAATCGTCAGCCTGCTGAAACAAATGAGAGATTTGCTTGTGTGTTTGAGGATTATCTTCAAAATTCTTTACAATCATTGATGGATAATTTAGAATATAGTACTTTGAGATTTTTAAAAAAAATCCATAAAATATGAATTGTACCCACGTGCAATTCAGTCTGGTCTTGTTGATAGAGCAGAGATTAAAAAGCAAAGGATGACGCCCTAATATAATTAATTTGACACTGGTTATGATTTTTATAATTGTGAAAATGTAATGTTTAATATTTTTTTTCTAATCTCTTTTACTATGCATTTAATATATTTATTCTATCTATTCATCAGTGTACGAATGATACCTTGCTATTTCCTGCATGACATCTGCAAAAACTTGTGTAACTAAGGTGTCCCTTATCCCGAATTTAAGAAAATCGATTTCCCTGGACTTTTTTTGTTAGGTAGCCATGAAAAAATAAGTTTCCAATAGTTTTGGGCCATATACAATACTTCTATATAGTGCCTGTAATCGCATTTATGATTTTTAGATTTATACTTTTTTTTATTATTGAAAAATCATCGAGGCACTCGAAAAAAAATACTTTTTTACAGTAAAATAATGCAAAATAATGCCCCGAAAAGACTTTCTGTGTCGGAAATATACATTTTAAAAATTTCAAAATAATTACAGAAAAGCTAGGAAAATCTAGCAAAAAACAAATAAAAATATTTTCGATTTTTCGCCTGATGAAGCTATTATTTATCATCTTTTTTTAATTTATAATAAATCATTTTTGGCATTATATCCAATCGAAAAGCAATTTTTAATCAGCTATTTTTGTATAATTTTTCAAATCTCTACGAGGATAAGTTTAATGAAAGCTTAAACAATTTAAGGTAAAATTAACAAAATAATTTATTCGAATCAATCGTAAACATTTTACTTTTTTTGTTTAGCATGCTTCAACTTTTCTACCGTATCATTTTTTTTCTCAATTCTTTTACTACTGTTTTTTTTTGTTGAATCTTTATAGCTTTTGTTATAATCTTCAACAATTCGTAGTGAATACTGTTTTTCTTCCTCATCTTTGGTAAGAGAATTTGCATATTCTTCCATCAATTTAACCCCTCTCTCTGCACGATCGTTAATAACTGGCACCTCCTTTAATTTATCTCTGTTTTTAATGTATTGGGGGTTTTTTCCCATGTGCCACAATCACTACTTGAAAAAGTTACACTTAAGCGGAATCTTTCAAAAAATTTTTAGCTCTGACAGTTAAAAAACCGCTGCCAATTTATTGGCAAAGAGCTTCCTCATAAAAAATAATATTCATAAAAGGCATCGGTTATTAACGTGAAAATTCGTATCGTTAAATTTTGATTCACTGTCTTGAGTCCTAACTATCGGATGATCATCATTTCTATGTTAGCCAAAAAGCCGAGAAAACAAAAACTTGTACAGACATTTGTTCGTAAGTCAATGTAATTTTCAAGGCTTAAAACGTTTAAAAAACGTTTATCTCGTACGAAGATGAAAATTTTCATTTTTTCCTTGTAAATTTTGTTCACTAAGTTTCTAAACGCTCTCCCAAATCGAATGCCGAAAACCACATTTCGGAGATTTCGACATTATCGGTGCTATATTTCCTCGTCTATGACTTAATATTGTTCTTCATAAAATAATTAACAGTTTTCTTAACGATTTTTACGTTATATGTTAGCTATGTACGTTTTATACATTTAATTTTTTCGATATTTATATTTACCAAATGGGTAATATACTTAATTATTTCATTATTGTTATTACAACTTTTTGTTTGTATAGCGTAATGTATAATTGTATAGAAAAAAAACTATCAAAATAAAAATTACGCTAAATACAGTTTGCCCATTAAATATTTTATAATAAAAATATTTATCTTTTAACAGACTTTTTAACTACTTGCTGGATCCTAAAATAAGTTTTTGACACTTCTTACGACACATGAATCCTTCAAAACTAGCCGAACTACGTCTCGCTAAGTGCCTCCGTTCAAAAGTTACACTGGTTCCAGACCACCAGACGTACATACACACACACACACACACATACATACAGACATTTGTTCAGAATTCAATGACAATTCCGAATATTTAACCAAAATTATCCTAGGACTTCTAAAACAAAAAGTAGTTTTGACGCCTATCACAAAGCTTCCTCTATGAGGAAGCAAAATGAAAAATAATTAAGCCTCCTGTTGGCTCGGACAAATGGAAACTCGTTTTATTAAATGTATTTTTTTATTCATTGAAGATACATAAAAAACCGCTGCCAATGTATTGGCAAGTAGCTTCCTCATACTTTTTTTTTAATTTAAAAATAATTTGAAAATATTAATATCATCTTTCTAATTACGAAAGCGAAACGAAAGCGCCTCTCAGCTTTATCGGGTATCTCAAACAAACAATGCAAAAAAAAAAAATTTTTTTCTTAAATAGAAAAAAAAACGTTACGTTTATCGATAAATGAATTTTTCTGGCTTCGTCCCTATGTCATAACGAAAAAAATAAGCCCTCCCCCGTCACGATACGTGCTACCGTTATCGAGAAATCGCTCTACACAGCCATACAGCCGCATACACCCACATACATTCCAAAATGTGTCAAAAATTCGATCTAGTATATAGAAATATCATTAAATATATCCTACGATAATTATATACGAAAGCCTAAATGTATCCCATCACAAAACTTCCTCTATGAGGAAGCAAAAAATTATTCCAAGTATGATTATTGTCATCATCACGAGTTTTGACCCGCAGCCGGCCAAGCAAATATCCGACATAAATCATCATCTTTTTCACTCCTTTTACATTTTATATTATCATATTAACATTCAATTTTTAGCCTTTTTGGAGCTTTTTCAGCTCCAACGGGTCTTTCGTTGTTACGTTTTATTACATTTTCTATTACATTTATATTTTATCTTGCTTATCAGTTTGACCTTTAGCCGCCAAGCAAATATTATACAAATCTTTGTTCGTTAGCTGGTCTATAATCATGTCACAACAGGGAATTGGCAGCCGATAGTGTATCAATGCCATAAAGCAATCCAGGGCCCATTCGCGAAAAAATTTCCTCGTTACTTTCTCGCACAAACGCAAATCACAAGCCTCCTTAGACTTGTAGTCGAGGTTTAACAACGTGTACGAGCTCGCGAACTTGAAGTAATCCATATACGTGGAATTTTCCACCATCTCTTCGAATATTGAATCTACCAAATCGTCGACATCCTTAGTGGTCGAAAAAGTCGCACTTTCGTACAATTCGTACTTGTCGAAAAATCCCATGACCTTCAGGGTGTCATCGAGGTCCAGTTCCTGACCTACATTTGTCTCGAGCAGTTCGACGATGGCCAGCAGACCAGTCGCCTCGGCCAGTCTAATTACAGAACAATTCTCGACAGGGAAAGATCTTAAATAATCGTACGGTTGATATTTCCTGTAGTCGTCAAAGTCTGCCGCGGTCGGAAAAACGAATCCGGACACGTCGGCGCCGTGTTCCAGAAGACTCTCGACGGCCGGCGGACAGCAACTCGCCACGGCCCATTCCAGCGCTGTTCGACCCGAATTGTCCCGGGCGTCGATCCGCACCGTCTGCTTCATGTCTCCGATTACATTGAAAAATAGATCCACTCCGCGGCCGTGCTTGGCAACGAGGTGCAGAGGAGTCTCTCCTTTTTCGTTGACTAGAGACAGATCGGCGCCTCTCCTCAGCATCAAATCGACTGATTCTTTCTGGATTTTCGGTACCAAGTGTAGCGGTGTATTACCCGACTTGTCACGGGCGTTGATCTGCACCAGCTGATTCAATTCGTCGTTGATTTGGAAAAATAGCTCTACTATCTCACATGCACCGTATTGTTGGGCTATACTATGCAAAGGTGTCTCTCCTTTATCGTTGACCCAATTCGGATCGGAGCCACGTCTTAGCAGCAACTCGACCACCTGCGCGTTTCTGTACCAAGTAGCCAAGTGCAATGGTGTGTTGCCCTCATTGTCCGGGGCGTCGATTTTTACTGACAGATGTTTTTCGTCGCAGATCTCCAACAACATCTTCATCATATAGTAACCATCGGTGTTTAGATTACTCATGACGTGCAAAGCAGTCCATCCGAGCCAGTTGGCAAGATTCGGATCGGCGCCGTGTTTCAACAATAATACGGCGACTTCCTCGTGACCGGAGGTGAGAGCCAAGTGCAGCGGCGGATCGACAGCGCCACGAACCGGAAGGCAATTGGGATCCTGGCCGAGCTCGAGGAACTTCTCCGCAACGTCGGCCAGTCCGTACTTGCAGGCCACGTGGAAATGAGTGTAGCCCGACTCGTCCATATAATTTACGTCAAATTTGTCGTAAATTTTGAATAGATTTTTCAACACTTCACTTTTCATACAGTCCAGGCGAAAGCTGGAGTTATCTATCTGGTTTACTGCTGTGGCGCGACGCAGCAGTGGCTTACCGTTCTCGTCCAAGTCGGGCTCGTCTTTGTAGCCGCAACTAATGAAGAAATCAACTATTTCTCGATGCTGGTCAAACGGATCGATGCTCGCCTCGAGAAGCCAATCCATCTCTTGCCTTGTAAAGATGTCGCGCAGATTTGGAAGTTGTTCCCTCCAATCTCTTATCAAAGGTCCAAATTCCCCGACAAATAGCCTTCGATGGCTTTTTATCTTCAAGAAGTAAATTTCTCGTAACTTCTTCAATTCGTTCAATTTTGGATGCTCCACGCGTTGTTCGTCGGATCTGACACTTGACGAAGACATTATAAATTTTGAACACTGTAACACGCGACACGCAAACAGCGATTATTTAAAAAATATATTAGTTTTTTCCTTCCAAAATCAACGAGACAATATTGCTGCTTACACCGCGACGTTGTAGTTTGTACTGACTGTATAGACGTGCACTTTGATCTATGCAGAGAGTAAAAGAACACGTGGTCGAAGCTGCAAGAGCTGTGCGCAGAGGCGAAAGTGAAAGCTGTGTAATCGGACACTGGAAGCACATATAGGCAACGCCTCCATACTACGCTGGACTTTCTAAAGTTTGAGAGTTTGACGCCGCTGAGTGTACATCCCTGCTTTCTCCCGCGCGGTCCCGTGTAACACAGTAATTTTGTAAAATACAGTAAAATTGGTATCTTCGAGTCAACTTTTCACGAAAGCTGTACCAACGGGTGTTTCCAGTTCATACTGAACAATTATCTCCTCATTTTTGAAAAGATTCTTTCGGAGCGATATATCAAAAGCATTGCCAATAATATTAATATCCTTCCTTAAAATATAGAGCAGTCAGTGCAACCACTGATACAGCCACCGATATCGCCCGAATCGTCGAGCGTGCTTATGTCAACCGAATTGTCGCGTATGGAAGTACAACGGCGGCATATGTACTACCTGCACCAAGACAAACTTTCGGTTTCATTTTTGATTTTTGATTTTGGCTGAGAACGTTCAAGAATTTTTAACTCGATAACCATCAAATTTACGAGAAAAAATTATAGAACAAAAAGGGTTTAGAATTGATCAAAGAACACGCCTGATTTTTTTCAGAATTTTTCGGAACGATTTTTGGATTTTTGAAAAAATGGTGTTATCCAGAAATCCAAAAATCGCTCCGAAAATTCTGAAAAAATTCAGGCATGTTCTTTGATCAATTCTAAACACTTTTTATTCCACAACTTTTTCTTGTAAAGTTGATGGTTATCGAGTTAAAAATTGTCGAAATCATTTTATGACATACAGGTCTTCGAGAGCCGAATTGATGATCGCCATTTTGAATTTCGTCATATAACTATTTTACAATAAAGTATACATGCCATTGACCAAATTTATATGCGTGAGACCCACGAGCGAACCTTCTTTCCGTGTTGAAATTTGAGTTGAACGAGATTTTTTTCTCGAAATTTCATGTTTTTTTTTTACAAAATTGTTTATAACTTTTTATTGAATGATTTTTTTTAATTCTGACCCCGGATTCGAAAAGTACATTAAATTTTACGTGAGAAATCATGTCTGAAAAATTTTTTAAACAATTTTTAGTCGGTGTAATTCATCGCGATAAATGTTGTCCAAAAATGGTCACTTCGAGCGTTAAAGGGTTAATCACAATTTTTATCACCAAAAGTAATTTTCAATAATGAAGCAAACAGGGTTTGGAATACTGTAACTGATGATCAGTAGGCATCTAAGTATTTGGTAGCAAAGTAAAGAGTAGCGATACAATCAATTATTTAATTTTACAATTTGCATTGTAGTATGATGGTCGCTATATTGAAAACAAAGATTGGTTCGATTTTATAGATAACTTCAGTAAGCTCCTTCTATCTTGTAAAAGGTTTTCTCGACTACGTTCTAAACTGCCCACAATTATATCAAGATTATTTATAGAAAATTACTTAGTTTTAAGATAGATGCCATGTCTGATAAGTACATAAAGGTAAGTTTACATTAAGAGTTTTTCTGTTTTTTTTTTTCAAAATTTATCAATAGATTCCTTACTGGTCTGAAATTGATGGTCAAAGCTTCTACATAATATAGATTCTATGGAAGAAGTCAGTGATACTAGGAAAATTAACATGTGATTCAAAAGTTTTATCTGTAACATTTTTAATTTTTATTGAAAGTTTTGTTTATAAATTAATTCGACCTCTACATGTGCAATTTACTACATAAATGATATACATTTCATTACATTTTATGATTCTCAATGATAAAATTCAACAAGTTTTTACTTAACGTATAACTCGTATACTTTTGCACAACTCGTGGTCTACGGTGCATGCTAAATGGTCGACAACGGCAACTTGAGTTCCGCATCCGCGGCATCTACGCGATATTGAACCCCGCTCGTAGGCCTTTTTGATGGCGACTATGTCATTGATTCCATTGCACTTCGGGCACGTGTAGTCCAATTCTATAACCTCGTAAATTTTTTTTAACCTTTCATCATCCTCCACAACTTCGGGTGACTTGGGCCCAGTTCTCCACGGGGATGCCTTTCGTGACTCGTTCGCCACGCTTTTATCGACGGAGAGAACAGGAGACGGCAGACTTTGTACACTCCTCGCATTTTCTCTCAACTGTGGCAGGGTCGTTCGAAGGCCCACACTTAATAATCTTCTCACTGTAAACATTTTGATTCCGCTGAACACAATCTAAACCTTCCGACTAAAATAACTAATTGTAAGTAAGAATAACAGACTTGCTTTGGTTTTCCAAAAGAATTTGGTTTAAAATTACCTCGTTACACGGAAAGACCGAGATGTACTGGTGTGCTGCTGCACGCGTGTTCAATATTAAATGGAAACCTGCGCCGAAGGCGCAAGTTTTTCCTGTGCGTGCACGGGGTTCAGCTCTGACAACGCCAGCGAGCACGGAAAGAACTCGCGCTAACGTAATAGTTTAATTGGCCGTTTTTCGTGAAAAAAATGTCCGATCTTTCTGAAATTCTATATTCAAAAAAATTATTAACATTGTTTGGACTACCAATTTAAGTAGTATTTAAAATACGGCAGTTTAATGAAGTGGGTAAAGGTTTCACTGTAAATATCAACAAACAACTCAAAAAATAATCTTCGAGTTTATCGTTTCATTAATCTATGATCATAAAAATACATATATTCACAATTTTTGAATTTTTCAACGATTGATACGTTAGTTTTTGCAGTATTTTGACGAGACATGTAGTGATCCACGCAATCGATCCCGGCTGAAAATAATTATGTTGTATATACTTGGCCCGCTGTCATAATTTTTACAGTAACGCGTAAAAAAACCCTCACGGGCATAAGATGACGCTGCGCCGTTGCATCTGTACACAACGGAAATTTATAATCATAATAATTTTTATATTATAATGTCGGAGCCGCAGGCATAATTATACTCATTCAACAGATCGTACTTATTTACCACCATCGGTAAAGAAGCGCGAAACGCTCCATCTATCGACGCCTCGCACTGACGCAACGCAACGCACCTCTCGGTCTAGCCGGCTTCGAATTAGAGCCCATGTGCGATAGTTTCAGTTTTTGTACGAGTTGTCAGTCGACTGCAGTGGTCGGATCATTCGAGTAATTCACTCCACGTGTAAGATCGATCGATAGAAAAACAACGTCAACGAACGCATAATTTCATCATTAAATTACTCGAGCTAGTTATTGATAAATAGCTCGCTTTTTTCGAAATATACTTTAAATCATATAAAGAGGTACGTTCAATTTTCCATTCAAAATACAAATCTAACTTTAAAGACTTTCAGTATCTAATTAACCTTATCGTTTTTATCTCTTTCTTTATTTTCATCCAATAGGAAGATGGATTCGTCGACCACAACAAAAACAGACAGCACGAGCGCACCGAAATCCATGGTTTACATTTGCGGAGAGTGCCATCATGACAATGATATCAAACCCAAAGATCCAATTCGTTGTCGCGAGTGCGGTTACAGAATCATGTACAAGAAACGCACCAAGCGTCTCGTTGTGTTCGACGCACGCTAATTTTAGACTGCGCAAAATCAATCATAGAACTAAGAAATGTATTATTTTAAATTCTTAACGCTTAATGTAACTCACATAGATCAATAAATTTTCTTTTTTATCTATCTCACAAATTCGTGTGTCCAGTGATATTTTTTTGTGCATTCAAGTTTGACAGATAATATAATTATATTCTATCTTAATCAGGAATTGGTTAACTTTCAGTAAAAACAACTTAATAATATTGTATGCAATTTGTGATAAGATAACGTTCTCTGTATGAAAATCTTGCAAGAAGTTAAAAACTGGTGACACAGAAATTGCCAGTGCTATATGATGGCTCTTAAACTGGTTTTCTTGTGCTACATTGCATTATGTGCAGTTGCAAGTGGAATTCATATAATCAACGCTCATGATTTACAAGTGAAATACGAGCCTAATTGGAATAGTTTAGATTCTAGACCTTTGCCGTCTTGGTTTGATGATGCTAAGTTTGGAATTTTTATTCATTGGGGTGTTTTTAGCGTTCCTAGTTTTGGTTCAGAATGGTTTTGGATTAACTGGAAAAGTAAGCTTAACTTTTTAGTTGTATCTATAAAGTACGAGTAAAAATTTATAATTAAGAAACATGATGCTTATATTAAATGTAGGTTTTGTTCCAAAGTATGTACAATTTATGCACAAACATTTCGAGCCAGGTTTTACTTATCAAGAATTTGCCAAAGATTTCACTGCAGAATTTTATAATGCCTCCCAGTGGGCTGAAATTTTTGAAGCTTCTGGTGCAAAATACATAGTTTTGACCAGTAAACATCATGAAGGCTACACTCTTTGGCCTTCTAAATATTCATTTAGTTGGAATAGTATGGATGTGGGACCTCACAAAGACTTGATTGGTTATTGCTTTGATCATTTTATTAAAATTTACTATTAACACCCCACACTATTTAAAATATATAATTATTTGCAGGTGAATTAGCTACAGCCGTGAGAAAAAATACTAATTTAAGATTTGGTCTATATCACTCATTATTTGAGTGGTTCAATCCATTGTATCTTCATGATAAAAAAAATAACTTTACAACTAATGTGTTTGTCAAAAATAAAATTATCCCAGAAATGAAAGAATTAATTGAAACCTATAAGCCTGAGGTTTTGTGGTCAGATGGAGATTGGGAAGCATCGGAAAATTACTGGGAATCTAAAGAATTTTTATCTTGGCTTTATAATGATAGCCCTGTAAAAAGTACCATAGTTACAAATGATCGTTGGGGTGTTAATACATCTTGTAGACATGGTGATTTTTATAATTGTCAAGATCGTTTTAGTCCAGGTAATATTAAGAAAAATTAATTTTAGTAAAATTTTAAGTAATATTTTGGTATTCAAAAGGTACTTTACAAAAGCATAAATGGGAAAATGCTATGACTATTGATAAACAGTCCTGGGGCTTTCGTAGGAATGCCAAGTTAGAAGATTATTTTACTCTTAAAGATCTTGTCAAAGAATTAGTTATTACAGTCAGTACTGGAGGAAATTTATTAATGAATGTAGGTCCAACAAAAGATGGTATGATACCAGCTATATTTGAAGAAAGATTAAGAGGAGTAGGCAAGTAATAATCTTTGTAAAATTTTATGAAATAATGAAGAAATTTATAATAAGTGCATTAATTTGTATCAGGTCAATGGTTATCTGTAAATGGTGAAGCTATTTACAAAACCAAACCATGGAAAATTCAAAATGATACTTTATCAGGAGATGTTTGGTATACACAAGGTGCAGATGGCAATCTCTATGCTACAACATTATCATGGCCCTCAGATAACACCCTTAGATTGAGTAATGCTGTTAAACTTACCCCTGAGTCAAAAATATTATTATTAGGAAACAAGGAAAATATAAAAGTAGGTTAAATTTTTAATTTCATAGTGGATAAATTCTGTAACTTGTGATTATTTCCAGTGGCAAGTAAAATCAAATCATATTGAAGTTTTTCTACCTTCCACTGCTCATAAAGGAGAGCCTGCTTGGGTCTTGAAGATTAATCATTATCAAGATTAGAATATAAAAAATGTTTAAAAATATCTTATTGAAACATTTTAATTTATGTGATACTTTTTAAAAATTATGGATATAAAAATACAGGTATAAAATTTTTCTGATAAAATTACAACATATGTATTTATTTATTAGATAAATAAATGTTTGATCACCTTAATGACTCATTTAAAAATACATAAATGCTTTACTTTAAAGTATAGTTGACCACAGATGATCACTTTATGTCTGTGAGACCTCATACAGGTATGCCCCCAAAAGTTTAGTCTGAAATATAAAAAATTCTCATTGTAAAATTTAAAAAATTGTAATAATTTAAAGAAGCAATACACTTACACCCTCGATATAATTGCGAACATTTAATTTTTCATTTTGTGAATGAGCACCATCATCACCACTTCCAACAGGTAGTAAGAGAACATTCTTTCCAGTTACTTCCTGGAAAGTCAATGTTACAGGAATAGATCCACCATCACGAGTGAGATCAGGATCCACTTGATATACATGTTTTGTAGCTATGCGAGCAGCTACATAATGCGGATGATTTGGATCTGACACCCAGCATCTACCACCATGGCTCATGTTAATAGTCATGCTATTTGGACTACCACGAAGTTTCCACATTTTTTCGACGTATGCTTTGACTTTCTTTTCAACTTCTTCTGGAGTCATATCTGGCACGATTCGCAATGAAAATTTACCAATGACGGTACCAGGGATCACAGTTTTTTCTCCAGGTTCATAAAATGCACCTTCAATTCCATGCAGAGATAGAGTAGGGTTGCGCCAGCGATGCATCAGTAATTGAGCCTGCAGAATTTATCATTTAATTGCAATTACTTGTAAACTATTCAAACTTATTTAAATATTTCATACCTTATCTTCATTATGAGGCAATTTTGTGGCACCACAGCTACCTTTATATTCATTAACATCAAATTCAATATTGTCATAAATTTTTAATTCTTCTGGAGTAATTTTAGCTACATTATCATATATTCCTTCAACTTGAACTTTTCCATTAACATCAACAAGGGTATTCATCATCCAAATTAAATCAGACATAGCCTCATGAACAGTTCCTCCAAAAACTCCACTGTGAAGATCTTTCTTGGCACAAGATACTTTCAATTGGAAATAGCAAACACCTCTCAAGCCATAAGTAATGCAAGGCTTAGTTGTTCCCATCCAGTAGTTGTCAGATATACAAACATAATCAACTCCTTTGAGGAAAGAGTCTTTACGGGACCAGAGTAATTCATCTAAACCCTCGCTGCCACTTTCTTCCATTCCCTCAAATATAAACTGGGAGAAACAATTTATTAATTATGATTTATTGGATAAAAGTATATATTTAACTTACTTTAACATTGACAGGAATTTCTTCTCCAAGATCTTGATAAGCTTGTAAGGCATGAAGCCAGCACAATACAGGACCTTTATCATCGGTACTGCCTCTTCCGTAAAGTTTGTCATCCTTTTCAGTCAAAACGAATGGATCAGTGTCCCATCCATCTTCTTTCAGGGCAGGCTGAACATCCAAATGACCATAAATGAGTACAGTCTTCTTCTTGGGGTCGTTTCCAAGGGTTCCCAAAAGAGCGGGTGGAAGAGGCAGTTCTCGGCCCGAGACCAACTTTTGTGTGCCCAGATCAGCGAGTTCAGTAGTGGCGCCCAGTTTTTTGAACTCATTTTCGGCCCAATGCATCATCTTGACAATTTCTCCTCGGCTTTCAGGCCATGCCGATACAGATTTGATGGCCACAGCTTGCGCCAGGTTCTCGATGTATTTGACTTTGTTGCAGTCGATGTGCCTATTTTTTGTCAAAGAAAAATTGTTCAATCGTCTTCAATCGGTATACGCTATCAATTAAAATTCATCAAAGTGAATGAAAACCCTTACTTGAAAAGCTTAGTCAACACCGAAGGGAGTGCCATGTTCAATATACGCGTTTGCAAGGCTCTCGTAGTTGAAACTCTGATTATGTTGATTCTCTCGCCAAAATGTTCACCGTCTTCTTGAAAGTATAACTTTTTTTATCTAATCGGAGCGCATTCCTTTCTTCCACAGCTGGGGCAAAAAAGGCGAGCGATGCTCGAGTGTCAGCGAAATAATAATACCACAAATTGAATCACAATTTTATGTACGAGACGTGCAACAGTGTGTGCAGATTTCACGTGAAAGTGTATATAGTCGTTAGAGGAGGGGATGGACAGAAGTAGAAAGCCGGCTTTGTGTATATTATAAAATATAACACACCCAAGTCATTGCTTGCCAACTCATCGAAACAACAAAAAACTCTTTCATTCCCAATTCCCATCCATTTTTTTCTCATCAAAACAGTTCAGTTTTGACGATGACAATTATGAAAATTTAGAGCTTTTTTACAATATTATTAAAAATAAAGTATTTCTTTTACAGTATTGTTACTTTGAACAATAATTATAGATTTCGGTATTACCATGCCCGAATAATACTCTCTCAAAGACCGGTGCAGTTTTGTCCTTTACCAACAGTACGATGCTAACACACAAGTATAACTATGCCTAAGAAATTAAAGGTCCGCTGCAAAACATTGCAGCAGAAAATTCATCGACCGCTAGAATGATCATCGTTCGCTATTTAATCATTAAAGTCCAAAAAGCAGCGCGACTACGATTCTCATAATGCAGGCGTCTCGCTTGTTTACTATAAGCATTCAAAATCTTCGATGAAAAAATGCGTAATAAAAACAGTGGATCGCTGACTGTCTAAAATATATACACAAGCCGCCGGCTGCAGCGAGTTGGCCCGTGGACATGAAATTTGTATACGTCAACAATCGGCGTTTGCTCCCAGATAACATCAAATACGTGATTCTGTGATTTGCTTATTGAACCGAAAGATTGTTCGTTCGCATCGATTGACAACCGAGTCATTTTTTTTCTCCAAAAAAATTCGATATTCTGGTGCGTTTGTTTACTAAAAAATAACCAAACATCTCGTTCAGAAATACGGTATTTTATTGATCTGCAATGTATGTTTTTGTTTAGGTGTGCTTGCAATATGCCTGGAAAATTGAGTGCAAAGGACATCAAAGACAAATTGTTTGATGATAATTTGGATCTGAGCCTGTGTGAACTAGAGGATGTGCCCGTTAGAGAAATCGTGAGTATTTTCAACTAAAAATATTTAATACAAAAATTAATTCGAATGAACATCATTTTTAGGCTATCGCTAGAAGATTTTCCATTTTGGATCTCTCCAACAATTATCTCACAACTCTACCCGTAATTATGAGACTTTTTATACTTACTTCATATACATTTTAATATTATCCAACTAAGATATGACCATAATTTTTTAGCCAAATTTTGCAACCCTTGCTCAAATAGTCAAATTGGATTTAAGCAAAAATCAGCTCACAGAGTTACCAGAAAATTTTGGTGATTTGAAACAGTTGAGGCACCTAGATCTTTACGGTAATCAAATCAGTAGGTTACCGTTGAGTTTGGGTCAGCTGAAAAAATTAAAATGGTTGGATTTAAAGGAAAATCCTTTGACCCCATCTGTCGCTAGCATTGCCGGTCCATGCAATAATCCTAAAGAGTGTCAAGATTGTGCTCGAAATGTAGTCAAATACCTGGCCAATGTTGCAGTAACCATAGAAGAAGAGAAATTGAGACGCTTGACTGCTGCTCAAGGTAAAATTATAGCATTTTTCATTGGTTTTGATGAGGCATTATATATTAATAAATATAAATTTTTCCAGAAAGCGAAAAAGTAGTAGTAACAACTGAAAAGAAACATAAAAAGAAGAAACACAAAAAAAAGAATGCGGACAAAGACAAAATAATCAATGAAGGTGATGAAGTATCTGCACAAGATGATAAGGACAATGGTTTAGTAAAAGAAACATCCTTGAATGAATTCCATAACAACAATAATTTTTCTATTGGTATGAAATACTTTTCATTATGATTTTTTCATAGTAACAGAATTGGGAAATTTCATTGATTGCATATGTTTTTTAGGTGGAACTTGTTATTCCTTATGTCAGATATTTTACCAAGCAGTACTACTGAGCATTGTCATCATGTTACTGGCTGTATTATTTGTAGCAGTTTTTCCTGTGTACAATTATGAAAAATCTGAGGAATTTTTCACATACGTTGAAAAACACTTTGATTTTCCATTGAAGGGAATACGTCATGAAATTATAAAATTGGCCAAAGCATTTCCTGTTATAATGGAAGATTGGATAAACACTGCAATATTATATTTAAAAGAACTCTATAACAGATATTTTAATCATACAGGAAAACTCTTGCCAGACGGATATAAGTTAGTTTGAAAAAATTGTTCAAAATTTTCATTTTTATTCATTAAGATTTTAACACTCGAATGTGACGAAATATGTCACACATTTTAACTGTGTAAAGAATTGCCGCAATATTAATTTTTTAATTGATTTTTTTTTACAAATTGTTGAAGATGTAATTAATTATGTGAATGTAAATTGATTTAATAGTCTTGATTTATAAAATAGTTGGTTAAGTTAAGACGTGGTATTTAATACTCATAAATTTATAAATAAAATTTAATGAAATGCGCTCAAAGAAACTTGTATTAAATTTTCGTACTTATGTTAAATACACCTACTACTAAACAGTTAAACCATGATATTTATTTAAGGACAATCAATACTTTTTGATTCCATTAACGATTCTTAATGAAAATTAATCGACACCAGTCACGCGCAATTTGAATATTATAGCAAATAATATCCGACCTTTTTTTTTCATTTTCAAAATGAACCATAGTTTCGTTGAAACGAAAGTAAATTAAAATAAATGTTAAGCGCGTTCGGTATCTTTCCATCGGCATAAATACTTAGCCCGTGTACATTATCAATTTCTTCGGAAACCGCTCGCTATGGGTATAGAGATGCATTTGGTAAAAAAAAGATCGAAAGTTGTTGTCAGTTTACTCGCACGCGCTACAGCTGACAAGGTAATAAGTTTCTGATTGAAAAAGGCAAAACTAGGTGTATGCGCCGCATTTGAGTCACAAGCTGCATCGCCGGTTCTCAACGAGTTTCACTTTTTCTTCGTGCAGCAGCTCGTTATGTGCGTGTACAGTACGAAACTGTTTCGTCAATTATACCAGAAGCTGTGTGAATGATTTATCCATTCGATCTGGGTTCAGTGAACATTTTGGAATACAATTAGGAGATACACACGTTTTCCATGAGTCAATCGTTTGACATTTACATGAAAAAAAAAATCTTATTTTAGTAAATTCGCACAGGCCATCAACAAGCACGAAGTCAAGCTCCGTTTTTAGAATTCATCGCGACGATCGTTTGGAAAACGTAGGTGTGTCTATTTCGATCGCAGCTCTAATGTAGCGAACTCGATACTTTCAGAAGATATCAAGAACTATTTAAGCGTCGATTGCTGATTTACAGTATGAAATACTTTACGCGGTGGTAATATATCGTAATTGATACAATCCAACACACTCGTAATCTATCAATTCGAATCAAATCATCAGATTACGAAGATCGTCTATATAAGAATGTCGTTCCAAAATTCGAAAATGAATCGAATCATGTCTGAAACTAAAAAAGCCGTTTCTCAAACATCAATACAAGAGACAAAGATACGCGTAACAAGCTCCCAACTACCAAACGCAATTGCATCGTCGGGTGTGCGTCAAATCAAAAGAGATCACATCCGCAAGGTGCAGCTGTTTCAAAACGCTCTTTCTGGACTTTTTCTGAACAGGGACAAGTGTTTTGAATTAGAAAAAGTATTTTTGCAGCTCTGAATCTGTGGAGAGTGCTTTATACTTCGTATGCCTCGAGCCACTAGTACAGCCAAACTTAGAAACTGCTTACTTGATTGTATTTATTTATTGATTGTATTTACTTTGTCACTTGTGGGATTACGGACTTAAAGGTACTTGACATCTAGCGGCAGACGCTCAAAATAGTCTTATAGTATTTAAAAACTGGTCTAATTTAAAAAAAAAAAAACAGCTAAACTGTCATTTTCAGTTCATTTAAAACGCGCTTAATAAGTTGTAGACGTAATATAGTGCAATCCGTCTTGTGATTATATCGTTTCAAAACATTTTAAATAATCATTTTTTGGTCATCGGGTCATTATTACCGTAGAGCATATCTACCAGGAGCTATGTAATTCATTAATTGAATTTAACTACGGTACGTTCGATAATATAAAAAAAAGTTGCGAAGTTTACTATTAAAATAAAAGGCACTTGACGTACAAGAGCCGTGTGATTGTTAATAAATCGTATCAAATAAATTAAATTCCGGCCATAATTCAAAAAATATCGTGCATTCGTTCGCTCATTTGAGTAACTAGAAAAATGTGCAAAATGAGTAAAAAATAAAAATACTTCTCTATTGAATTATTTGCGGTAAGAGTCAAAAAAGCCACAGAACAAAAAGTTGGTTGATTAATGATACTTTTATTAGTTTTTTATGCATGCACGTCACTTCACGGTCTTACCGCCAAGCAAATATCGTACAGATCTACGTTCCTCGGATTCTCCAAGATCATATCGCAGCAGAGAATCGGCAGACTCGAAAAATCTCCTCGACATCTTCTCGGCCAGGTTCCCGGTCACTGATCCCGAGAGTCCTCGTCCAAGTCGGGCTCGTCTCTGTAGCCCACCACCGCCATCTTTTCGACCAATCTGGCCGATCGTCTGTTCTTCAGCAGATCGTCCGCGAGAAGCCGATCGATCTCGCGGGCTCGAAAAATTTTCCGCAGGCTCGGAAGTACTTTCCGATCGCCCGTCGACGCAGTCGGCGTCGTTCCTCCTCGATTTCCCAATCGACGCTCTCTCTCGAGCTCTTCAACCTCTCCAGGATGACTTTGTGTTTGTCATCATCCTGGGCTCTCGTGATATAATAATTTTCCACTTTTATCGCCAAATTCACTTAATTGCTGCGCGACCTTCGCAGCTCTGAGTTTTGTATGCGCTGCGACGTCGTTGACACGTGCTCGCTACTGATCTGTACCGCACTTTGTACACCAGAGTCTATACAAAGTAACAAAAGTATAGAAAGTAAAAGAAAAAAAAAACACGTAGGCCGAGTATACAATGCGCTCGAGCGAGCGAGACAGAATTTAATATGCATACGTATAGGCATTCGATCTAGTTTACAAATGTGTAAATCAAATTTTCCTACTTCATCTATGAGGAAGCAATTTTGACGCGATGTTCTGCAGCAGCCTCACCGCATTCGTGCGAAGTAGCATATGATACGATCCAACGCGCTCGTATAATCTATATCCATTATATACGGATCGGTATACAATGAGAAAATCTCATAATAATTCCTATGTGAGAATCGTAAAATGGCATATCTATATTAGTCTTGCGAAAATAAAAAATTAACTACGATACATATTTTTTCGTTATTAAAAATGAAAAGTTGCATCGAAATCGTCACCGAGATATATATATTCCACACTCGTACACAATATTTTATAAGGCGCTTTAATCTCACGTAAACAAAAAAAAAACACATCACTCGTTACAAACCCACAACGAGATATACAACGACGACGACGTCTTTCATTGAAAGTGAAAGTCATATAGTATTAAGTTTACAAGAACATAAAGCGAGCGAGACGATGAAGTAGTAGGCGCCTGCAGGCGTGTACCGCTGTATCGCTCATCAACGCTCGATTTTATATGTATAATGTAATGCTAAACGAAAGGGTCAAAGTGCGCGTTAAATGCACGAGGCACTCGAGATGGAATTCGAGCTCGTGACTTGGTGAATTATACCAAGGGCTTATATATATGGTATACGAGCTTGAATATTCTTGATAAGTGGATCCTTTCTCGGACGCGTATACGGATAATTAAGAGCGACTGCGTCTGCTCATGAATACAAGTGGCTCGTTGTTTTACACGCTTCGTCTTTTTTTTTTATTTCTCGCTGTTCTCTGCGTACAACATTTTTTAATGCTCGAATTAAAAGTATCTCGATTAACGAATTGTTCACGAACATCTCAAGTTCGTTTTTTCGAAGGTGAAAGTACCGCACGATGCGGTGTGCAGTTATTAAACGTGCTATTTTGTATGTGTACGAAGATGAACGTACTTACGGCTCTTATATGTTACTTTGTAAAAAAGACACCTCGACTGCGTAAAAAAAAAAAAATTTCAACGCCCGACCGGTTTCGCGGTGTGTGTACACACGCGCGCATACGCATATGTCTCGAGGCGCAAATTTCGTTGCATTGCGGCTGTATTGTGCTATATACCGGTCGTGTATGTGCAGTCGCGTCAAGTTTATTCGAAATCTCGATCGTGGTTTATTATTTAATATATGTATATTAAAATGAAACGAAACGGCTTTATTGCCGGGTAATGATAATTTTATGTTATTAATTTTATGTGTATACTTCAGCCCGGTTATTGCGTATTTTATATGTAAATACGATTTATGGAATAAATGCTATTATTACCATTAAATATTATAACTGTCATCTAGTGTCATTAAACTAGTCGGTAAACTGTATTTTGTAATGGATAAATTGTTAGATCGCGGCATAAGCAGATACGAAATTTCAACGATGAAAAGGCATGTCAAAGTCAGAATTGGAATGGAAATTCTCGAGCGTATACTTATATTAAGATTCTGCGGGCCTCTCTTCAAATTTCAAAGAATCAAAATTGCACCCACACATTAAACATTTTCAAGCGAATATTCCGTAGAGCAGTGTACGATATCATTGAATGCAAAAATGAAACGTGTCAAAATGCGTGTCAACGATGATCTATATACTAAATAACGAGTCAAAGAAAAGTCGAAAAAACCCATCGCACTGAAACGCGATAGATGTGTTGCGTAAATAAGTAAGTGCTCGCATACCTTCGGTTGCTACATATACACTGCTTAAACTGCATGCTGCACGTCGCGATGCCCGAATAACAAACGTTTTACGTTATGCGCGCGTGGCGCGAGAGATACCGCACGTCCGCGCGCGAGCCGATGTATTATATATACAGAAAGAGAAACGGACTTTTCGGAATTTTCTTTCGCTGCGCGGCAGCTGGCTAGTGTTTGCGATGAAAAAAAAAAAGTTCGGATGACATAACGCACCTCGTTTCGTTCAAATGATAAAATTTGAAGAAAAAAAAAACTATAATAAAAATAATAAAAAAAGCCGTCGTCGTCGTCGTCGTTGGGGGAAACATTCCTCCGAGCGATACGTAAGCTTCGGTGTGCATATACTCGCGCGGAATTTCTATCAACTCGATGTTAAATACACTCGAGGCTCATACATGCACGCGGTATATTATGTTTCCTTCTCGTCCTTGTTCTCGAAAAATTCGGGGGTAGAGAGAGCCCGAACTCGAGCTCCTATATTTGTACATAGTACAATACGCTTGTACACCTTGCACGCTGTGTATACAGCCGCGAGAGGATGCGCCTTTTGTGTGATTCCCCTCTGCGCGGGGGGCATAAGTGTCGGCGGCGCTCCGAGAAAAATCTGCGCGCGACACAATATACGGCGGCGGCGGTCAGTCAGTCAGTGTACCCATGAAGGAGGAAGTAAAGAAGAAAGGAGAGAATAGGGCCGAAAAATTCGAGAATTGGATGAAAGGAGCGAATCCGCTACTTGGTAAAGGCTGTGTGTCTGTGTGTCGTACCGCTGCATATACATGATGTCACGCCCGCGATCGGCAGCACAGAGAAACACCATCGCGCGCATTTCGAGAGGCTCGAGAGAGCAAAAGACGTGTATACGCCGTCGCGGGGGGAAAAGCCGTCGTCAGCCGCTCGCGCGAGTCTCAATACCGGAGGCAGCAGCGGCAATCGGCAGTGCTCCGCAGTCGGCATGCGAGCAGCTCGCTCGGCGGGAGTCGTCGTCGTCGTCGTTGTAAATATCAGCAGCAGCGACCGCACGCACAGCCGCAACACAACAAGAAAAAACAACGCTCTCTCGGCAAATTTTTTGGCTGCCTGTAACAACACGACCTCGCGGGGAGAGGAGCTGGTTAATAATTATATACATCGCGGCTAATTTATTTTCGTGCGCTGGGATTTCTCGGCCTCTCCCTCGTCCGGGCGAGATCGTTCGCGGCTCGATTCCAATCGGTATAATACTAGTGTCATAGTATAAGCGGTGCACGCAGTGTCGAGTGCGCGACGACGACGACGATGTTGTGTTGTCGTTGATGTTGTTGTGTATCGTGTACGTGCGTGCAGGTGATGTAAGCTGTGAATGGTTAAAAAATATATATATCTCGACAGGTGCAAAACTACAACGTATATACAGAAGCTGGTTGTATACACGGTAAGGATGTGCAATATATAAACTGCGGTAGCGAATCGTCGCATCTCTCGGTGTGGCTTTTATACACCGCGCGACGCTCTAACGGAGAGAGATCTGTCACCGATATATAATGCACATACCGTGCACATTGCGCGACGACAAACACAAACACGCACACACACACAATATATATAATGATGAGCTAGCTCGTCGTTGTCTCTTTTTCTCTCTCTCTCACTATCTTATATTCTCGTACACATAACGAGGTGTGGACGAGACATCTTAATAGGCGCGTAACACAATACATGTCGTACATAGCACCTTGCCAACATCACGTGTGTGCGTCAACGCGTGTGCTGATTTTTTTTGCCGCCGCTTCTTCTTCGTAGAGAATTGTCTTCTTATCGCGAAACGCGCGCGCGGCTTTACGCTGTAATGTATGAAATATATCGCGTCGATCGCTGCGCGCGGCCCACCATTGTTATCGGTGGTACACCGGCGATTCGCGAAATCGTACGTAAAGAATCTTCTTCACTTCAGAGTACTTTAATTTAATTAACGAATAGAACGACAGCTGATGTAAAGATCTCCTCTTTTCCTCTCTCTCTCTCTCTCTCTCTAATTGCACGGCAGCGTTAAAAGCCTCGAGCTAAGCTTCCTTGATCGCGAAGATAATATTTAATACGAAACTCTCTCGCGGGTCGAGTTTTTCTGCGCGGGCACTAATGAATGAAAATATAATTTATAAAACATAGAGCACTCGGGTGAGTATTCTTTCTTTTATATTTTTAATTTTTTGCTACATTCGCGAAACCGGCCGTCATCGGCCGATGGCCGCGATTTGGCAATAACACACGAATACGCGCGCGCGCCTGTCGTTCAACTCTTTCGAGACTTTCGAGAGAGAGAATGCGCGCACGAAGCGAGTTCTTCTTTTCTTTTTTTTTCAATTTTGTATACGCTAGCGCGACCTTCGACTCATCCATAAAAAAAGCTATATAACATACACAAACGACCTGTGCAAATATCGCATTGATTTGTTTCGGGCGCTTGTAATGTACGACGCAGCCTTCGCACGTGCGCGACTCGCTCGACTCTTTTTCGTACATACATTACGATGCCGCAGGTATGATGTATAGATCGCATCTTTCGAATGTATACGGTATAAAGAGTCTAATTTACGAATCGTCGCTATACGTGCGACGAAGCGACGAGTCATTGTACAAGGCTTTAATACATAAGGCAATTGAGAAGATACTCGACGGCGACGACTCGAATTCACAAAACTGCACTGCGCACCCATCGTCGCGCTCGAGAGAGCTTCAAATACCCCCATCAAAATATCGAGTCAATTTGCCATATAGCACACGTACACGTCTTATATATATATTGAATGATCGCGCGGCAGCTCGCGAGTGGGCGGGCGCGGAATGCGCGCAGTTTATACACGGAGGGCCACTTGAGGTCCATTATTCGAAATTGACGCGAACAAATTTGTCTCCTTCTCGTTGTCCGACTTTCTTCTATATCATCGAGCTTTTTGGGGTACGAAAAAAAAGCTCGTAATCGCATCGCTGTCGAAGGAGACAGAAGAATGTTGGGCAAAAAAAAAGCCAACGATCGAGGAGCGTCGCCTGTAATTTCACGGTACAATGAGGTGTACACACTTATATATACGTAAGGCGCGAACGCGATCTCCCGCCGTAACTTACGGTTCAAAGGCGCATTCCTCGCGATATGAGCAATATCGGAGGCAGCAATGCAACAGTAATACGAATATGAATTTCAAATGATGGATGCGGCAGCAGCAGCCGCGAGAGAGAGAGAGAGACAAGCAATAATTGCCGCATCCACTGGCGCGGAGCGAGTTATTAAACTTTAAATAAATTGCCGCTTCATTGTATATCGACGCGAGTAGCATATAGTGAATCATCGCGGATCGGTCGAATTATGATTTTCGACGATGTATATGCCGCATGTCATTGTATCTCGGATTGTTTTTTATTTTTAATTTCCTTTCGTTCGTACAGTACATACGGACCAGATATTGGCTGCGCCTCATCGACGACGAACGATCCTGCGCTATGCATCGGTTCTTCGAGTGAGAATTAAACTTCGCCGCGCATAGATCGTCTAGATAATGCAACGCATAGAGGAAAAAAATCGGATATAGAGTGAAAAAGAAGAAGAAGAAGAAGAAGCAACTGTGTCAACGCTGCGACGACGATATGTGTTTTATGACGACAGCGACGATGACGACGACGACGACGATGAGCATGTGTCGTTGTTGCAGTTACAGTTTAGTCTAATTAAAAAAGATAAATAACGTCCATTCATCGCATCGTCGCGTCATTGTTATCATTATCATCGTCATGCACCAGTCGGACGCGCTCGGACTCTTGCGAGGTGAGTACAGATATATATATAGATGTTTACGATAAATATATTTGTAAACTCGTGTGTCTCTCTGCCAACGGATAAGCGCGAGTGATTCGCGATGTCAAAGTAGATATACATATAGTTAAGGCCTTTTATTATGCGAGTGTGGGCCCCCGCGCGCCGCCTCGATGCAGTTATACTTGTACACTACTCCGAATCACTCGCGCGCGCGTGATTGAAATTTTTAAAATAAAAACACGTCGTTTCTCCTTTATTTTTTGGTCTAGACGTGGCGACGTTTCTGTCGAGTCTCGGCGACGAGCTCGAGCTCGGCGAGGCCCTGGAGAGCCGCCGAGCGGAACTGCTGGCCAAGTCTCGCGAGCTACTGAGTCGCGAACCCGCCGCCACCTCGGGCGATTCCCCGGAGCCCTACCTCGACATGAGCATCGGCAAGAGCAGCTGCGCGTCGTCCTCGATCGTCCTCGGCGGCGGCGGCGGCGGCGGGGATGACGGCGAACCTACCTCGACGATCGGCAGCAACCAGGAGTACGTGAACGCCGACGTCGCGGCGGAAGTACAGGTGAGCTGATTTATATTTTAGTAAAATAATTTTACTTTTGATAAATAGTCTCATATACGTGTATAAGATTATTATAATTAATGATATTTTTCGCTCTCTAGACAGGCGAATTAACTGATAATAAAATTGTTAAAACTAACGCGTGATTAATCTCGCAACGCCACACCTATACGTATCGCGTGTCTGTTTTATTTCTCTATATCGTGCGCAGTATTAATTTATATACCTTACAGCTCGAAGTGTGTTTAACATTACTAACTTATATCTAGAGAGAGAGAGAGAGAGAAATTTATTCGATCGAAATTATTAAATTCAGCAGAAACGACAGCAGCAGCAGCAGCAGCAGCAGCAGCGTAGCTCCCTTCAGCACTACTACGAGACCTTCCAAGATCTCAGCGGCATGTTCAAGAGCATAAGCAACAACAACAACAACAACAATAACAACGAGAAAGAAGTCGCGAAGAAGAACAGCATCGGTTCGGTTCGGCATTCGGACGAGCTCGACGACGAGGTGTCGCTCTACGCCGGCTACACGGCAGCCCAGGCCAGGGACAAGGCCTCCAAGTGCGGCCCGCTGCTGCACCTGCGCAGGGAGCGCAACATGTTCGCGCCGTTCAACGTTTTCTGGCTCAACAGGTCCTGCTGGGTAAGTCGAGAGATTCATGCCAATAATGATAATACATTCGTGCTCTGGTTAAAGAGAGTTTACTTTCGTCTATACACAGGTATGCCTCTGCGGCACTCATCTGCTGCTGTTCGCCAACGAGCGGGGCTCCACGCGCCCCTACCTGGTGGCCCCTCTGCGCGGCTACAAGAGCCGAGCCGCGCCGGACGCGATACCGCGCGATCCCCGCCGCAGCGAGGCCGCCTTCGAGCTCTACTGTCCGGGCGATCGCACCTTTCGCTTCAGCGCCAAGAGCGTCGCGGAGATGCGCGACTGGGTCGAGACCATATCCGCCTGTCTCGATACCAATGGTGACGACGAGTCGGATAGTCAAGGAAGAAGCGGCTTCAGATCGAGGGCGGCGACCTTCGGCGAGCTGCTGGAGCTCGACGCCACGGAGCGCGCCTGCATGGAGACGGTCAAGGAGGAGAAGGAGAAGTACCAGGACGTGAACTTGCCGATGCAGCTCGTCAGGTCCAGGAGCAAGGACGATTCCGTTCCAGAGGCTGCCGCTGGGGCACCTCCGCTTCCGGCGCGTAGTCAGGTGCGTCGACTGCCCTCGCTACCGTCGAGCCCGCTACCTCGAGAGGACGACGACGATCGAGAAGATGGTCCGTCCGAGGAGCTCTACGACGACGAGGGTCTGTATCATCGGATCGAGGACATTCGCGGCCGGGACTATCAGAACGTCCAGCCGGTCCAGAGATTGACCAAGATCAAGGTGAGGAGAGCGGCGGGAGCCAGCGCCGACGAGGCCAATAACAAGGCTGCCGTTGGCGAGACTTACGACGACGTGCACGGCTCGATCCCGTACGACGATGTCAAGGTAATTGCGCGATGTTAGTTCGCTCGATCGATAATCTCGAAGTCAGAATTTTGAAATTCAAACGAGTAACAGTACTGATTTATGTTTTTTTTTTTTTTTTTACAAAAAAAAGGCATATTAAAAAATTGCGCAAATATGCAATCGAACGAATTATTTATTAAGCAATAAAGACGAATAAAAAGATTCTGACTGCAAAGTAACTTTGTAAATACCGATTTACTTTTTACGTACGTATAATTGCTTCGAGATGTATACGATACAAAATAGCTGAATCATAATTAAACCCAGCTTTCGCCGCTAGATGGCGAGAACCTTTATCTGTGTAAATCTGCAAGTGGTTAAGTCGAAATAATTGTATATAAGTCGAAGCTCTTTCTAATAATCTGCAACTTGTAAAGCTGAACTGTCGCAAGCATTTTTCCAAATTTTTGCACTGTGTGCGAAGAAAAATACTTTTTCTTAAACCGGTAAAAAATGATACATACGAAGTGGCGCATAATTAGATCAGCGATTTATTATCAAATCTATCTATACCTCTGCCTCTCCGCAGTCCCCGAGCGCCAAAGAATCATCGTCCAAAGCCAACTCGTCCCCCAAGCCGAGATCTCCGCTCAAGCGTTTCTTCAGCGATCGAATGATCATCGGCACGATCGGCCGCAAGGACACGACGAAGCGCGACGTCGCCACAAAGAGCTCCAACTCCTCGACGAAATCTTCGACGTCGATGCCACCTTCGCCTACGTCCCGACCAACACCACCCACGTGTTTCGAGCTGCCGTCCTACGACGACGTGTCGTCCGTCCTTTTGCCGAGCCAGGTGGTGGACCTGGACGTAGGGAACGGCACCGCCGCCGCCGTCGACGAGGAGAATTATTTGTGCCCACCGCCGCCGAGGCCGATCTACTCGAGGCCCGCGACCATCGTCAAGTGCACGACTCGCGACGACGACGACGACGACGACGACGACGAGGAGATTTACGACGACATCGGCTGCGCCCAAGTCGTTATTAATAACGACTCCGCGTGTGTCGATCTCTTGAGGCAGTATCCGAGTAAGTTTAGCCAAATGTTCGCACTGCTTTCGAATCGTTTTTATATATAAAAATAACTCTTTGCAGAGAACAGCTCGTTTCTGTCGGACCTCCAGCCGAGCCTGTGCGATCAAGAGCACTACCAAGTACCAAAGTCACACAATCGTAGAATAATAGACGTCGTCGAGCAGCAGCAGCAGCAGCGACAAGAGGAGCTCTACGACGACGTGAGCTTGTCGGAGAATTTCAAGAATCGACCACGCGATACTCCGCCAAAGCCACCGACGACAGCGACGACGACAACGACTACTACTACCTCCGCCTGGAGTACCTTCAGCAGCGGCAAAAGGGCTCGGGTCTTCGAGCGAGACGACGGCAATGTCGCGACGACGATCGGCGGCGACGTTGCCGATTCCGCGGCTGGTGCGCCACCGATCGCCAAAGTCAAACCTTTACAGAAGTTCATCAACAAGATGGAAAATACACTGAGCAAAGTTAACAAGACTAGCGGTTACGCATGATTACCCTAACCGATTTTATTTATAAACTAATTGTGTATAATAGAACTGTAAACGTATTGTCTTTTTTTTGGAAAACTGTTTAGTATAAGTTTTCAAGTATTACGATATTTACGAATTTCGATTAAACTAATTTTTTAACTTGAAAAATACATCATTATCGTCTCTAAGCAAGTACAGTTGTTTCGTGTGGACACTTGACAACTCGAGTCATTTATTAAATGCGTTGAAATGCAAGTTGTGTAAATAAAGCGTATCGGAGATGCAGAATAGATTTTGTTGCTTTCGTCCTTTTTAATAAGAAAGCATTATTATAATATTGTTATTGGATGTCTAATAAAAAAAACATGTGTTTTTTCAATTATTATAATTTTATTTTATTAATTTTTTAAAAATGATTTTCACACTCGAAGGGTTACCTACGATTATGTAGCAAACGTATTTACGTATCTACATCGAGAATACTCTTTTGTCCATACGATTTGTGACAATTATCACATTCAAAGGGTTTGCTTCGAAGATGTACATGTAATTTCAATCGGGAATTTACTTGAAATTGAGTAATTTTGATAATTGAATTTTTGTGTCAAAATTGTCAGATCTTTACCATTCAAGTAGTTCTTCTGAATGTAGTGATTTTCAATTTTCGCCATGGGTAGACAACTTTGATACTCATTTTTGCAGATATGTAATTATTTTTTATCTAATTTTTCGTCTGTCAAACAGAATTTTCAGATGCGTCAGCAGTAACTAGATGATTTAACTTCACTAGTGGTCATGGAAAACCATTAATGCCCAAAGCACACGTAAAAGTAAAGTACATTTGTTGAAGCTGTAATGTAAGAAGTGAATATATATATTCAAAGTTTCGAGGTAAATTACTAGAATTGCTTGGGTGTGTTTTCATTACTTTTCAATTATTTATTTTTGAAAATTCATTTTTCAACTTAATTAATGTTTATCCAAGTCAAGCTTGGATTTTTACAGATGATACATGTTAATCATGTATTATTTACAATTGATTGTCATTAGTTTTCAAACGAAACTTGTAACTTAATTATCATACAATTTTTACGATAAAACTGATCAAAGATAAACGCCTCAAAACTGACTATAATCGTTGTTTTTTACATTCGTTTCAATGTATACGCGGAGCAAAAGAAGATTAAGAAGACGGTATTATCGGATCAGTATCGTTCCGCTCGCAAGCCGCCGCGCAGATATTCATCAGATCTTTGTTCGTCAAATTATCCATGATCATCTCGCAGCAATTAGCCGGCAGCCGATAATGCGTCACCTCCACGAGAGCATCCAGCGCCCAGTCCCAAAAAAATCCACGACAAAATATCTCGCACAGTCGCCGGGCGCACACCCCTTGACTGGCCCAGGGCAAGAAGCGGAATCTGTACGTAGTCCAGAACTCGTAGTAGTCCCGATGCGTGAATCTGTTCGACGCCTCTTCGATCGGCAATCGGAGCAGGTCGTGCAGCGTCAGACTCGGCTGCACGATCGTCACCTCCTTGGCTCTGTCGGCGAACTCAGGCTCGTTCAACCAATGGTTGATATCGAGCTCCTCCCGTCTCGGCCTCCGGTCGAGAATTCTGTGCCTGTCGAAAAATTTCATGATCGTCAGCGCCTCGCTTCGTACGAACTCGTAGCCTCTCTTTTCCAGAAAGTCCACGAGGTCCAGTGCGCGAGCCGCTATTGCGAATTTATACAAATGACTCATCCAGAGCAAATGACCGTCGCCGAAGTAACTCTCGGTCGGGAAAACGAGGCTGGATAAATCGGCGCCGCGTTCGAGCAGTCTCTCGATCGTGCGCAGCCTCATGTTCGCCACGGCCCACTGCAGCGGCGTCCGCCCCGCGCTGTCCTCGGCGTCGATCCGCACCTGGTGTTCTCTCTCGTCGCACAACTTGAAGAACGTATCCAGCAAGCCTATCTCCTCGTTGCCTAGCATGCAGATCAAGTGAAGGGGAGGCGATCCTCGGCCGTCGACCAGACTCAGACTGGCGCCTTTGCGCAGCAGCAGTACGACCGTCTCGCGCACACCGACGTTCATGCTCATGTCTCGCAGTGCCAGGTGCAACGGCGTGTCGCCCCCCTCGTCCCGGACGTCGATCCTGATCCTCGGCGCTCGGCCTCTCAGGTCGCAGATCTCGAAGAGCGATTGCGCGTAGCGCGGATGCAGACTTCTCCTGGCGATGACGTGCAGAGCCGTCTCGCCGCGGCGCAGATTGGCCAGATTCGGATCGGCGCCCATGCGCAGCAGCGCCTCGAACGCGCTCCTGTTTTCGCGCTCCAGGGCCCGGTGCAGCGCCGCCTCGCCGCTCGGCAGCTCGTCCCTGACGTCGAGCCGCAGCAAGCTCCGCCGCGGCCACATCTCGTCGACGATCGCGAAGAACGTGTGGACCCAGGCTGCCACATGAACGCGTTCGTGGCGATGATTACTCATGCCGCATCTCAGCTGGCAGATATAGTGAAAGGCTGTTTGTCCCTCGCGATCGGCTATATTCGGACTGGCGCCACGACACAGCAGCCATCTGACCCCCTCCTCGCTGACGCGCTCCAGAGCCAGATGCAGCGCCGTCTTGCCCTTCCACTGGGCGTCGATGCGCGACGTCTGACGGCGCTGCTGCCGTTCCGGCAGCTCCTCGATCGCATCGAGCAACAGCATCCTCCTCCTCGTGTCCAGCTGATCGTTGTCGTCGCTCCTCCTCAGGAAGATCCAGTGCAGAGGCGACACTCGACTCTTGTCGGGTATTGTGGGGTCGGCGCCGTGCCTGAGCAGCAATCGTAGCGTCGCCGCGTGGTGCCGCTGCAGCGCCCAAAACAACGCCGTGTGACCCAACTCGTCCCGAGCGTTGACGACCCGCCGCATCATTCCCTGCCTCCGCCGCTTGTCCTTCTTGTTGATCTCGAACAGCAGCGACTCGATCAGGTCGTAATTTTCTTCGTCGTTATTCAGGTCCCGGCACAGAACGAGGAGAGGCGTCTCTCTCCGCCTGTTGGCCAGAGCCACGTTGGCGCCGCGTTCGAGCAGCAATCGGACCACCTCCTTGCTGAGATCGTGCCGCGCCTGGAGAGCCACGAGCAGCGGCGTATTTTTATACTGATCGCGGCAATTTATTATATCCTTCTGTCTCGAGTCGAGGAACTTCCGGACGACGTCGACCAAGCCGAGCTCGCAGGCCACGTGGAGATGCGTTCGGCCCATCGGACCGATGTAATTTACCGCGAAATCGTCGTATATTTCGAAGAGCGCACGGATTATCTCTGAACCCTTGTCGACGAGACCCAACCTGTACAAAGCTGACATCAAATGCAGCGGTGTGCAGCGATTCGGCAATGGCCTGTTGTTCTTATCCAAGTCCGCCTCGACTTTGTAACCGGTGCGGGCCACGATGGTAACGATCGTCGATACGTCGCTTTTGTTCCCGAATAGTTCTCCCACGACGTGGATGAGAAGCTGGTTCATTTCCCTTGGCTGAAAAACGTCGCGCAGATCCGGAAGTTCGCCCTTCCAATCTCTGATCAAAGTGGCAAGTTGACGGACGAATTCGTGTCCCTTATTCGCATCGCTCCAATCGACCTCTTCCCCTTGTCTCTTCATCTCGATCAATTGCTCGAACGAGGACATCTTGTGTGTGACGACGAAATATTTTTTACTTTTTTTTTTTCACGAGAATCGCTCCGGCTGTGCGGTCCGAACGACGTTCGCGGTGAGACACTGCGAAATAGACTGCGCGATATTTCTCAACCGTCGAACGCTCGAAATTGCGAGGAGCGATGTAAACACACGCGAGAAGTTTCGAATCGACCGATTTGTCGAAGCTTGATTATTGATTTGAGCTAAACGTGAACTAAATATTCGAGTCGGATGTGTTTGATTCATATTTTCGATGAAACAATAGCGCGTGAAATGTAAAAAGTAACGATTGAGTTTCGTTGATTTTCACGAAAATTATTTTTTCCAATTGACTCCTGTTTCATTTCAGCGTGTTGATAAAATAAATGTTTGGATTCAATTTTCTTTGTTTCTGGGTGAAATTATTCCCAGGTGAAAATAGTATGTAAGATCTGACATTAGATCTGATACCAGATCTTGTATTCGATAATTCGACATTAGAACTTATATCAGATTTGAAGTGACTGTATTGCCTCTAATTAATTAAACAATAAGTTTGCTAATAATTAAAATTTTATAATAAATCTTAATATTAAAAGTTGTTGAATCAATTTAAATTCACATTATCAGAAACCTAAATATTGTAGGAATTTTTCTTAAGGATATCATCGATGTGATTATTAAGATATAACTAAATTTGTTATATAATTTTAATTATTAATAAACTTATTGTTTAATTAATTAAAGGCAATACAGTCACTTCAGAACTGGAGTCAGATCTTACATACTATTTTCACCTGGGTTTGTCTTTCCGAGATTTTACGGCTCAACGACTACGTTCGCGTTGCAAACTCGATAAATTTCGAACAAAAAATCGATACATCGAATATCGCACGAATCCACTCAAGTCAATCGCGCAAACGATACAGTTGTTTTTCGGCAAATTTCACGCGCCTATTGCTCTCGGTAAAAACGTGTAAATTTTCCGTGACAGCCGATCTCGATTTTCGGTTAAAAAAAAAAAGGGACTCTCCAAGGTCCCCCCGCAAATCACAAATTTCGATCGAAATCGATTGGTGACATCGAAAAAAATTCGGCGCGGCGTAATGCAGGAAACCAAATCGTCGAAATCGCACGGCGGCGACGACGACGACGACGACAACGAAATCGAGAAGTGTCGTCAGGAGCGGCAGCCGTTTTCACAGTGGCAAGTTCCGCGAATCAAAACGATCGTCCCGAAGAGCGACATCGTCGAGATTCGAGTCAACGACGAGGAAACCAAGTACATCAGCAAAAGCGAGTCAGGTAGGGAGTGTCTTTGAAAATTGAAATTAAAAAAAATCTATGGAAAAGCGTGACGAGTTCGTTGCTTTGCAGAGTTGTGCAGTACCAACAACAACAACAACGACAGTAATAAAGATTCCCCGATCAACGCGTCGATTCCGAAGGTAGCCAAGCTCAGCTTGGATCTGTCCAGCGATTCCAATGGAAAATGCAGCAGCACCGGCACGAAGACGAGTCCGTCGTACGTTGGGAGCAGCTGTCGAAGGTCGGAAGACGACAGTACGGAAGAGAGCGTCGGTGTCAAATCGACGAGCGCGTCGAGAAGTGTCCCCCAGAAGCGAGCCTGCGCGAAAAGAGGCAAAGAGCAGCTGAACCAGAGCTTCTGCGGCGAGTTTTTACAGGTAAATTTTTTTTTTTTTGGGGCTTGTTGCTATCGAACGAAAAGTTGACTACGATTCCAATCGTCGAATATGTTTCATGCGCCCGAAGTAGTCATGGGTAGTGTATGTACGATTCAAGTAGTCGACGCAATTTTTTTTTTTTTTTTGACCTTATACAGTTAGATTATTATTCAATATCATTGTGTTTTTCACTGAGAATTTTTAAAAGGATGGTATCGGGTTAAATTTATGTAGATAACGTACACAAGAGCTTGATTATTACAGGTTGAGTTTATTGAATAATTAAAAGTCAAGGTAATGCTTTGATACACTGCATTAGCTGAATTTTACACGTATTTTATTATCAGTCAACACTCCGCACAAAAAATAGATCCAGAATAACAAAATAACAATAGATACGACGGTATAACAATAGAAATGAATGAAGGAATGACAAGTTGAATTTCGCCTTTTGGGTGGTCTCATCTTCCTTGTTAATGGTTTCTGAATCCAACGAAGATTCATATATTTTCAAAATTTCTAATTCACATTGAATAGTGACAGTATTCTTGGCAGAAATTAATTTGTCAATATTTTGAACCTAAAAAAAATTCAAACAACCCCATGGGGTTGTCACCCGCAGGTAAAATCTTCATGAATCGTGACTTTTTGAGCAACTTCTTGAGTAAATAAAAAATAAAGAAATGTATAAATGCAACTTATACTGGTAAAGTATCAAATAATTATTTATAAGATGTAATCCATGCATTGAACCGTTTATGAATTTTTATAATTTCATAAATCATAACTTTGTAATCATAGAGTTACGAAAAATCAAATTTCTCAGTTAGATCTCAAATGTCTAAATTTATATAACGGAGATCAACTTTAAGGGTTTTAAGGTTATAATTATGATTTTTGATAAAAAATTTGAATTCCTCGTCAAATTTTACATTTAAAATAATGTTTCAAAAATATTTTCATATTCACCTAGGAAATCAGAATAAAACTGGAATGAGGGTTCCGTGACGGTTTTGTGATTATAAACATGGTTTTTGAAACAAATTTGAATTCCTTATGAAAGCTTTAAGTTAAAATTGTGACATGTTTGGGTTAAAATTTTTTGTGGGACTTTATTAAAGTTTTACTTCTAACTTTTCTCAAGAGTCGACAATAAATAATAACTATCATTGGTATCACTCAGGGGCAGAATTTCAAATAAAAAACATGCACGGTGTAGTTAAAGACGCTTTTTTATTATGCATTAAAATATTAACCAACTTAAATGACCTGACAATTAACTCCATCATTGTCACACGTAAGATTAATGATTAAACAGTAATGAAATGATCATATTCAAACCAGATTTAAAAATATGTACTAATACATTTCATTCATACGAAAAATTTATGATTTAATTAAAAATTAGTTCATAAACATGTATTAAAGTCAATACACTAAGGAATTATTAAATAAATATATATAGTTTTCTTAAAATTTATTGAATCAAATTTTTGGAATGATAAAGTTCTAAGAAGTGGAATTAATCAGTTACATCATAATTAATTATCCGTTTTCGGGATTTTTCTTCCTACTTTAATTATATTAAGCAGGCTAGTGTCAACCAAGTCATTTACTTTTTCTAAATCAATGAGCGATTCTATGTGAACTTCAAAAAACTTCACAACCTCATCTCCCAAATACTTTACATTATATTTAAGCGCAGCTTCCAGAATGTCCAGTGCATTTTCAGTGGACAATTCAGCACACAATATTTTTTCACACTTGATTTTCAAATTATCAATTTGATACTTGTCTGCTGCGGCTAAAAGTTTCAGAACTATATCTGTTTTGGTGCTTACAATGTCTCCCGTATAGATGTATCTCAACATTTCAATTAGAATATTGTAAGGTATATCTGGTATCTCAATGGAATTATTTTTCCTTTCTAACATATCATGGGTAAACATGGCTTTGAATACTGGACTGGACATAGCGAGTACAATTCTGTGTGCTGGAATGGAATTTTTATCAGAAGTTATCAACTTAACATCACTGAATTCTTCATTTAGAAATGCAGAGTCAAGTTTTATTCCATGAATTGTTTCATCTACATTGTCAGTGATTTTTGAATTAATTGAAGATTCCAATTTCTTGAAAACTTCGAAGTCACATTTAAAGGTGATAGTATTTTTGGAAGAAATTAATTCGTCAATATTTTTTAGGTCCCAAAATTTATTCCATCCCCAGCATCGCTTTGCATAATCATGATGCGATATACCTTGTAAAACAAGTTTTTCATCATTAATAACTGAAACTGTCCCTCTACATATGACTTGGTCTGGTTTTTTTTCTGCATCAGTTCCTAAATACTTAAGATATATAGTGTAACGTCCAGAAGGGACTTAGTGTTGCAAACCGAAGGTTCGCGTGGCCTCGGATAACGATTTTAGCCTTTTCTCGTGCCACGTCCACGAGGAGACGGGGCACAAGGGGTCGGCTGAGGACCGGCGGCTTGCGAGCGACGTGTATTTGTAAGGAGGAGGAACACGTTCGACCCGGCGAAACGATTGCTCGTTCATCGCCAGGTCGGCAGTGAATGTATTAGGTTTATTATTTACTTATTTAGCGTAGCATGTTTGTAGGTGGATAGCAAGAATTTAGAGAGTAATTTTATATAGAGAAAATAGAGAGTTTATTTATGAAATTATACGTAGACTTACATTTTCGTTGATTGGTTGTACAAGCGAACTGGATGGCGGCTTGGAAGTTGGGGCCGGACAGTGAGCTCTATACTATAAGTTGTTAAGAGCACTTCACTTTTACTCGCGGAGCGCGATTTTAGTGTACATCTGTACTGTTAGAATGCTGGAGCACGAATAGTCAGAGTCGACTGAAGCTTTTGGTGACTTAGTCGACGCTGGCTTTCGGCGGCTGAGATTTTTATTGCTCTTTGAGAGCTTTGATAGGCCCAATCTGTCGTATGACGACGTTGCGCCGAAGGTTTTGTCTGTCTGTCTTTTTCTAATTTCCAAGCCGACCATCGAATGTTCTCGAACATTGTACTTACAAGTGATGTTGTAATTATGTTTATTTAGTTGCAAATGATTGTTATTAATTGTTCTTTTTTAATTGGTTTGTTACATCATAGGGTAAATGTTATACTTAGCTGTTCGTTGCTATTTCGGTTGTCCCGCTGTTTCTCACGTTAACATTGGCTGTTTATTGTAACTTAAATTGTTTATGGACTTATTGTTTATTGCGGGAGGCAGGGAGAGGTTTTATGAAAGAAAAGAGAGTCTGTAGAAATCGAGGTGTATCGGTCTCAATCTGAGGCTGATTCGGAGTGAATATTAGTTATTAAATAATTTGGGCGTTTTACATATCGGTTAGAAATATTTGCCATGTGTTTTCATATTCTCGAACGTTCGTTTTCTCGATCGTTCGATGTGGCCTTTTTCTTTGTCGAAAAATGTAACCGTTGAGTGTTATGGCGGTCGTAAATAAAGGCGTTAGACTTCTTACAGCTGGGCGCCGGGGCGTTCGGAAAGTCCCGAGTAGCTCGCGGAGCTGCATGTAAGACGGGCTGCCTATGGGCAGGCGTTTTGGAGGTTTTCGAAGTTTTGAATTTTTGTGGCCTATTCGGAGGCGACGTTACAATAGAAATGAATCCCGCCGATTCCTCACTATCGCCTGCAGGATATAATATTAGTTGGAAGTATTTTTTACCATCACTTTCAACACTAAATTCAGGGGATAATATGGATTCTCCAACTTTGGTTTTTATCACACGATAATTCTCGATCGTCCACGTACAAATGAACTTAATTGTAATAGCTGTAGTGGTGGCTTGTATTCGTTGGGTTGATTCCATGTTGACCTAAATGGTGAAGTTGAGAAACATTTTACTTGAGTACGTGAAACTTTTATCGATCTTTAACAAATTAAAAAACGAAGGCAAGAATACTTGGAGAAAATATTGTTCCTAAAAATTTTTCCCGGGAAATGTTTGTTGGTCCGCGCAGAAATGTGAATCGCATTGTTTTGGGTTGCAAGGAGCCACAGCTTACTTCTATATACGAAAGTATTTTACTCGTTTCATTGCCTTAATCGCTTATGTTTCTTATAGATAGAAATTACGCACAATATATAATCCAAACTATAGTCGACGTGATGTATGCCAAAAATGTGAAGGGAAACAAAGTAATTTGAAATGAACAAACAGATTGAAACAACTTTTACATTGAAAGAGTACATTAAAAACATCAAATGAAAATTAAATGTTCAGTCTTGTAGGTCTGTCTTTCATGTATCCGCAATTTGGATTTATATTTTCTAATTGTCATTTTACTTTTATGGAGTGAATATAAAAATATTCGAATAATTATTGATATAAAATTTGATCAGGTGTTCAAATTTGTTTTCAATAATCTTGTTTATTGCTAAGGAAGCTGTAGCGAAAATGAAAAAAAAATTAGATCGAAGTGAAATTTTAACCAATGATAGTTAATGAAATTACAAAAATTTGGGGATTCCATGCAAACTTGGGAAATAATGAGATTCTAAGTTTTGGCCATTTTACACTAAATGATATAGGAAGTGACAGTTTTTCGTGTACTGCGAGCTCAAATCACTTTACAAGTTAATGAAATTAATATATGTTATAGGAAATCTTATTTGCTTTTGAATGATATAATTATGAATGGGTGTTTTCGACCAGTCTAACACATTTCCCCCATATTCTGTCATGCTAACGCTGTGCGCTGCGCGCAAATAGCGTTTTAAAACATATGGGCTAAGCCATAATTAGCGTGATGGTCAAAAATGTACTCTTCAAAAGTACATAATTTGAAAAAAAATCAGCTGTTTATGAACAGCTGCAAGATGTGAAACATCTTACTATTAATTTAAGAAAATTAAAGAATTCAAAAGTAATCGAACAAGTAAAAGTCGAAACAAAAAAAGTAAAAAATTAAAAACGAATTAAAACTCGAAAAATCAAGAAAAAATCAATTTAATACAAAAATCTAAAATCTAGAATCAAAAAAGTAAAAAGTAAGAAAACAAAAAAACAAAAAACATGAATCAAAAAAACGAGAAAATCAAGAAAAAGAAAAGTCAGAAAATCCCAACACAAGCATCGATGTTTCACATCTGGTGCATTATCAATGCGTGCTTACTCTTCAAATCGTTCCCTCTCATTGAGTTAAGTAATCAGAGTAGTTTCTCGAGCTTTAGCGCACCAGATGTGAAACATCGATGCTTGTGTTAGGATTTTCTGACTTTTCTTTTTCTTGATTTTCTCGTTTTTTTGATTCATGTTTTTTGTTTTTTTGTTTTCTTACTTTTTACTTTTTTGATTCTAGATTTTAGATTTTTGTATTAAATTGATTTTTTCTTGATTTTTCGAGTTTTAATTCGTTTTTAATTTTTTACTTTTTTTGTTTCGACTTTTACTTGTTCGATTACTTTTGAATTCTTTAATTTTCTTAAATTAATAGTAAGATGTTTCACATCTTGCAGCTGTTCATAAACAGCTGATTTTTTTAAATTTTTTCTATTTTCAATTTGATTTTTTTTACTTGTTTTTTACTTATTTTTTTGTTTCGACTTTTACTTGTTCGATTACTTTTAAATTCTCCAATTTTCTTTAATAAATTGATAAAGATGTTTCCCATCTTGCAGCTGTTCATGAACAGCTGATTTTTTTTAATTTTTTCAATTTTCAATTTGTTTTATTAATCAAATTAGTGCATTGAGCTATTATCGTTCGTTGTATCTTAATATAACATGATCAAAATTTCGACTTCCCTTAAGAAGACACACACTCATAGACACGTATACATACATGCAGTAATAAGTATCAGATTTGACAACGTGCATGATAGTGCTTAGTCTCGCGACGTACATGCATAGACAACACATACGTATTATATGTATTAGCGATACGCATAAACAAGAGAGAGAAAGATATCTCAACGCAGTCAATCCCGTGAGCTGAGCCGACTGCTGTTGCTTATGCTGTTACGTTGCCTCGTGCGTATACGTAAACACAGGCATACGCGCGTCGAGTCTCGGCAGCGGGCAGCAGCAGAAAGCAGTTCTGTAGCTGGCGCGGCAGCCAATCACAGCGCGTAGCGCAAACCGACGCTGTATAGGCAGTTCTACTACCAAAGTTGCGCTCGCTCGGACGGACGGACGGACGGACGGACGGACGGACGGACGCTCGGTTTTTACGGGTTTACCCCTGACACCAAACGCGAATATAGATGTTTCACATCAAAAAATTTTTTTTGACCATCACGCTAATTATAGCTTAGCCCGTATATATATAACTACCGTGCATCGCTACAGCTTCCTCAAATCACCGCCACGTGAAGCATGTTTCTATATAAACTTGAGTATACTCGAAGTTGAAGTTTTTAATAATAAGATCTATCACACTGAAGAAAGAGATGAGAGAATTTCAAGATTTTCAACTTGAAACAAATCACTCGTATTTTACAGAAAACTTCATAAACAAATTATTGAATGTAAAATAAATGTACTTACTCGTAGGAAACAAATCAACTATATGACTTCACAAATGAACTAAATGAAAAAAACGAGAAAAATGCTTGAATGCAAAATTTAGAAGGAATGTTCAAACACTCTAAACGTTGAGCGTCTGGCTGCTTTACAAAGTCAGTACTGACGTGAGCTGTGAGAGAGACGACAGATGATTTTCGAACGATGAAGGCTGCTGCGGCATCACGTGCACGTGCGTGCGGTTATCGCCGCGCGCATCGCGCATTAGAACAGCCCTGACAGGTGGCGATCATATGAACGTATGAAAGCTTTGTGGGTTTTTTAAAATTATTCAACTTAAGAAGATATAGAATCGCTGTGTTTATGAATAAGCCAGCCTCCCACTTAGGTTTAACGGTAAATGTTCATAGTGAACGTTAATTATATTGACATGCATTGAACTTAATTATATTATACTTACACATAAAATCATTGGTTTGAAACGGTCATTTGAGTATGTGTACTGATGCACTTTATTTACTCGATAAGTTACAGATAAGTTTATAGATTTCAATATTATGTTATAAACTTACACTGCTAGCATTATACAAAATTCTTTATCAAATGTTATACTTGCATTTAATCATTTATTAAATGATAAAGAACAAACAATTAGTGTGAATCAATTTGATTGATTATACTTGCAATCAAGCTAACGGAACAGTTTGAAAATATTTTCAAGAATGTAATTAGGAACTATTAAATCTATATAGTTATCTTATGATTACATAAAACATACTTCTGAAATAATAAAGTTTTAAAATAAAAAATTAATTAGTTATAACTGAAATTTTTAAATTTATATAACACAGATTGATTTCATTTTGATTTCTTTAGAGAAATTGAAATTGATTGTATTACATCATGTAGTACTCCAGGATCAACTATATTTTTAAATTTTTCAGTATTAACGAACAATTGTATGTGAGCTGTGACAAAGTTCTTTGCTTCATTTGCCAAATTCTTTATATTATATTTAAGTGCAGCTTCCAGAATGTCAAGTGCATTTTCAGTGGACAATTCAGCACATAATATTTTTTCACATTTGACTTTTAAGTTATCAATTTGATACTTGTCTGCCACTGCTAAAATTTCCAGAACTTTATCTGGTTTAGTACTTGAAATTTCCCCTGTGTAGATGTATCGCAACATCTCAATTAGAATATTGTAAGGAGTATCGATTATCTCAACAGAATTATTTTTACGTTCTAACATATCATGAGTTAACATTGCTTTGAATACTGGACTGGCCATAGCGAGTATAATTCTGTGTGCTGAAATGGAGTTTTCGTCAGAAGTTATCAACTCAACATCACTGAATTCTTTACTTAGAAATGCGGAGTCGAATTTTACTTGATCAATTGTCTCACTTTCATTGTTAATGATTCTTGAATCCAATGAAGATTCATATTCTTTGAAAACTTCCAATTCACACTGAATGGTGACAGTATTCTTGGAAGAAATTAATTTTTCAATATTTTTTAGGTCATAAAATTTACTCCATCCCCAGGTAGTTTTCTCTGCATAATCTTCATGTGCCGAACATGTTTCAACGACTTTTTCATTATTGATAGCTGAAATCTTTAGTCTAATTATGAGTTTGTCCAGTTTCTTTGTTAAATCAGTTTTTAAGTAATAAAGAAATATAGAATTGAATCCCGCACTATCCTCACGATTGCCTGCAGGGTATAATTTCAGTTGGAAGTATTTTTTACTATCACTTCCAACACTAAATTCTGGTGATTCTATCGACTCTCCATTTTCTGCCCTTATCATACGATAATTCTCGATCGTCCACGTATAAAGGCACTTGTCTGTAACAATTCTAGTAGTGGCCTTCATTCGTTGAGTTGATGCCATATTGATAATAGGGTGAAGCAACTAATTACTTGATCAAGCGAAACTTTTAAAGATGTTAACGAATTAAACAATGAAGATAAATACCAAGCGGCAATATATGGTTTGAACAGGTTTTCTCCGTAGACAGTTACCGTTGGTTTGCGCGGGTATGTGAATTGCATTTGTTTATGCTTGTGAGTTGTGAGCCGATGATGACAGTTTGGTTCGCGAAAGTAGCGACACTTATCGGTGTAAACATATTCAAGTCACGGCACCTTTCGCATATGTGTTAAAATTAAAATGTAAAATCATATTACTTAAATTTCATACTTCCGCTCTATAGTTGATTAGGATATTTAAAAATTACTTACTATATCAAGACAATCACTCTTTCGAGAAAACGTGATATAAATAATCAATCATTCTCGTTATTATCACGCCGTATTAAGACTGCAATTTGAACGTTTGTAAACCTATACCCGATTTGCAACAGCGTCGAGAGAGCCGACCGATTTAGAAAGTTAGAACGAGTCTGAATAATTTAGTATAAAGCACAGAAAAAGAAAATCGAGAAATCGACCTCATGGATGTAAAAATGACGATTTTACGATAACGTTTTATGCACCCGAAGTAGTGATGAGTTGTTTATAAATATGAGTATAAAGGTCACAATTATTATTTCTTTGATATAGCTCAAATCCACGTTTAAAACTGAAAAATTTTCTGGGTTTGTAAAAATGATTCTTTGTGTATGTACTAAACTATTAACCATAGAAAGTATTAACAGCACAAGAAACTTTATTGAGCCACTGCTTTTGTATGCATAATCAATCTTTTGTAATTCAACAATGAACAATGTAGATATATGTGAATTCATGGAGTTTGCAGAAATTATTTAACTAGAGAACGAATAGTGAAAATTACCCCAATTAAAAAAGCCAGCTATCCACTCAGATTTAACAGTGAATTTTTATAGTGACATATAAAGCCTGAAAATTTATTGTTTTTTCTCTTAAGTTAAATAATTGAATGAACCAGAATGGAATGATGAACCAAACAGAATCAAACTTCAACAGTCATTTGAGAATATGTTCGAATGCACTTTATTTGTATGACAATTTTATATACAATGCATTCAAAATTATTTTAAAAAATTATACTACTAGCGTTACTAAACATTCTTTATCAAATTCTTTCCATGCATTTGACAATTTATAATTATGAAGCATTAACAATTAGTGCTAATAAATTTTTTAAATTATACTTGCAATCAAGCTCGGGCAACAGCTTAATAATACTTTTGGTTTAACATTTGACAAAACAATAAGGAACTATTAAATAAACTTAATTTTACTTTTTACCATTGATTAATTATTGGAAATTTAATAGTCTTCTAATCATTTTGTAAACCATATCTTTATAATAATCTTTTTAATAATAAAGTAGCAAAAAATAAAATCCATCAATTGCACCTTGAATTTCAAGGTTTATATTACTCAGATCAATTTTACTTTTGTTTACTGCAAGGAATTTGTCATTGATTGAATTACATTTAATAGTTTATCAGAATTAAGGAATGATTGTTTATGAGCTGTGACAAACTTTAACACTTCATTTTCTAAATGCTTTACATTACATTTATGGGCAGCTATAAGAATTTTAATTGCATTTTCAGTAGACAATGCAGCGCTTAATATATTTCCACATTTGACTTTTAAATTATTAATCTCATACTTGTTTGCAACTCCTAAAATTTCCAGAACTACATCTGTTTTAGTGCTTACAATATTACCAGTATATATGTACCTCAACATCTCAATTAAAATATTGTAAGGAGTGTCCGTCATCTCAATAGTATTTTGCTTCCTTGCAGAGTTGTGTTTTTTACTTTGCAACATTTCAGAAGTAAACATGGTCCTAAATACAGGGCTTGCTGTAGCGAGTATAATTTTGTGTGCTGGGATGGAATTGTCATCAGAAGTTATTAACTTAATATCACTGAGTTCTTCACATAGAAATGCAGAGTTGAATTTCATTCCATAGATTGCCTCGTCTTCATTGTTCGTGGTTTTTGAATCCAATGAAGATTCATATTCCTTGAAAACTTCCAATTCACATTGAATGGTGACAGTATTCTTGGAAGAAATTAATTTGTCAATATTTTTTAGGTCATAAAATTTACTCCATCCCCAGGATGACTCTGCATAATCTTCATGTATCGTAATTTTTTTAACAACTTTTTCATTATTGATAGCTGAGATCTCGGTTTTACATACGAGTTTGTCCAGTTTCTTTGTTGAATCAGTTTTTAAGTAATGAAGAAATATAGAATTGAATCCCGCACTTTCCTCAAGATCGCCTGCAGGGTATAATTTCAGTTGGAAGTATTTTTTACTATCACTTCCAACACTAAATTTTGGGGATAATATGAATTCTCCAACTTTGGTTTTTATAACATGATAATTCTCGATCGTCCACGTATAAATGCACTTATCCATAACAGCTGTTGTGGTGGCGTTTATTCGTTGTGTTGATGCCATTTTGTTACCAGGATAAAGAAACTAATTACTTGATGAAGTGAAATTCTTTGCGATCTTCAACCGATTAAACAGTGAGGAGAAATCCCAAGAGACAAGTTTTGAACAGGTTTTCACAGAAAACACTGACGGATGATTTGCGCGGGTACCTATGTGAATTGCATTTATTTCCGGTTGTGACCCGACGACCGACAGTTTAGTTCGATTCGCGTAAGTAGCGACACTTGTCGGTATAGTAATGAAACTTTAACTCACGGCGCGCTTAGCACGCTCCTTGAAATTTGATTTCGAAGCGCATCTCCAAATGCGCAATATAGATATATAGTTAAAAGACTAAAACATGATAAATTACGCAGTTACTTCAATTGTTCACAATATTAAACCAATCACTTTTTTAGGAGAAGATATGAATAATTACTCATTCTCGTTGGTATCATTCAGAGAAAAAATGCAATTTGAGCATTTACAAAGTATGTTATCGGTTTGCAGCAGCGCCTAGAGAAAAGATCAATCGGCACCGAAAAAGAAAAAATGAGCAAGCGAGCTTATGAATATAAAAACGACGATTTAACAATAAATAAATTCTTATATGCACCCGAAATATTGATGAGTAGTGTATAAATATAATTTATAATAGTCACATTTTTTTCCCCCTTAACGTAGTTCATTTATAATTTAAATTACCAAACATGAAAATTATTAACAGTACAATCCATTTTATAGATGCCCTATTTCTGTATACGTTAAAATTTCATATTATAATAAATTCAATAATAAAATCTTTTGTAGCTTCAATAATAAGCAATCTAAGTATCAGAGTAATCACTTGAACTATAAGTAGTGATCTTTTATGTTTTTTTTTTGAATTATTTAACTTGAGAATGTGTAGGGAAAATAACAGTGTTTATGAATAAAGTCAGCTTTTTACTCAGATCTAACAGTAAATTTTTGTAGCGACACTTAGCGGCCTGGAAATTAATAGTATTATTCTTGCACATAAGATCACTGATCGAATAAGAAAAAAATGATGCATCAAACCAAAAAATAAGTTTATATGGTTATTTAAGAATATATGCTGAAGAATTAGCACTTTATTTACATAATGATCAAAAATATTACATTTCAAATTATTTTTAAACTTATACCAGTAGAGTTACAAATGATTATTTATAAAATGTAGTCCATGTATTCAACCGTTAATCAATTTTTAAAGTGCTAATTGATTCGCAAAATTATACCTGCGATTGAGCTAAGCTTGCAGATGTTCTTATTCTAATTTTCAATAATACATTTAGGAATAATTAACTATAATTTTATCAACCATTTCTCCATTTTATTTAGATTCTTATTTTTAAATTAAACAATTTTTTATGACTTCAAAAATCTTAACTTAGGAATAATAGAGTTACAAAGATTCCAATTTATCAGTTGCACCTAAATTGTCAAAGTTTATATAACATAGATCAATTTTATTAATGTTCACTTTGGGAAATTTGTTATTGTTTGAATAACATTGAATAGTAATTCAGGCTCAGATATTTTCTTCAGTTCTTCAGTTTCAACAAATGATCGTATGTGAGTTTTGACAAATTCCAATGCTTCATGTTTCAAATACTTTTCATCATATTTATGAGCAGCTTCCAAAATCTCAATTGCATTTTCAGTGGTCAATTCAGCCTGTAATATTTTTCCACACTTGATTTTCAAATTATCTATTTGATACTTATCAGCTACTGTTAAAAGGTTCAAAATCACATCTACCTTGGTATTTGCAATTTTACCTGTGTAGATAAATCTCAACATCTCAACTAGAATATCGTAAGGTGTATCCATTATCTCAACAGAATTATTTTTACTTTCTAACATATCATGAGTAAACATGGCCTTAAATACTGGGCTGGCCATAGCGAGTACAATTTTGTGAGCTCGAATGGCACTTTCATCAGAACTTATCAACTCAACATCACTGAGTTCTTCACTTAGAAATGCAGAGTCAAATTTTACTCCATTAATTGTTTCATCTGTACTATCAATGTTTTTTGAATCTAATGAAGATTCATATTCCTTGAAAACTTCCAATTCACATTGAATGGTGACAGTATTCTTGGAAGAAATTAATTTGTCAATATCTTCTAGCTCATAAAATTTTGACCAACCCCAGGATTTTTGCCGCGATTGCATAAAATCTTCATGTAATGTAGATTGCGTAACAACTTTCTCGTCATTAATAACTGAAACCTTGCTTCTACATACGAGTTTGTCCAGATTCTTTGTTGAATCAGTTTTTAAGTAGTAAAGAAATATAGAAATGAATCCCGCAGCTTTCTCTCTTTCGCCTTCAGGGTATAATTTCAGTTTGAAGTATTTCTTATCATCACTTCCAACACTAAATTCTGGTGATTCTATCGACTCTCCATTTTCTGCTTTTATCATACTATAATTCTTGATCGTCCACGTATAACTGCCTCTTTCTGTTACAGCTTTAGTAGTGAGCTTCATTCTTTTGGTTGATTCCATGTTGGCCTAAATAATAGAGTTGAGAAACGTATTTATTCGTGAAACTTTTAGCGATCTTCAATCTTCAACAAATTAAACAATGAAGAGAAGTCCCGAGAGACAAGTTTTGAACAGGTTTTCACAGCAGTCACTGACAGTTGGTTTACGCGGATACTTATGTGAATTGCATTTGTTTCCGCTTGTGAGCCGACAGTTTAGTTCGATTCGCGTAAGTAGCGACACTTATCGGTGCGTTTATGAAACTTGAATTAACGGCGGTTTTTACAACGCGGTGCACAACATATAGTCAAAAGACTAAAACAGTATTACTTCCGCAGTTACTTCAAATGCTCACAATACTAGGTCAATTTTTTGAAGAAGAAGATATGAATAAATAATCATTCTCATTGGTATCATTCAGTGCAAAAAATGCAATTTGAGCATTTGCAAAATGTGTCCGGCCTGCAACAGCGCCGAGAGAGCCGATCGACCCAGAGCCAGCCTGAACAATTACAAGCGCAGAAGAAGAAACCCGAGCAAACGAACTCACGGGTACAAAAACGACGATTTGACGATAACGTCGGATTCGGACGCCACCTACTCGACCTGCGAACGAAAAAAAATCATCAGATCGAACAAATTGTAAGCGAGAATTCTCTTACACTATGTGCGTAAATTAACACGATTTATTTATTTATCAACTTCTGAAAATTGCAGAAGAAGCTGCCACAGATGCAAGAAGGTAATTCTCGACAAGGAGTACGACGACGAGGACGAATCGTTGAGCAGCAGCACGAGCGATCAGACTTTATGCAGCGAGAGATCCAAGTACACGTGCTACTGCAGCAAAAATCATTCGCACGAGGACTTGACCTTCGGATCGAGTAAATATCACACGAATTATTGTCGAGCGAAGACGAATTTTTAGCGAATCCGAAATTTCAGGAACGAAAGACAAGAGGACGGTCGAGGACAGCGAGCTCGAGCGATTTCGCGGCGGCAACGACGAGTGGAACACGCTGGGCTCCTCCGCCTTCGGACAAAAGTCGACGTCGATCGGCGACGAGACTCGCTCGTCTCTCGTAGCGGCTGATTTCATCGAAAATTTCAAGGTTCCCTATAAAATTAATAAACATCTTACAAATTTGATGCTAACATTTTGAAAATCGCCTCGACCAAGCAGCACTTGAAAATCGAGAAGCTGCGCGACGGCCTCGAGCGCCTGAAGATCCGCAATCGCGATCTCCAAGGCTTCCTGCGCAATCTCCAGCAGCCCATCGACGACGACGACGACGAAGCCGCCTCCACTGCCGTCTGCACTCGATCGGTGTCGTCCAGCAACACGAGCAACGCCACCACGACCGTCGAAGCGCGCCGAACGACGACGACGCGCAGCAGTTCGCAGCTGTTGTCGAGCGTCAGGGCCCTCGAGACGGACTGCCGTAACAAGGACGCGATAATCGCGGCTCTGGCCGAGGAGCTCAAGAGGGACGTCGTTGCCAAGGAGTCGAAACTTCGAGGATTTCAGGTGGTGGCCAATGGAGGCAAGGGAGCAGCGAGATTCAGCAAGATGGACTCGGCGGTGGGCTTCTTCGTCATCGCTCTCATACTGGTGTCGCACGTGCAAAAGTCCGAGCTCGCCCTGTACCTGAGGCAGTCGAGGACGATACTGCAGTCGTCGCTCGACGGCTCGGTTCGATTATCGGCTGCTCTCTGGGAGCTGCTGCAAGAGAAATCGACGGAACTCTACGAACGTTACGCGCTCGGAGCAGCGATGTTATCCAACGAGATACTGTCGTCGAGCGAAAAATTATTCGCGGCTTCGCGAGTCGCTAGACTCTGGCGATTCTTGGAGCCCAAGACCGATCTCATATTCTGCATGTACGCATTGGCGAGCTTGGCGCTGGCGATCGTCGTCGTAGGCAGGAGGAGACGACGATTTCTCTGCAATTACACCAGCAGCAGCAGCATGCCTCGCTGCAAATTACTGCTGACCCTCTATCAGTTCTTCTGCGCCCTGCTGAAGATCGTCGAGGAGCGCATCTACTCGTCCAAGCTGTTCTGGCTGCTGGTGGGTTTCTGCACTCACGCGCTCCTCTTCAATTTGCTCTACTTCAAGGAGGACCTGAGGCAGCTCGTGCACGGCTTCGGTCTCCATTGTCAGAGAGATCATCAGCATCATCACAAGCAGAGAATTGTGCTGAGCAAGGATCGAGTGCAGAGCGGTATCGGCAACGAATCGTCGTATTATTCGTCCCTCTGGTCTTTGGCCTGTTTTTACCTTTCCAAGTTCAACGACGAGTTGCAGCCTCTTGTTAATTATGTATCTCGCGGCTTCAAGCGATATTTTTAAGTGAACGATAAGTTGTGCGTTTTGGTATTGTTTTTTTGCTATTTACTCGTTGACTTATAATGTGGAGAATAAAGTTCTTACGTCACAGACAAAGACAGACTCCGATGGTATATATAATATAATTTATTTACAATACTTTATCCAACAATTACAAAATAAACGTAAATAAATTATTCGAGTGCAAAATATACTTGAAAGTACGTATAAAGTATAAATTAAAATACTGAAAATAGTGTGATTCAGTGGATTAACACAGCTCTCAATTTTTTTAATTGGTACAAAAAATAATGCAATTACGTTGCTAAGTAACAATGCTTTTTTTATAAGATTGAAAAATGGAATCAACGAGTTTTTGCTGCGAACTCGCAACAGCCACTTAAGTTTAAATAGAAAAATTTTCGGAATGATACTTGTATTTACATCGCAGTAATATTATGAAAATACTTCTTCACTCCCGCTTGGATATATATATCTCATAAAAGAATCGATATGTACACCTTTACTATATGAATAGAAATCTATATTCGACGCTTTTTTAAAGGTCGAAATAAACGCACTACTTCACTATCAGTGGTAACTATTCCACTTTTAAGAAAATTCAACTGGCTCTTTAAATTCGCTAAAGATAAATGAAAAAGGTGGGCTCAAAAGGTAGCATCGATCTGGGTCTGCTTGAGCGACAAATCGAACAATTGATTCTGAAGCGTCTCGTCGTCGGCCAATGGATTTATGGGCGAATCTTGACAATTGCTTATGTACATGCCGGACTTCTTCTCGATGGTCGGATTCACCGCCGCGTAGACTATGGGCGTGGCGCCTTCCACGGGAGTCTGAAATACATTCGTACGTGATGAATTTATGATTTATATTCAATATTAAAAATCACAATCAATGATATATCTTTTACCTTGAAAAATATCTTGCTCAGGGGCTTGAAGTAATAGAGATACGAGTAGTCGAACAGATCGGTAGCCACGACTCCCGGATGGACAGCGTTCACCTGTATCGGCAGTCGCTTCTCGCTGAACAGCTTGGCGAGTTTTTTCGTGAACAGCAGCTGAGCCAGTTTACTCTGGGCGTAAGCTTCGCCGGTAATGAAGTTTTTCCTGACAAAAAAAATAATGTATACTTTTCCCATTTAATGCGTAATAATTTCGTGTGAATTTAGAAAGTCTCCGCCGTTTCACGAGGCACACAGGTGTACATGCGAGAATTATAATCCGAATTTGTTCTCACCGATTCTAATGTCGTCACACGGATTTTGCAACACACGCACACGCGTGTCAATGACTCCCAATCGATCGATATACATTAAATTAAAGATGATACTCACTTGTGATTGATGTCGTCGAATCGAATGTCGCCCAAGAGGTGGGCGCACGACGACACGTTGACGACGCGCGAGTATCGCTCGTCGGTGCCGGCCTTGCTCAGCAGCGGCACGAGCAGCAGCGTCAGCAGGAAGTGCGACAGGTAGTTAACGCCGTATTGATTCTCGAAGCCGTCCTCGGTCTCGCCGTAAGGCGTGAACATGATGCCGGCTGAATAATTCGTGATCTCGTTAATCGTAATGAAAAATATTTGTATAATTTTGAGAAACTTACCATTGTTGATCAAGATGTCTAATTTTGAGTAGTGCTTCTTGAATTCCGCGACGAATTTCCTCACCGAGTCCAAGTTCGCGTTGTCGATCTTGATGACTCTTGTCTTTCCGCCAGTGACGCCGGATTTTCTGATGCTGGCTATGGTTTTCTCCGCGGCTGACTCGTTACGGCAAGCTTTGTTATAAACATTAAAAAAAGATAATTAGTAAATTATTAATTAATTTAAAGCAAAAAAAATAGTTTTTACTTACCTATCACAACTTCGACGTCGCATTGCAATAGCATGCGAACTATTTCGACGCCGATTCCTCGAGCTCCGCCTGTGACCACGGCCACCTTGCCAGTCAATTTGGGCAACTCTGCGAGAGAGAGAGAGAGACAAGATCGAATTCATTATAATTTATTGAAATGACCAAACATTGTATAATACTTGAGAGGTAATATGGCATGTATCAATAAACGTGTAACGATTGCGATCGATTTCAGGAATATTATTCTCTATGTAGCTCGGCTGTTTCGTGATTCTTTGAAAATTTTAATATAACAAGTTGAAAGTAGAAGAAGAGGCCAATTATTAAAATTCTAATTATGATTGTGCTCTCGCACGTAGCGTATTTTTTTGTAAATAAAAAAATATAAACCAGGATTCTAGTGTCGTTATTTCACTCATTAAAACACAAGGTTACGAACGAAAAAATACCTCGATCTTTGTCAACTTTCTCGTTTACTTTTTGTTCTTCGATATTTATGATTTATCGAATCGACGTTATACGAATATAATTAGATTTTAAATCTAAAAATGACAACGACAGGTACAAAAAACTGAACGTGGCTCGATACGTTACGAGAAAAATGCCGACGAAGTTGTTTTATTGGGTAATAATTTCGATGACACACACGCGCACGCGAACGCGACGAAATAATATGTGCTCTCAGCGCGATTTCCAAACAGCGTCGCGCGCGCTGGTGTTTACTTTTTTCAATCCTGCGATGGCCTTTGCCTTGCATTTTGATAAAAATAAAATATGCGATATTTTAAACGACAACAATTGAATTTTTTTTTACTTATAGGAGCATTGAAAATAATTGAAGCAAACAAGAAAAAAAGAGAGAAGGTAAAACAAGCTCGAAATTAGGCACCAGCTCGAAGGTAATTTGAATGCTCTCAATTTTCCGTTCTCCGTGCGAGTTGGTGTATACACACGGCTGTTGTGTACAAGGATACGTGTGTACATATTTCGCGTTCTCACTTTTACATCCTCACGCCACATCGAGCCAAAACTATTAGAGCCTCGACTTCTCCACTTATTATCTTTTTTTTTTCGTTTGTTCGTACTTCTCGCAATGACATTTAAGCTCACGCAACAAGAAAAAAAGGAAAGCAAAAAAAAAGGAGCAACTCGTATACCCGTCTTATTGTTTCTCGCCTGTAGCCGATCCTCCACGATATTCCTGATGGCCACGTAATTGTAATTCAAATGGTTGCGGCAAAAGTCGTAGACGAATCTGAGCTTGAAGGGGCGCAGGGCCGAGTAGCCGACGACGGCGACCATGATGGTGGAGCAAAATATCACTGGCAAGGCAAACAACATGCCCACTGCTGCTGGTCGACTGCGCGGACGACTGGCGTTGTTGTTGCAGGCGGCCTGCTCGACTGCGGCGATTACACTGCTGCTTTGGCTGCTTTGGCTGCTTTGGCTGTGGCGTCGGGCATGGAAGCCTGACCGTGGCATAGAGTAGGTACAGCGGCGCGCTCGACTGTGTGTGTGTGTGTGTGCGCGCCGAGCGAAAGAAGAGAGCTGAGAAAAGTGTACAGTATATACATACAGAGTAATTGCGATGGTGTTTTTTGAGCTCGGCGCAAACTTTTACTTCATATTATACTGTGTATGTATGTTCTGCTGTGTGTATTCATATAGCGAGACTTGACATTTGGAAACTCGGCGTGTGAAGTTAAAGGGCATTACTTCTTGGCTCTTTAATTTTATGAATCAATTTTAAATGAAAGAATTTTAAAATATTTTAAAAACTTTTGGAAGCTTCTATTTTAACTATTAATTTTTTTTGTTTTATCAAAATTACACTTGATTATGATTGAAAATTCAAAGCTTCGTATATTGAGTTATTTCTTACCTGATACACACCAGTAACAAAAATACTTTAAAATCAAAACTCGCTCATTTTTTTTACGATACTACGACTCCAAAGCAATTATTTTTAATTGTCATCGAGTAGAAGAAAAGTGTCATGAATATCCTCTCATTTACGACACATCGTTACGCGACAAATACTACTAGCGGAGATTTCGTACAAAATTTAGTTAAATACTGAGCGGAATAGTCACCGTGATAATTATTTACCGCAGCCCTAAATAAAAATACGCATGCGTGCGTTTCTTTGGCTTCCACAGGCACATAAAAAGGGTAAATTTCTGCCCTGTAAGAGCGTGTGTTGATATCGAGAGATTGAATTTTATGGCCGTAGTAAAGTTGAAAAGTAGATAATTGAATTAATGAGTTTGGTAATTATGTCAAAACGATTGTACCGATTCAGTAATATTCCAAGATTTAACAGATTTTTACTAGGCTCGAAAAAACTCGTGTAAAAATCGATATTACACTCGTAAGTAGGAAAATTCGGGCGACAAATAAATACATCGGTGCAAAATAGTTTTGTATCGGCATTATAGGCGCGTGCATTTATTATTATTCGAAGAAAGCCATAACGGTGAAAACTTTCTCTCCGTGCAGATGCACGAAATTTATATGCACGCTAAGTCTCACTCGATGGGTCTTAGAAATGTTCGATGATGATGATTGCGATAAATACAATTGCACCATTTCCGTTTAACAGTTTAAATTTGTCAACAATTTTTATTTGAACATTCCAAATATACATAGAATATTGATTTTCAGGATCCTAAAAATGTATGCTAGTGAATGATTCAATCAACTATTTTTATTTAAGTCTAACAGATTGAATTATCAATTTTAACCCTTATCAGCCCTCACACACTAAGATACTTTGAAGGTTAATTAACCGGAATCATGCTGGAAAAAATAAGTACATACCTTTTATTCTGTTTGATTGTCAATAAATAATCGACAAATCTTAATGTATCTTTTCCTTCACAATTTTCATCAAAACTAATAACTAAAAAGAATCAGTAGTTTATAAATATAATTGCAGACTTTAATTATTACACCTTTTTTTCAATTTTATTTACATACAAGCAGAAACCTCGTGACCTAATATCAGCTTATCATGTTAAACATACAGTGCAAATATAATATTTTAGAATTAGCTTCAACTTCGGCTTTCTTTTACGGACAAAATTTTAGTTTTTTTTTATCAAAACATTATTCAAAGGTTCAATATGAATTCATGAAAACGTAATTTTATTCAGTTTTAATACAAAAATTTTTTTTAATCATAAAACTTGAATGTCAAATCCTACTAGACCTTCTAAAACATATTCCAAAATACGAACGATCGAAAAAAATAAAGAAAGAAATTTCTTTTTGTAAGTTTATTAAATACAAGAAATGTCAAAATACTTTAAAATGTTCTATAGTTTTTTAAAATGTTCTGAGATCAATGGAAGATTGAAGTTTGAGTCTGATTTTGTAGCAGGCGAAATGTTTTTCACCTTGAGCGGTCCGCCGCTGCGTACATACGTCAACTCCGAATAATGACAACATCAGCATATGTGTATACATGTAAACTTCGACTCTAACCTCACTCGTATAGTTTAGTCAAAATTTTGTTATCTTTAATCAAGCATCAGTGAAACAAATGAAAAATCAGCAAAAAAATTATTTGCCTATTTAGAAAAAATCATCAATCGTCAGAGAGAGCTGTCAACTTTAAAAATGAAGGATATCTTTTTGGGTGCTCTTCTTCTGCTCGTAGCGGTAAGTTTTCCAAATTTACGTTAGTCGAAAGCAAAAGCTAATTACAGTACACTTAAATAAATTTTTTTTCTGCAAAAGAATGTCGTACGTTCGGAGTACACTGCGGAAGATTGCAAAAGTCTTGGATTCAACAAAGCAGTGCTATTATGCTCGACGTGTGACAAATTTGACAAGTTCGAGCTTCAAGAGATTTCGTATGTACCGAATTTTAATACATAAATTTTGAAATATTTACGATTGTAAAACATTCAGCATTGAATTCATTTTGTAGGAGCCAATGTAAAGAATGCTGCTTGAAAGATGAAGATGACAGTTCGACCTCTAAGAGATATCCAAAAGCTGTGTTGGAAGTGTGCACTTGTAAATTTGGAGCTTATCCACAAATTCAAGGTAAGATTTGTGATGATGAAGTACATTTCCATGATTAGCTTGATGTAACGTAAACAAAATTTCATATTTTACAGCTTTTATCAAGAGTGACAAACCTAACAAGTATAAAAATCTGCAAATTCGATATGTGAGAGGTTTAGATCCAATTATTAAACTTTATGACAGTGAAAATAAGTTAGAAGACGTTCTGGACATTCATAAATGGGACACAGACTCTGTGGATGAGTTCCTGTCAACCCATTTAATAATGGATTAGAAAATATGTCATTGTTTTGTTTCAACGTGATCAGAGTGATATTTTCTAAGAAACTGTACACTAGAAAGATAAACTAAAAAATTCAAGTGAAAAATTTATAACTTAATAAAAATATACATTACACAATAAATGTAAGTAAATAAAATTTTTTGATAAAAAAATTCGTTCATTCAATTTTTTTATTGCAGTACATGAATTTAATTGGAATGAAGATTTTACAATTATACATGATCAGTAATTGTAATAGAATACATATAATAGTACATTGAAGAATGACATTTTAGAAGTATATACCAATTATTCTATATATACTACAAAGATTGACTAAAAGTAACATACAAATTAATTTTTTTTTCTGTCAAACTATCAAATTTTAGATTGAATTAATATTATGTCAATATTAAAATATTGCATTTCTCATGTTTACATGCACAAATAAATCTAGTTACATGAAAAATAAAAATTGGTGATACTTTATCGCCTGGAACGTCGAGCACGGTTTCCCCGAGCACGGCCAGCACCACCTCCACGCGCAGGACTTTTTGAAACCACTGGAGAACTCTTTGGTGGTTCTTTTTCTTCCTCCTCTTCTTCCTCATGATCGTTACTTTCTTCTAAAATAGTATCCTCGGGCTCATTCAGTGTAATAACATTTGATTCATCTGGTTTCTCTTCTTCCTTTTGTTCCTCCTCCTCTTCTTCTTCTTTTTTCTCGTTTTCAACAGTCTCTTCTTCAGATTCATCATTAACTTCAGCAGGATCATATTTATCATCGTCTAAATCTTCATCCTCGTCTTCGTCATCATCATCGTCTCCATGTTTTCTTTTTCTATCTATTTTAGTAGATTCTGATTCGTTTTCTGTTTTTATATGGTTGTCAAGTTTTTCTTCAGAATCATTTTTCGAGTCATCAGGATCCTTTAAAAATCACGATCGATAATTAATTTTAGTAATTAAAAATAATGATGTATGATTTATGTAAAATAAGATAGTTACCTGTTTTTTGGCTTCTTTAGCTGCTTTTTCAGCTTCTGCTTGCAATGTTTTAATTTCTTGAATGAAACTACGATAATGAGTGGCTGAACGTAAATGAGCAATCATATCTTCTTCGGTAAGCATGAATCGCCGACATTTGTCACAATTGAATCCAACAACTTCTTTTACCAAAGATCTGCCAATTGACATCTGCCTAGACTTAACATGTCGGTAGGTGGGAATTTTAAGTTTAGTGCCAATCTCGCCTTCTGGAATATCTAGAACGAAATCACTGCTATCTGCTAAATCATCAATTTTATCACTCTTAGAATCGCTTCCGACATCTTTTTCTTCATCTTCGGCCGATCGAACTTCCGATTCTCCTTTGCCAAGTTTATCTAAAGATAAAAAGTATCAGGTAAATAAAAGTGCATATAATTATTCATCAAATTTAAACATTCATTATTTGTACTAACCTTTCTTATTCGACTTCTTTTTTTCTTCTTGTTCACAAGCATTTTTCATGTGAGCTGGAGTCAAACAATGCTCATCATATTCAATACGAGAAGGAAATTCTTTTGAGCATGATAAGCAGCGTGGATGTAAAAACGTCTTGAGTTGTTGATGCTTTTCACCCTTCCTGTGACTTGATAACGTTCCAAAGAAGTTCAAATCGCACATGGTACAATACTCACGCACATTCAAATCAACATTTAACTAAATAAAAAAAAAAAGTTAATGAACCACATGAACTAAGTCTATATAAATAATTAAATGATGTTTATATAAGTCTCATTTACGTACTTTTTTACCACGTCTTTTAGAATTATTAAGCGACAGCTCTCGTTGTTCTTCAGCAACTCGTAACTCATGACGCATCAATTCGACTTTAAGTTTGTATGATTCATCGAGTTTATCCATCATTAGTTGATGAGCACGTCCTCGGAGATGGTTTTCAAAGGACTAAAACCATAATAAATATATTTAATACATTGACTCAAATGACATTCATGGGTCTTTTTGAGAAATTATAAAAACTTACAGCCCCATCCCACATGTGTTTTTTACACACGTGACAGAACATGCTTGACATTGGAACATCAGCATAACGACTTTCTGCATGTCTAGCGGCAGACCTCTTGTTACCTGACTTTTCATCTTCTTTGTTAGCTGTTTCATCTTCACTTTTCATTGGTTCATCTTTTTTGTTATCATGGAAAACTTCTTTTTTCTCATCCTTCCATTCACGCTTCTTAGATTCTTCGGAATCATCATTTTCCTCGCTATTATTATTAAAAAGTTAATAGTAAGTTTAAAAGTCATTCATAAAAAATTCTTATGTAGTACCCAAGTATTGTCTCAGTTGTTATTTTATTATATATTGTTTTCTATTAAATTTAAATGTTAGAAAATTTCTTTAAGAATGTTTTAATTCTGATGTTTTAATTCTGAGTTATGAAAAAGTTATGGCTGATGTAATATTTTAGTCATTCGCACATTTAGTAAAGAATTTATGCACTGCCAAATAAACTACTTTTTAATATTAAATTAAAATATGAAAACTTGATAATTATTTAGCTCTTTGAAGAAATATATAAAAGATAACAAGGAGCATTGTGCAAGAATTAAAACTTATGTACTAGTGCTGAATGGCATAATTGTAGTATACAACTTCTGAGATCCATTGAACTCTTAAGATGAATATATCTTGTCTCCCAATAGAAGATAAATTAAATCAAGGTGTCACTCAATCCTTTGTGGATAGAGTTTTGAAAGAAAGATCAATTTTCTATTATGATCAATTGTCAATAAAATATAGTACATAAGTGCATCAAATAAAAACATGGTTTGATTTACACACATTTTACCTGTTGGTGAAAACCTGCAGATAAACTTTTAGATACCATACCAAATATAAGTATTTTTTCTATCAAGTCATATAATTTTTGAAAGAAGTGTAAAAATGTTATATTGAGATAATTATTTGAAATGTTAAAGTAAAATTTCCTGAAATGTTTTGGTTTACTCTTAGAAATAGAAAAATCAAATATTGATATAGCACAAAACTGATAATCTTATGAATAAAGGAATAATTTTTTGAATGCCATAACTGGTTTTGCTATCAATCTTTTGAGAGACTCAAGAGAAGATGTGAAACAATTCTTCGGAATTTGAAGGAAACCATTGGCACTCTGAAAAAAGCTTACCTTAAAGCAACAGATGCTTCTGCTTTTTCATTGGTCTTATCAGAGGTCTTTTCCTGGGGTTCCTTTTTGATGTTCAGATTTTGCTTAGAGGGTGAATTAGCTTTAGAAGATCTATCATTCCGTTGATTTTGGTTGCCATTCTGTCGCTGGTTACCGGACTGGTTACGATTTTGTTGAGGGCGTCGCCCAACAACTCCATCTCGGGCTCGATTGCCCATCTATGAGTGAAGATCGGAATGACCAAGCCATTAAATGAAAAGTTCCAGATAATAAATGGACTTGTTTGCAATGAAACAAACTTGAGTCACTTAAAAACTAATAGTCAAAGGATATTTTATAGGAAAAAATAAAAATGGTTTAAAACCATTCAGATTTTATTTTATGGATAAGGGAATCATAAAATAATTAGAGGTAACTTTATTGGCTATGTAGTCATAATTTGAATATTATGACTTCAACTTTTCAAGCTTGGAAAGATTGATAAGCCAACAAATAGTATGTAAGAAATCTTCTTGATTCCACCATAAAGTTTTCTTTTCAAAGTACTAATGAAAAGCTTTTAAGAAATTATCATCAGCTGTTAAAGTAAAATATTCTGTCACCTATACATATTTGTCACTTAACACAAGAAAATAGAGGCTATGAATGATAAAATGAAAAAATTCTTGTGACAGATTACCATTTATGAATTGCCATTTATGTTTCATGAACTTGGGTTGTGATAAAAATTAGAGTAGCAATATTCATATTTGAAAATTCAAATCTCATTGAACATTATATCAAAAATGATAAGACCTCTTACAAGTACATCAAACTTATAATAGTTTGAGTTGAGATTGAAAATGAACTTTAAACTTCACTAGAGGAAAACCGTATTGCAATAGAATATTTGTTCTTAAAAACATGTAAATTAACAATCAAAATATAAAGATCAATGTGTAAAGTACTCATACAAATTATGTTATTTTACTTGGCCAACTATGATAATGAATATGAAAAACATCTTCCCTCAGAAGTCTTTTGCAAAACTGTGGATGGATGGATGTTTTTTGTCAAATGGTTAAATAAATTTTGTGGATACCCTGATTGAGTGGCTTCAAATTAATAATTCAAATATCAATACAAATCACAACAGAAAAAAATCTAACAAGAATGAACCGAAGAAGATATTAATTTAGTATTTAAGAACATTTGTTACAAAATGATCAAGTATTTAAAATTCTAAAATAATTATTTTTTAATTTATAACGAGCTTAGTTATGTTCTACTTAAACTATTAACATACCTTGTTGTAGGGTTGAGGACGTTGATTTTTCATGTTTTGACGACCAATGCGATCAAAACGACCTTGGTTGTAATTTTGCTGGTTATTGTAATTTGAATTGGGGGCATTGAAGTTATTACCCAAACTCAACAACGATGGCACCTATCATGTCAAATTCGTTTAAAGTTGAAGATATTGACTAAATAAACATAAGGAGAAATAGTAATGTCGATGATCAATCAAACTCACTTGTGTTTGAGTATCTTGTTGATTGCGCAGAAGGTTGGATATCAAATTGCTGGCAATGGCAAGTTGGGCTTGGGGTGATGCCAAACTGATGTTGTTGTTTGGAGTAGGCAGAATACCTCTGCCACCGGGCATCATGCCACCCTCCCATGGATTGACATTACCGACACCCACACCACCTCCGACGCCGCCACCGCCACCGCCGCCTCCACCGCCCACGATGTTTCCGAGTCTCGAGGCGATGTTGTTGCCGCCGCCGCCACCCATGTTACGGTTGTTGCCGAAATTGTTACGGTTGTTACCGTAGTCTCTCTTCATTCCGCGATTGAACGACATTATGATTCTGGAAAATGAAAATAACAGCCGATATTACTCATGGGCGCACGATAACGTGTACGTACGAGATGTCGTTAATGGTTAAGCGTGGAGTAGCAGCATAGAGTTGGCGCACCGATTAGAGGATCACACCTTATCGTATAAAAAAAAAGGACCAATGGATTACTCTGCGAATCCAGCCGAGATGAAAATTCGAAACACCAACTACAGCTTGTCTAATAGCAGCAGAAATAATTCAGCCTCGTCGGTGTTTGACGCGTATTTATAGCAAAACGTTGCGGAAGAAACAGAAATATACAAGCAAACACTTTGCCGGCTTGGCAGGACGAGCGAGCGAGAGCCACGAATACGCGATATATTATATATGGTTTTGATATAACACCGAAGCTCGAGAGCGCAATCGATACTCCGTGCGGGCCAAAGGCAGCAAAGGCAACGCGCGACTCACCAATTGTCAACAGAGAGGATGATCCAATGATTGTTGAAGACGCTGACGGGTCCCGAACGATGCGAGTCGAGAGTTCGGAGGAGCGCGTTTGCTTTTCCGTGTGTGTTAATGTGTGTGCGAGATGTCCCAAGGCTGCCTCTCGAGGGCTCGGGAATATATATCAAAGATTTTACACAGCAGCAGCACAAGCAACGAGTAAAATAGAAATGGAGGCGAGTGCGACGCGTCGTTACAGACGTGTGACGCTACCTATCCGCATATACAGGAGGGAGGGAGAGGGGATTATACTTTTAATTGCGACATGTAGGCGCGCGAGCGCTCCTCAATACCGACCGAAGCACGGCAGGAGAGAGAATTTTGCCGCCGGTGCGCAGCGCTAGTAGTCGCGTGCTGAGTTACTCGAGCATTCAAATGTGCATTCATTCTGGAGTTTGGGACAATAGACACATCAGTTTCTTAATGTCACAGCCGAGATTTCATCCATTAGAAAGAATAATCGGAATTCATTAAATACGAATTAGAGAACTTTCAAACGCCCACTGACCACTGTAGCAGGTGCTATGTAAACTTGATTAGATCAAGAGAAATCAGTGAAAGTAGTACACAGATAAACAGATACTTTCTGTCACTGATCTAATTGCATGTAATTAATTATTATCCAATATTATAAAAATGATGTATTTTATATTCACTAAACGATACTTGCTCCAATTTAAAAACAATCCTGCAACAATTTAAAGGATTTAGATAAAACTAAAGCAAATCGCTTCTTTATCTAAAAACTATTTGGAAATTAGGAATTATTATATTTTCGTAATAATCGTCAATGATGATTAATTCTATTTTCACGCCTTCTTATTTAACGGAAAAATGTTAAATGTTAAGATTATTACCGAAACACTAGTGTTATCGCTCGGCACTTGTTTTATCACTGTACAAAATATCCAAACTTTTGCTGATTGATAAAAGGATTCGCACATCGTCACGTTCAATTCCATTTTATACCCCTTCAAACAACTAACAAGTTTCGAAGGTAACCAGAAACAATAATTATTATAAAAAGACATCTTCGACAAATACGTCGTTCTACACTTTTATCTAATCGATTACGTTTCAATAGTTATGTAGTCTCTAAAACAATAAAACTATCATCTCTCCGCACCGAAAAAAATCTAAACACAATTGACCGCAGGACCTTCAAGACTGAAATATATGACCCGCAACAAGTGGCGATAATACCAACAATAACTATAAGTAAAGGCACTTGCCGAGAAATAGTTGGAGCTCGCCAATACAAGTTGGAGTTCGGAGCGCGCGCGCCTGTTCAGCGCAAACGTAAATACGGCGTGTTGCAGAAATTGTCTATCTCGTTTCATACAAACGTGACCGGCATTTGTTCATTGTGATTCGGAATTGGAACTTCATTGTTATTAACAAGTGTCAGTGCGAGATCGCTGCATTGGATTTTCGTTTGGATTACCGTAAACCGTTGAAGGTACCGAAAATTGTTTTACACTTCTGTGTACTTGTTGCGATTTGAAATCGTTCGTGGATCAACTTAACCTGCCGTGTTGAGAACTTGCGCGAGTAACCTCCCGTGATTGTATCGTTCGAATTTATTGAAACAGAAAGACTAATCAAGTAAAAGCTTGTCTCACGATTATCGCAAAAATTTATAAAAACATTTTCAGAAAAAAAGCCAAATATGTCAATTAACCAATTTAAAAGCAGTTACTGCTGTTGATGTTTGTTTTCAATTTTTCAACATTTTTACAGGAGAAAAATGAGTGCCTTTAAAACTGCTTCGTGCGGTTTAGATTTTGCTGCCGTTCCTGATATTCAGGAAGGTTTACATGTAGCCACTGCATCAAAGTATGTATTTATTTGCATTTTGTGTTAGCCAGAAAATATTCTCAATTATGTTTTCGTTTTTTAGGTATCATTTTGTAACTTTTCCAATAACACATCCTAATTTCAAAAGAGAATTTATAAAAGGAAAAGCCAAGAATCGACCTGGACCAGTTACTCGTTCAGACATGATACTTTGCAGTTCAGGTAAAATGACTTTATGCTTTGATTTATACAGACCCATAAGCTAGAACTAGTGTCTATTTATGTATTTAACTATGTTTCAGATTGGAGCCAATACATTGTTGGAAAATTATCTCCTTACATTGATGTGGATTCAACGGTACCATTTATAGCTAAAAATAGTAGAGAAACAATAAATCAAGAATTATCATTTGCTACTCATTTGGGATTAATAGCTATTACTATAAAACTGAAAGGAAATTTGGAAAAAACTATGAATCTTGCCCAAATAGTATATAATAAAATAGCTGCTGAACCTCATTTCCAGGTAAATAACTGAGTTAATCTTGTAATTAAATTTTTAATTTACCAATTTGTAATTTTGTTCTAGATAATTTTAATGAATAAAATAAAAATTACCTTTTACTTTTAGGCTTTTATTTGGGTTCAAGTACCAATGGAAAACCCAATCAAACAAGTATACTCTCATAGAGTGGATAAAAATGTAGATGAAATGGAGGTTGAGAATACGTGGAACTGGTGGAATGCTTTTAGAATAGTCTGTAATTATCATAAAAAGCTAATTGTAGCTTTAATTGTCAGCAATGATGTCCCAGACAAGGAAGAGGTAATGACTTTTTTTTCTTACCTACAAGTTTTAATTTTTTTACTGATTTTGTATTGCTTAAACTAGATTTTAAGGTGGATCGGAGAACCTGTTAAATGTTTAATTATTCCTACATCTGTATTTATTACAAATAAAAAAGGATATCCAGTACTAAGCAAAGGACATCAAGACTTGATAAAAGCATTTGTTCCTCTTGATGTGCAATACATCATAACTGGATCTAATCGCCATCAAAATATAGCTTACTACTATCACTACCTTGATCATTTGTGGAAGGTAATATTGGAAATCTTACTGAATTAATGAAAAGAATTTCATGCTTAATTGAAATTTTTCTTTAGAATTGGCAGCCTGATGGAACAATTGAAAGGTTTGCTCGTGGATTTGAAGATTATCTTCAAAATCCTTTACAACCATTGATGGATAATTTAGAATCTAGTACTTACGAGATTTTTGAAAAAGATCCTATAAAATATGAATTATACCAACGTGCAATTCAGTCTGCTCTTGTTGATAGAGCAGAGCTAAAGAAAAAAGAAAAGGATGAAACACCAATGTAATTAATTTGGCACTATTTAATATTCTAAAAATTTAGAAAATGTAATGTTCAATATTTTTGTTTACATGTTTTTTGCAGAGTTGTTATGGTTGTAGGAGCAGGTCGTGGCCCTTTAGTTAGAGCAGCTCTCAATGCTTCTATTAGTACAAGAACTACAATTAAATTATATGCAGTAGAAAAAAATCCGAATGCCATTATAACGTCAGTAATTTTATTTATGTTATACTTTATTTTAACAGTATTAAAATTAATTTGTAAAATATTACAGATTACAAGCTTTAAAGAAAGAGATGTGGGGTGATCAAGTTACAATAGTCAGTAGTGATATGCGAGAATGGAAAGCTCCAGAGAAGTGTGATATTTTGGTTTCAGAATTATTAGGCTCATTTGGAGATAATGAGTTGTCTCCAGAATGCTTAGACGGGGCCCAAAAATTCTTGAAAGGTAAAAGTTGCTTAAACAAATTAATTTTTTAATTTTTGAGTTGATGTAAAATAAAAATGTTTTATTTCAGATGATGGAATAAGTATTCCTCAAGCTTATTCATCTTATGTAGCTCCTGTTCAAGCTAACAAATTATACAATGAAGTGAGAGCAGCAAAATCAACGAATGAGCATGAAAGTAACTTTGAAATGCCTTATGTTGTACAATTCCAAAATAAATATGACATTGATGAACCACAAATTCTTTTTACTTTTGTTCATCCTAACAAAGGTTTGTGATCATATCATAAGAACAATAATTATATTAGTAAAATGAACTAATATTCATTGAAATTAAATTATATACTAATAATTTTTCAGATGATCCAATTGATAATTCAAGATATGGAAAAAATACCTTTAAAGCTAGTCAAGACTGTATCCTCCATGGATTTTCTGGATATTTTGATTGTCAACTGTACAAAGACGTTATGATGAGCATTGAACCACGAACTCATAGTCCAAAAATGTTTAGTTGGTTCCCTATATTTTTCCCGATAAAGGTATCATCGCATAATTTAAAAATTGCAAAATATGTTTTAACTGAAATTGTATCTGTGTATTTTTCATTAATCAAAAATTGTTTAAACGCCTTTTAGACTCCAGTCCATTTGAAAGCCGGAGACGAGATCGTCAGTCACTTTTGGCGTTGTGGAAATACCAAAAACGTTTGGTATGAATGGTCAGTTGAAAAGCCAATCCCTGTAGCGATTCACAATCCAAACGGCAGGTCCTCAAAAATTGGATTGTAAAGAATACGCAGCGAATCGTTTCACTGCCCAACACATCTAGAAAATTTAGTAAATAGTCTAACTTAATTAGGCTGTATTTTTCCGTCTCATAATCAACTATAATTTATTTTTCTTTTTTCAAGGAACTACATTTTCATTGATTTATTTTATTTTCGAATTTTTGTAAGCTAGTGACGAGCTCTTTGCAATTTGTTATTACTTATTTAATAGCTTTATTTTTAGTAGTATTGATAGTCATTTAAATTGCAGTTAAACTTGAGTTTTTAATACTATTGATGTTTTATAATTTATAAGGTAGTGTCCTGAAAACTATCTTAGCAAATGACTCACGGGTTCCTCGTAATTTTTAAAAATTTAGGAACTCGATTGTTTTGTTTAGTTATGAATAATTAATAATAATTTTTATTTTAAGTTATACGAAAAAATAAGAAATTAAACTCAAGTGCACTTGTAAGATACTTTTTATACACAAATAGAATAGACTAGAAATACTAGATGACATGAATAAAGATCATTTTAATTTGCAACTAGCGATTCTCATTCATCTGCAAAAATTATCCTTATTTGGTTGGCGTATTCTCATTGTTCTTAAAAAAAAAAAAACAACAGTTGATCAAAAGTAATGCAAGTAAAAAAAAAGTACAAAGACGCGATTGTTGATGAGAGACAGAGAGAGAGAGAGAGAGAGAGAGGGTAAAAAGTTAAATCCGTCAATAAGCTCTTCGGCCGATCTGCGAAAGCGAAAGTTCATATACGCGATGTTTGGCAGAGGCGAAATCGGACGATGCATGCAATAATGTAATTGTACACACCAGCTCGCGCTCGCGATAAAATGTACTTCCTAATACGCATATCTGAAATAATCATTTGCTCTCCCAGTCAGCGTTCGCCACTTGCCGAGCACACCGAGCGAGCGAGATTTTTGCGTGTGCATGAGAGGCAGAGAGAGTCGCGCGCGCCTCGCGAGCCAGCCCCGCATTTAATAATTGTGTTTCTGCCGTTGCCGCTGCATCTGCTGCGAAGTCTGATATAAGCTTGAAATATACACGCACGGGAGAGGCCTGCAGGCGCGGATTACGCAGCCGCGACACACCGAAACACGCCAGTTCGAGCAGACGACGCGGTGTTGTACCACCGACAGAAAAAAGGTTAAACGTCCCACGCGTCGACGGAGAACTGATCGAAGGATCGCAAAAGGAAGAGTAACAGATAATAAGAATGGCACACTTGGTGAGGCAGATGGCCCGCTGCGGCGCGAGGTCGATCGTCCTTCTGGAGACGTCGTTCCTGTCGGCGCCCAAAGCATCGAGCTTCGTCAGAAACCTCGCCACCACACACAAATGCCTCGCGGGTAAGTTGCTATGTATACGATAGTTTTGATACATCAAGTGCTCGCTGTTGGCAGTTTCAAGCTCGACGTGAAGCCTCTCGCGAGCTTCCTCGATTGCCTCGGTTTTTTTCTTACATTTTAATGCAATTTAAAATTGCACATTGATACGATATCTTCTGCTCGGGCTGGGAATAATCTGCCCACCAGTCGGCGCATTCGGCTCCTCTGCACGTGTTCAGCTCGATGCCTTTTTTTTTTATTTACTCGCGGATCTTGCGTTACTTACTGTTTATCGTTTGAATACCGTCGCTCCTTGCGCAACTCGCATTTCGGTTACGTTGCTTCCTAACTTTTCCGGTGTTTTGATACCGACGATCCGCTCTCGATCGAATGGCTTTTGACGAATAGCGAAGCACGCGCGAAATTCGTGGCACACATTTGTTGTGCTCATCGCGCTGCTCCGAACTGCATTGATATTTATCTCGAGTTCGCGCGCGGCGGCGCGTGTGGGACACATATGTTCGCCGATAAATCGAACTCGGTCGAATTATCTATTTCTTTGAGAATGGACGCGATCGAAAAATTTTGACATCTGGAGCGAGGATCCGAGCGCGCTTCGATGTTATTGGAGAGAAGCTATATAATCGAGAAAAACACGTTCGCCCTTGCCTTGACTGAAAAATCGGTTTCGTTGCAACTGTGTTAAAAAAAAAAAAGAGTACAAAAATCGTAAACTAGACGCTCCGCAGTTCGTTGCGAAATCTCATCGTCGTCAGCATCGTGGTGGAAGAAAAAAAAATTCTGTCAAGATGATCGCATATATTGCAATATCGCTGGCGCGCCGATTCGAGCTGGGTCGATCGGTTATGTAATTCCACGATGATGACCGCACACGCGGTTACGCGTGTCAAGCTAAAACATCTATGCCCTCGCGATAACGAGATTTTCATTTTTTCCAAAATTGTATTTATATCATACATATGATTAATTTTCCAGAGAGAAGGTATACCGATAAACACGAGTGGGTCTCGTTGGATGGAAAAATCGGCACAGTCGGTATATCCGATTACGCGCAGGATGCACTCGGCGACGTTGTTTACACTCAGTTACCGGATATCGGTCAAGAGATCAAAAAAGAAGGTGAGTACTTGTGGTCAACTCGTACATCGATTCATCGGGGCTGTCTAACTCCAAATTCAATTCAAATTTTCATCTTTTTAACAGAGGAATGCGGCGCTTTGGAATCGGTAAAGGCCGCCTCGGAGATCATGAGTCCGTGCAGCGGCAAGGTCGTCGAGAAGAACGAAGCCGTCGAGAACAAACCTGCTCTGATAAACACCTCCTGCTACGACGAGGGATGGTTATTCAAAGTCGAAGTCAGCAATCCCGAAGAGATCAAAAATCTCATGGACGAGGACGCTTACAACGAGTTTCTCAAGTCCGACCCGCATTAATCGCGTGCGTGCACTGCTTATCGCGACTTTATAAGCAGCGATTAATAAATATAATGCAATATACCCGTGTCAGAGTGTGACGTTCAAAGTAAGCGAGGTTCAAAGAAAAGAGCTGAGAACATGTAGAAACACAAAAATACAACAAAAAAAAAAACATAAAAATTGCAACGAGCGAATGTGCGGTAACCGGTGTTACGTAGCTTTTCAATAATACACATAAACTTTTGCAAAATAAACAATTGATAATAAGCCAAATTTTCGCCGGAAAAAAAACCATGATAATGACTTGTTGCTTACACATCTTTATTCATAGTAAAACATGTTATCGTTTTCAAAACAGGCTTCCTGAAATTTGATGCTGTAATATTCTTTTCTTTTTTTTTTTTTTTAAGCAGTAAGATTTATTTTATGGACGTATGTTGAATGATTTAACAAAATTATGTACAAAACTCGATTTTCCGCTCGAATTCACCGGTCGATCAAATTTTTTTTCTCATATTTCGGCGTATTTTCAGCCATATGTTTCCACATGCTCTTACAAGTATTTTCATACTACCTTTGAACAGTCAAGTCTGAAAGTCACATTATATGCACGATGCTTTTTGCTTTGAAAATGAATAATCAGCACAGACGCAGATTAACTATCGAATTCTTTAAACTGTACATATTTGTAACTAAATTTTATAATCGACGAGGCTCGCATAATACATGTAGATTGTTGAAATTTCGTTATAGGATCCCGATTTCTTTGTTATTGTTATGTTCGACTGTTATCGTTGGAGTCACAATTCCAATTATAAATATACTCATCGTTTGTGCACTCATTGTACAGCTGACATATGGTTAATCAACAAATTATGGTCACCCGAGCGGTAATCTATCAATACTAAGTAGTTGTAAGCAACGTCGACGTACTTTTAAGCACGTACAGATTTTGTAACAAACATTAAACAATAAATCATGGATTTTTTGAACCATTTCGGTATTTTTTCTTTCATGTTATATCGAAAGTGACAGTGCAAGATTTTACTTCTTAATGAAATTGGAACGTAGTCAATGACATAATCCAAAATTTAATTCATACACTTTGATTATTAGAAAAATCTAATTCATGCGTTCAATGTAAGTTTTATCTTAAAAAAGTAATATATCATGTCTGTTATGGTAAGTTGTACTGAGTTATTGCACTTCTTATATTTTGATTTTTTTTTAGTTCATTGACACTTGAAATGTATTACGTGGTTTATGCACTTGATAAAATATTTTCCAAGACACATTTTCTAGCTGGTATTACTATATTATGAAAAAATATTGAGCAGATGTGAAAAGCACATCTGAGACATCTAGAGTAAATTTGGAATATTTGTGATTAAGGCGCAATTTGCACCGCGTGGTTAACACACAGCGACGTTTGAATTTGAGAAGGAACAATAGTTATTCATGTTAATAATAAAGATATATTTACATTCATTAAGTTTCTCTTTCTACATAATTTACAATTGCCAGCATCTAAATGGCAGTGTCAACAACGTTTAAGTTATACAGTGTCATTTTTCGCCATATTATTTTCATCATACCACTCAACCTTGGTTCTTTTCAATGCGGGCCCCTAAACTTTTTTACAATTATATTTGCCGATCAAGGAAACGAATGTGACATTTATATTTTTTTCTTCGAATAATTAATTTGGTAACTGTACATTAATATCAAACATAATGTACATAACACGGTAATTACATTATTCACTAGTTATAATTATTGTTAATAAACATATTCATTAACGGAATTCAACGAATGATTGAACATGATGGGCATATACAGAGACGATGAATTTTTTTTCTGTTTTGGGCTACATGACATAAACATAAAACATGTTTGAATATTTTGTATTTTTTTTTTGTTTTAGAAAAGAATAATCGTAAAAATAATAAGAACTGTCAAATCGAACAATGTGTGTTAGTACTCACAAGAAAAATCTAATTGCAAATGATGCAACTCATTATTTTTTGTTTTTTTTTTGAAAATGACGAAGTTATTGAAACGATCAACGACAAGTGATTCGAGAGAGTTAGTGAACGGCTTAAAAATGAATCACGATCGGAGTAACATTACATTGACACGTTATGACAATGATAATTGTGTAGTAAAATTGGTGGGATACATCGTTTTCTTGAAAATGAAACGAACTTAGAAAACAGGTAACATATAACCAAGATAAAAAGCCGTTCGGTTGGGCTTAATTTTTTTCATTTACTGATATGCTGTACCTAAAAATGTAAAAATACAAAAAATAAATTTAATACGTTAACGGAAAGGCTATCTCGCTTGTGTCGTGTTACAATTTAAATGATGCAAACTTTGGTAACCAGGCCAATTCCGATATGTAACGTGATTATTTAAATAAAAGTGATCGATTGAGCAACTACTAAATTTCAAATTACAAGCAACTTATGCATTGTAAATCGTATCTGTAAAACTTTTGAAACTATTTTTTCGATCATTTGTTAAATAGCAATTTTATCATAATTACGCAAGGAAGCACACGCTTTTAAGTAATAATATTCGTTCATAAATACTTCAATCTATGCGTTATCTATCTTTTTTTCTTACAACTTCTTCCAGACATACACTAGTAGTTCATTAAATACAACATTGTAAAATGTGCTGGTAAAGTGGATATAATAAAATAGTGTTTTTTTCTTTTATACATTTACATTACATTTTCAGGTACGTTGACTTTATAAATTGAAATAAATTGGTACATTAGCGCATTCAAAATCCTTACTATCTGTACAAATATGAAGTAACTTATAAGTGTGAGCTTCCTTTATAACCAGCGACTGGTTCAATCCTTTCAGACAAGATTTGGTTTTCAGGTTTCAAAACCCGTACAATTTTGAATAAAATTCAATAATTAATCATCCTTTTGGGTACAACAGTTCGTTTTTTTTTTGACAGTTAACCGAGCATATAACGCTCAGAATAAAGCACGAAATAAGTAGTTTCATGCAAATAGATTTACTCTTATTCTGATTCAGTATCCAGTCTGAGAGGATTGGCGCAATTTATCATTTGATACAAAGTTTTCCTTGAATCTCCTGCATTTTTTGTAACGATTAACCCTCAAAATTCACCGTTTGTCAGTAATAAAACCGATGGCTTAGGTACCACAGGTGCGTCACAAAAAGACGCCCTTCACAGCACTGAAAATTTCTGACTAATACCTAAACAATAATATTTACTATAAGTGAAAAATAATTATGATCGATGTAATAATAACTATGATTAACGTACATTAAATATTTTTCATTTAGAATTAACAATTATAAGACAATATCGATCTTATACATATATTTATAATTAATATATAGACGTATTTTATAATCATTAATAATTACTCGTAACGCTAGACAATATATAGGACCACATAAACCTTGCTCCAATGATTCGTTTTTCTATTTTACATGAATAGAATCTGTATTCAAGTTAAAATGTACAATAATTATCATATAATTTGTAAAATACTCCATGCACTGTTTTACCGTCACCTAAGTTTGAACAAATTTAATGGAACGGATATTAAAAACAAAGAGCAAAAATGAATAATACACAAATGTCAGGAGATAGATTGAGACGCAAATTAAGTAGCTAATTAAATTGTTCAATTTAGTGTTTAAATAATATCAGTATATTTATGACATATTTCAAGTAAAACTATACAAAAAATAGTTTTGAATTATACATTTAATATGAGACATTATTAACTATACAACGTAAATTGGAATGTGTTAACTAGTATTTACATTTTTTGCCATTAATAATGTAGCTCTGCTGAGTGCAAGCGTGTTAAAAATGCAGATTTCTAAAATCGTTATTTTATAATCGTTTTACGTGTAGGAAGAATGGTTTATAAAATGAACTTGAAATGATGCCCACGTGGCCACTAGCGGCAAGTTTTTTGCAATAACATAATTTGCATTTATGTACTGTTTTTAATACCAATACACGGGGTATAGAACTCAGCAATTAAAATTATTAATAAATATGTGTTGTTTATACATATATCACATTATTTTCCTTTGTTTAAATCTGTTGCTCACAAAGTATGCCCATTTAATCCCTGGTAAAAGCACGATTTGTCGTGGTTTATTTGCATGTGTCCTAATTTTTTTTTTCAAACGTGTGCAAGTTTATGTGCAACTCTGAACACACAATAGGATATTTTGTTGTTTTAAGTGAGAGCAAGGCTTCAGTGGTGTACGCTTAAAGATACATTTTTGCATTTCCTAAGTATTAGAAAAATAGCTTCACTTATTTTAGACAAAAGTTGCCAGCCCTTTGACCAATAATTGTCTATAATAACCACCCTTTGTACTGTTTTCAAGGCATGCCACTTTTTTCTTCCAACACTAAGAACTTGTAAGTTCTGCTTTCACCAGTGTCGAGTTCAACTCTGGCACATTTTTTAATTATAATTAAACATTTTTGCTTTTCTCTTAAAACTAGAATCGTAAGACTTATGAAGCCACGCAGACTTAGTAGCATTAAACACAATTGAAACTTTTGTTTGCTCATGCCCGCGGATTTAAAAGTTCAACATCAATTATAGAAAATATATATATTTATATATAGACGCTATGCTTTCTTTTTCATAATCATTACATTAAATGTGATAAATGTACAATATATAGTTTAATTAATATATGTATACGTAAGTTACGTATATAACCGCTTTCATTAGAACTTTTCAAATAACTCTGAACTTTCAATAACGTTCATAATTTGATTATCGAAAATCGTAACTTTTCCTTTCCTTTTCGACCACACATTTTTACAGTCCCGACGTCTTGATTATTTCGTCTCTTTCTCGATCATAGAGCAGAGCAAATAACCCAAGAAGCAAGGCGCCAAATTCCCTACAATTCACAAAACAATCTTCTGCCCATCCGTTGGCCCGAACCGAAGCACGATCGGCTTTCCAATTGTATGCCAATACGACGCGCGGCGGTGCAGCGCTTCAACGAGATCATCATCACTGTACGGTAAGCAGCGGGCGGTCAACCCTTCGCCTCGTGAGCACACAACGTTGGTCACGAAACGTTTGCTTTTTTCATCATCGACGCAACGGGTGTCAATCCCTTGCGCGTACCGTAACGCGATTAGCTGCTTGGACGATGCGACGGTCCATGGGCGCAACAAAATCACAGCTGCAATGGTTCGCCCCGTGCCAGAACACGGCGTCGGCGATACGACAACTTATAATCACGATAATCTGACGTTCGAGTTCTCGATGTCTCTGCTTCGTTTTTCTTCATTTTCGTTTGGCGTGCAGCATTTCCATGAGTAAGGTTTGCGTGGGCGCGCCACCGTTGCAGTGCTTTTGATAGAGATGCTCCTCGCCCCTAGCCGCGACCACGTGAATCTCCGGTAATACTGACATCAGTTTGTTGAATTTGTCCTGAAATGGGGAAAAAAAACATTTAGACGGATCGGTACGCGCGCAGATTGCCTAAGTTAGGTAGTGAACGCTTACAGGTACGGTCGGGTAGGTTGTCAACGTGTAATCCAGCAGCGCTCGTTGAACCTGCTCGTGTCCTTCCTGAACGTGCTTTCTGTTGGCTAATCCACGAACATCTGCAAAAAAAAAACAACACTCGATGTAACTTCAACTCAAAACTAGGCCGCGTGAGTTGTGAAGCAATGAAAAAAAAAAAACCTACCGTGGTTGAGAAGCATGAGGAATTTCATGCATATGTAATCGTGAAAGTCGAACTTGAGCTCTTGCAACGTCGAGGATAGACCGTGGAAGAGATCCGCGAGCGACGGCACCCCCAGTAGGCCGAGACACAGTAGGTCGAACTTTTGGCCATTGGTGAGCGTTATCTCGTCGGGCAGGCTGTTGTGCATCCTCTGGTGCAGGTGATCCAGCACGAGCATGTCCGACCACGAGTGCTGTAGCAGCTTCATTTGATCGTCGACCTACGCAGCGAAAATTGAGAATCGTTAATATGATAATTATTATTTTATTCACATGTATTCCTATATATAAATCGCGCTGCATATAAACGCAGATGCACGGATTAACGACGCGACGAGCGACCAACGACGACGTCTTTGGTCTCTCGAAATGCTGCCACACCGCTATCTTACGAAACACAGGCGCGTTAATTTCTTAAAAACACTCGCGCCGAGAAGCAGGCCTAACATACATCACACACCGAGAGCGCCAGGTAGCATTAATTCGTTACAAAATCGCCGTAATACTTACAACGTGCGCGAGCGAGCGAGCGACAACGTTGAAATAACATTTAAATGTCGCGTACGTACCATACGTATACAGCGCAGAAATGTGCACGACGCGTGAAATGTGCAATAAGCATCGGATTGTACGTGTCAAGTACCGCGAGGCTAGAAGAGAGTCTTTAAAGGAGTCGAGCTGCGTGAACAAAAAAAAGAAAAATAAGGCTGAAGTAAAAAAAAAAAAAAAAAGACGCAATGCTCGTGCCCGCGCGTAGTAGAGAAAATACGTGTGTAACGAGCAGCAATCGAGTTATACCGGGCTTTATAACACACAAAAATATAACGATTCGCTCAGTTTTTGCACGTCGCGTAGGTAGCATAGGTGTACCTGGCAGTCGATCGTTAGTTAAAACGTAGCCTATATACAGTCGTCGCGCCGATCGTACGTGCGGATAGCCCCGCGAGCGATAGATATAGGACATCGTATATAGTAGGTTTAAGGCGCGCGCGCGCGCGCATAAGGATAAGTGCGCGCGAAAATTGGCGAGAGAAGAAGAGGGCTTTTCTCGTATAGGTACGTGCATTACTCGTATGAATATTCGAGCGCGACGTGTAGGTGTATAATGCACACTGGTGGATGATACGTTCGGTGCGCCTTATTATTATAATAATAAACTGCAGCCGAGTGCATTTTCAGCGACGAGCTTGAGCTTGGTACACAGCGTTAATACATATAGCATCGCAGCAGCAGCAGCAGCCTATATAGATCGCGCATATTTCGGAGCAGCTAGTGCTAGTAGTAGTAGTAGTAGCAGTAGTTATATAGTAGTCGTCGTCACTACTGCTGCTGCTGTGCTTCAGGGTAACAGCCGTAACCTAGAAATGTATCTCTTTATGACCCAGATATGAGGCGATGCTTGAAATCATTCGCGCGCGAGCGAGAGAGAGAGAGAGAGCGGGCGATTGTGCAATGCTCCACTGGCGCTCCACGGCAGCAGAGAAAACGCGCGGTGTTACCTCACCGACGAGGAGAGCTCGAGCAGCAGCAGCCAGAGACTCACTCGCTCGCTCGCTCACTCTCGCTTGCGAATCCACTCTTACATGCATGCATATACAAAGTAGTGGTAGTAGTGGCACACAACCGCAACCGACACATATACACACATAGAGAGAGGAGAGCAATGTTGCTGGCTTACGATGTATATGTATATATAGTAACGCGCCTCGTGCTGCAAACAGCCAAGTATTAGCACACTGACACAGAGAGCCAAAGTAGAGAGAGAATTACTCCGCTGCAACTTTCTGCTGCGCACTATAGCTGTTGCCTTACATATATACAATATACACGCGGAGTGCACTAATGCACTTACTCTCGCTCTCGACGCGCTGCTGCACACACACACACACACACACACACACACACACACACAAACAAGCGATATTGAGCGCGCGCGGTTTGTTGTATATACCGGCGAGCCGGAATTATATTGTACTCGTTGCTACTACTGCTACCGACTCGCTGCGTTCGACACAAGGACTTTCGATTTTTGTCGATACCAAGTAGCGACGACGATTCCCTCGTTCGAATCTCCCGCGCGCGTATGTGTTATACGAATCTATCTCTCTGTCGCATAGCGAACGCGATTCGTACGAAAATCGGTATGCGAAAAAAAAGCAACATTTTTTTACGCGTTCAGAACTGCAGCGGCGGCTCTATATCGCAATTGGATGCTGGCCTGCGGCTGCCTCTGGCAGTCATGCTCCTATATATCGTGTACTATATACACGTAGTGTATACGACTTGCGAACGGCGCGCGCGCGAGTTAGCTAGCTAGCTAGCGAGCTCCGACTCTTGCGCGAAGCAGCAGCAGCAGCAGCAACAGCAGCAGCTTTAGGTATATATGGATAGAGTTGCTAAACGTTAATGGGGTCAGCGCTGTATAATGACACACTCTTTTGCGTTGCTGCTGCTGCTGCTGCTGCGCCGTGGCCGCCGCGCGCTCGCACACACACACAGACACTGACACACAGACACACTATATATCGAGGCAGCTCGCATGTGCACTGCGGCATGCATATAATACATATAATACATACATACGATACACACAGAGACAGGCAGACACACACGGACAAACAGTTGCTGCTGCAGCTCGCAAGTCGCCGCTGCACACGAGCAAAGCGCAGCAGCTTAGTGTACACCTCCGTATGTATGTATACTACTGTCGCGCGGCGCTTGCGGCATCGAGATAGAAAACCAACACGAATTTCAAGAATGTCAATTTATCGAATTAGCTTATATGTGCAGCTCTCCTATATACATGCACGCTCACATGCAGTTGGTTAGTCGCGCGAGCGCAAGAACGAGCGTTCATCAATTCATTGATGTAATTTAGCTCTCGTAGCAGGCCTAGAGGAGCTCTATAGCCTCTAGCCTCTCTCGGACCTGCCGCGCGCGGCTTATTATACAAGCCTCTAGTATTTATAGCCCCCGTTATTTATTCATCGACGCGGCGACGGCGACGGCGGCGGCGGCGTGCGAATTATTCCATTTGCCACGGCACATGCATTATATTTTTGCCCCACGCCATGCGCTACCCGATACTTTGGAGATTCCGCGGGTCAAAGCTTACGACGATTACCGATTTCGATCGGCGCCGAATCGGTGCGTAATAATGCGGCGTGTATAGGCAGTCAGACAGTGCAGTAGCTCCTCTCTCGCGTATAATACAATCTTCGTGCCTGCATATATACGCGCGTTGGACTACACACCCTTTCGATTCGCTCGTATTATATATATAGCTGCACTGCTGCGCTCTGCTCCGTGCCCCGCGCCATTGCTCGCGATCCGTAATCGATCGCGCGCGCAGTTTTGCAATGTGAAATTCTTTTACTGCACTCGCGAATGCATTAACATACATTACTCGCGCGCTCGCGCACACACACACACACACACACACACACACACACACACACACACACACACACACACACACAGACAAATGCATATAACGTACACGTATTATATTATGAACGTATAAGCGGCGGCGCACAGCTCGCGTTCTGCATAAGTAAGTAATCAGAAGACGTCGACAAAGTCTTGACCTAGTTTTGCGCCCGCCGCGAAAGAGAGCGTGTGTGTGTGTGTAAATAAAGTTTGCCGATGCGATCGCGATGCGATCGAGCTCTCGTTATACTAGGCGCTACCCTAGGGGCTCCTCTGCTTTTACCGATTTTTCATGTACGCGTATTTTATTTTATTTCAAACGATCTATATGGAGCCGAATACGCACTTTTCTGTGTCTGTCTGTCTCTCTCTTTTGCTCCTCGCTTACACGCAGCACAGTGGGCCAATTGTGCGTCGCTCGGTATAATATACACGCACAAACGAAGTACTGTACTCTACCCACGCTTTTGCGCGTGTCTAATAGTTCTGCGCCGATCGTAAATCGGCCATATATATACCGCGGGGCCGCACACAAAGCTCATCGGTCAAGAATAAATGATCTCGTTTCGATATACACACACCGAATCGCGCGACTAGTCTTTGACGAATTTTCCATACACGCGCAGAGAGAAGCTTTAAAATTGCGCGTACATAGCAGTGTGTGTGTGTGTGTGCTAATCGATGACGTCGATCGAGTCGATGATCCGTTCGCTTTATCCATCGCGTTTCTACATAGGCACACACGCACGCGGACACTCGGCCGTTGTGTGTGTCCGACAGTTTGCATTAGAACGGGGCAACCTCAATTTCTCGCGTTCATATGCGTGTGTCTATTTATAAGTTTTCTCAAAAGTCGGAATCTCGTCGTCGTCGTAGCGACGCGCGGCCCGCGGCATCGATCACGGATTATATAAAATCAAAAGCTCTCGCGAGAGCTTGCGCGCCACTACAGCCTGTACAAAGTAAATTGTTTGGGGCATACTGACCTTGAGATCTTTGAAGAAACAGGAATTGCGAGCCCAGTCGACCTGCGAGAAGAGGTTCTGGTCCAGCACCTTGCACATGAGCTCGAACAGGTCGACCTCGCACTGATTGTAGGTCTGGCTCTGCAGCAGCGAGAACAGGGCCGTCTGCCACTCGTTGTCGTCGACCGTCTGCACGAAGTCGCGTATCAGCGGACTAGATTTGGCCGTACCGCCGGCCTGTGGATGGCCGCTCACCGTCTGGACGCCGGCGCCCTGGTGATGCTGCGCCACCGACGGGTGCATGCCACCGTGCGTCTGCTGCTGCTGCTGAGACTGGGACTGCTGCTGTTGCTGTTGCTGGGAGCCGGCACCCCCGTGCTGTTGCTGCTGCTGGTCGGCTCCCCCGCTAAAGGCCCCGTTGTTGCCGGCCCCCGTGGCGAAGCCCTTGGGCGACGAGGACGTCGTGGAGTTGGCGGCCCAGTGCTTGTCGAGGCCCGCCGCCGAGCCGGCCCCGTTGAGGTGGTGCATGCCGCCGCCCGCCGAGCCGGCCGACGACATGGCCTGCGTCGAGGGCGCGATCAGGCCGTGCTGGCCGCTCTGTAACGTCAATAACAAAGGCTTTCCTGAGCTACTGCTACTATGATTATCGTCGCTACCACGGTAATAATGCGGATCGCAGGTGGGGGTGGTGGTCGTCGCGGGCTGGCCGCGCTGAGCACGAGCCATTATACTACTACTACTAGTGGGAGGGCTCCGGGTGGTAGCAGTGGTAGTAGTGTGACGATGATGATGAGCGATACCGACCCCCGAGACGCCGCCGCTGCCCGCGGGATTGTTGCCGTTGCCGTTGCCGCCCACGAGGCCCGCCGCCACCGCCGCCGGCGACGGCGACGAGTCCGGCGACGACGTGAGCGACGACACCTGCGGTATCTGGATCTCCTGCTTGATGTGGAACAGTGGCGCCACGGTGTTCGGGTAGCTCGCGGTGTCGACGCGGCCCAGCGTCTGCAGGGCGAGCTGGCGCTGGCGTATCATCTGCAGCTTGCGCGCCCGGTCGCGCTTGTACATCGGGCCGAATTTGTTTCTACCTCCTCGCATCCTGTCGGCTCGCACGGCTGCAAAACGGCAAAAAAAATTACGAGATCAATCGTTGGTCATTGATAAATGTTTTTTTTTTTATTAATCTTTACGAATATTTCTATCCTCGTTTGTTGCGATAATCGAAAAAAGAGAAATAAAGAGGGAGAGAGAGAGAAACAGATGAGAATCCGTGACACCAACAGTATTGTGTAGAAGCAAAAACTTTGAAGGGCACATTAGTATGCATCCTTGATCCGAGATCATTGCCTCCGACAAGGTCAAAGGTGAACTATAGTATAACTAGAACCCATGATACCGGAGCAATCGGTGTGCTCCTTTTTCGTCATCCGGACGAAAATCTATATCCGTATCTGATACCTTTGTTTTTCGTCGCTTCGTTGCTGTACAAAAGTTTTATAAACTTGATTGTACAATTTTGTACCAAAATTGCCTTGCTTATACAATTTTTTTCACTTTACTACTTGCAGATTGGACGATTTTAGATAATGGTTTTCGCCATCTAACGGTAAAGACTGACTTAAATTATGATCGAATTATTATACGTTCTATAAGCAATTAACGCAAAAGAATAATCCATGAACTTTAATTTTCCATCAAAATAATCAAGTTTGAGTTGTTTTTGTATTTTCATGCTTTTTTTGCAGTTTATGTAAAAATAATATATCAGTATTGATACATTAATTCCCAACGAATATTTTATGAAAGCGTACCTTAAATGAAATTTGGGGTCGATTTTTTAAATTTTTATGTTTGAATTTTTATTCAATGGACAATAATACATTTAGAATTTTTCAACAGGGTAATTCGTCTTATCGCGATGAAAGTCCAATATAATTTATTCGTATAAATATGCCCAAATTATAATAGTGTTACATTAATCTTCTAACGAGCTTAGACAAAAGTTACATTATTTTCATAATGCGCTATTGGGGGCATCGCGTACGATTATTACTTATCCACCAGCAAAAATTCAAGCCTCGGTAAAAAAAAAAAAAATAAAAAAAAAAGAAAAAGAGAAATGCGCAAGAAAAGGCGTGTGTATGGTCTCGGAGCACGAGTCAATCTACGTAGGCAATTTACGNGTGTGTGTGTGTGTGTGTGTGTGTGTGTGTGTGTGTGTGTGTGTGTGTGTGTGTGTGTGTGTGTGTGTGTGTGTGTGTGCAACAAGGCGCATATATATATACTCGACTGCGAAATCTACGACTACTACTACATCGGAGACACGAAACACGTAGTCGTCGTGTATATATATAATTCCGAGTGTGTTGTTGCAGTGTGTGTGTGTGTGTGCACGCCGAGTTTGTGCGGTTGAGCTTATGCCCGAAAGTGAAAGGAATCTGCAAAACTGCGAGCGAGCGCGACTGACTTTGTCCAATGCGGCGCGCGCGCCCTACTCGACTTTTGACTCTCGACTCTGCGGCTCCTTCGACTTTATTATAGCTTGCCCAGACATATGTACGAAATATATATAAGTTTGAGCTAAACTCAAGAGTTCGCAGAGCTATATTGTATGTATGAGAGATGCGTCCACACGTGTGTGTGTGCGAGTTACGTGCACACAATTCGGAGTGACGCACACACGGCATGAGACAAGAGAGGAGAGGCCCCAAATCGACAACTGGCAAAAACTCAGACCATAAAACCTGTCTCTCTCTCTCTCTCTAAATCTGCAGATAACGGTAAAAGCTCGATCTTATGCGCGCGCGCGCGCGGCTATAAAAATTTTGGTCGAGCTCTCGTCGTGAATACAGGACGATATCGAGATCTTGCTCCGTTTATTTTTCAAGGTGCGTCTCGGGATCGAAAGAGATTTTACCTGCAACGAAATCGAAATCAACAGCTATATAGCTCTGCGCACACGTTGGCGTACATAGTTGGCGGAAAATTTTTTGCTCGTGCGTCGATATACGTACGTACTCCTGCGCGAATATATGTATATTCGTGCGCTCGACTATACGGCGAATAGCACACATCATACATATTTGAAAGGTATCGATTCTTACGTACTATATACTACTGTACTCCGAAGGTGTATCGAAGCCGTAAAACGGCCAGCAAGCAGCAGCAGCAGCTCGGCCGCTTTATCTATGTGTGTGTGTGTCTGTGTATAGGACACATTAAGCAGCAGCTGCTATCGATCTGCACGAGGCGCTGCTGCTCTCGACATGCTGCGAGAGCCTCGTATAGATATAGATAGAAAATTGCCGGTCAAGAATCTTCGACCATAATCGAGACACGCGCATATTCGTAGGTGTATACACATAACGCAACACGCGTATACCATAACATTCGCGCGTTCGTGATATTATGCGTATAGAAATAATAACGTACAGATATGCTCGATGTAATACGCTCGGATAATGCGATTTATATATTGGTATAGGATTGTGTATGGAATCGGGCGTGCATAGTTCGAGGGCCCGGGCTGGCGCTGCTGCTAACTGCTGCACACATGCGCGAGGCTTATTTCTCTCTCTCTGTCTCTGTGACTAGATATCTCCGTGCGCGCACCACGTATGTATACACGTGTATGCTAATAATCGTAATAGACAATAAGAGTCGTGGCATATAGTATAGTATTTGTGTGTGGGTACTTTAACGCGCGAGTCATAATTTCGCTCGTTAAAAGCGCGCCTTGATTTTTCCCCACGACGACGCGGTGTTTTCTCAATCGCGAGATCGCGGCACGCCATACCTACATACTCACTGTACCTAACGAATATGTGTACAACTTTAATCGATCGGCTGGATCTACTTAACGCGCGTACACGCGTTTTTCGTTTAATTATATTGCATCCTATGCGAGATATATCGGCGGCGGCTGCGTGTCTGCCTCCTAAGTTTTGCCCGCGCAATACCTGCTGCACTTCCGCTCAGACGCGGAGTGACGGGGCTCGTTATCGTTTAAAATACTTCTGTGTACACCTGCCTCGCGCTGGTCAAAGATTTTTCAAGCTTGCGACCGCGACTAGTGCATTTTTTGTAAACTTTCTGGAACGCGTGATTGTCCTCTCGACGCTTACGTGTCACGATTTAGAGCAATGCGTTGGAAATTGGGACTGATAGATCGCAACGGTACGAGCGTATTGTAGAGATTTCTAATTTACGATTACATTCGATCCGTTAATGCCACTTATTTGATTGTTAATGTTGATTATTCTTCGACTCAAGTGTGGTAATGGAGCGAATTCGAAACACAATTATTTCGGTACGCTTATAAAAAAACCTCAAATTCAAAGCAAATTTATTTTTAAGTTAGAAAATAAAATTAATGTAACCTATAGAAAAATGACAATCGTAAACATTATTTTTAATGCAAAATCAACACAAAATATTCAATTCTATACTGAATTTGATTATTTTGATTTAAAATTAAGTTTTAAATACTAATCGAAAAATTTACAAAAATTCAATGATGCGTTTGAAGCCAGTCTCCACCGCCAGATGGCGAGTTTCTTTATACGTGAAATCTGCAAGTGGCAAAGTGAAAATAATTGTATAAGAGCAGTTTTCTAAGTCAGTTTTGACAACTTCGCGTAAATTTTTAATGATGAAAAAAGTTCAGAAACACACACTCAGTGCATCAGTAGTATAATAATTAGTTAACAAGGTACACGGAAAATTTTCCGCCTTACGTAATGTACGCACACAAACACGCAGCAGCCACGCGACATCTCTCTAACTCACACGATTGTTGTATATATTCCTAATCAATGGTCTATGGCCCTCGAACACGTGTGCGTATCCTCGCATACACCACATTCGTGTGTAGGCCACACCACGCATGCCGTGTATCGTGTCCCGGTGCACGCGTTCTCGTTAAAAACACCGTTCGGTACGTTAAAGTCACGTGCTGCGTCGCGATTCTAGTATATAATGTGTATACAGGCTTATCGTGCATAATATAGATGCTACATAAGTATGGTGTCATGGAGACGGAATAAGATCGAAAGTATTATAAACACATAGACACACATGTGCGCGTGGAAAAGAAAGGGAAAGGCTCGTATTCGTCGAACGACGCCGCATGCGAGAAGCGAGAGCGAGTGCGAAATATATCTATATGCGGCAATTGCCGTGGTGCGCTGCGCCGCCGGCTGCGACGACGACGACGACGATGCGCTTATATATTATGCGGCCAAAGGAGGAAAGGAGGAGAGAAGCAGGTCGAGGAGAGAGGAGTGTAGAGTAGTAGTGTGCAGCACACAACCAGGAGAAAGGTCTCTCTCTCTCTCTCTCTATATATATATTGCGTCACGATTCAAGTTGGCAATAAGTAAACTTGACTCTCTGCTCTTCCTCTCGCTCTCGGGCTCTCTTTCTCCCTCTTTCGCTCGTGCTATATATATAAACGCACACCGCATAATACGACGGCCGTGCCGCGCTCGAGACACACATATAATACATGTAACGCGGCGGCTGCCTCGTGCTATCCGAGCGCAAAAAGGACCTCGTCGCGCGTGAAAAGCGAGAGTACGTTTATACGTGCGCGGTGTGGTGTATACTAGTATAGCATGGATGCGCGAGCGCCGACTGTCGGCTCTCCAACAAAACCTGTTGCATGCCGTTGCTGCCCCCGTGGTGTATACCCACCCAGCAAGCAATATAGCACGCTTTCGTCGTCGATTTCGTGCTGCACTTGTGTGCCTGACAAATGCCCCCCGTGTTCGATGGATTACAATGCTGCATCGTCGTCGTGGTCGGGGGGGGTTACGCAAGCTCTCGTATAGTTATATAGAGAGGCGCAGGTGCGGCCATGAAAATAGCCCACTCGTCTTCCTCGTCGCGCGATTCAGCGCAGGCGATAAATAGAGAAAATCGTGAGTCGAAAAATTATGCATACGTGGTCTCGCCCCCCCGGGGGGCTCGAAACAACAACAGCACGTCGCGATCGATCAAGCTGTGTTTTAGCCGAGACGCAATTATTCCGAGCTTGCACCTCTATACAGAGGCCTAGAGAGCCGCGCGATTATACGTATATACGAATCGAACGATCCAAATGCGCGGCTTCGAC